AAATGGTTCTTACCAATAGCGAGAACTTTTCCTTCTAAGCCTTTATTCATATTTACAGGTCGACCGGTCGATTCGATCAATTGCCAGAAATTTTGAACTCCCATTTTTACTTATTCTTCTCTATAAAATCAAGAAAAATCTCGTTTGTCTTCTCACATAAAGACGCAAAATTTGCACGGTCATTCATCATATAACAGAAGGAGAAATACAATGAATGAACAATGGTGTAGAAATACAATCGATTGTAAAAAGAAAACAAGATTTATTTACATAGATTAAGAAAAAGTGAACAGATACTATCTATTGTAATATAAATTCTTGATAAATTCAACTCAATTCAAGTTTAAACAAACATTTGGCAGTTTGTTCGTCGTCGTCATCTATTTTACCAATTGAACACAATTGTAAACAATCGATTGTTTGTTTGCCGAACGACTTCTCGTCGAATTCATTTGGACATACGGACGAAAGTTTGCGTTTACATTTCAATAAAGTTATATGTGGAACGAATCCATAATAATTACCCGCGAAAAACAAATTTGTTAATTTTTGCTTCTGTTGTTGTTCAGAAAAACGCTCAACAATCAACGTACGTAAGTTTTCTACACGTTGATTGTGTTTACACTTGATATATAAAAGTCGATCATGGAATGCGCCAACCCCATTGAATTCCAGACAAATCGGTTCGGGATAAGAACAGTGGTATCGTAGTTCCTCTTGGAGTTGTTTCAATACCGTTGCGCATTGGTCAACGTAGGTCGTTGATTCAATATATAATGTTAAAAGTGTCACATGAAGATGAACTGAATCGGAGGAGTTCGTACGTGCAGAAAAATATGAAGGGTAAGTCGAAAGTAAATGATCACGATAAGAAATATAATGAGCAAGAAGAGTGGAGTCGGTGATGGGCACTGAAAGAAAATAGTTGGGTTTGTATGTTCCATCTGTTAGCGTTAAATATCTTGGTAAAGTAATCGGTTGTTCACCATCGTGGTCTATTTCGTCATCGGATATTCTAATTGATGAGAAATGAGAGAAACGACATGTACGATCAGTGAAACTTACGTTGTCACATGATTATTTTCCATTAAATTATCATGGCGTTGTATCACATCATAGATTGTTTGTTGGTTGCCTGTCGAACCAAACATCAAATCAGTTCGGGTTTCTTTATCCCAAATAATTTCATTGTTGTATTTAAAATATTGAATACGATGTTTAGGTATGGCAAGAATGTTTGAGTGTCGGTCACTAACGGTGGATAAATCGACCTTAAAATCAAAATCATTGAACGCTTTCTCTTGTAAACCAAGAAACCGATCGACATAACCAACGCGAAAATAACGTTTGTCAAGACGATCATCCCATTCGATACGCGATATCACATCTTCAGCTGTCTTCATTGAACTTTTCTTTGCTGCGTCTGTCGAATTTTGTGTTGAAACGGATGGCGCATTTGACACAGCATCAGGTAGTGAACGTGAACTCGGTGCATTGCTGCTGTTGTTTGCACTGGTTTCGAATGCTTGAATATTATTCTCTGCAAACCATTGTAATAATCGTGAATAGATGGAGAGAACCATCGGTTGATTGAGTAGTGTTTTGCTATACGATAGAAGAAGTTGTTGAACGAGTGAAACTTGATCGGGCGTTAGTCGAGGAGCAGTTATGATAATTTCAGGCGGTTTCGATGGATAAGATTCTACGAGGAAAGTAAAAAAAGACATACGAACGAATAGTTTGATATGTAATAGATACCATCGAGTTGTAAGGTTAATGAAACATCGTATTGATCGGCTCGAACTTTAAGAATATAAGAAAACTGTCCAATGGACGATAGAATCCGAATTTTATCTTTGAAATAATCACGTAATGAGCTTATCTCATCTTGTTGTTTATCACTACTGCTTATATTTTCATTCGAATTGGCCATCAGATTGTTTCTATCGAAATAAACATCCATCATGTTCATCGAAATAACAAACCCGGTCTTACTTGTTGAAGAAAATTATTGAAAATATCGATCGGATTAAGTATTTAATGTCAGCATATAGATTCTTATTTCTGAAGTTTTTTTTTGGAGATAATCTATATGCAAGGGCTATAAAAGTTATGATAATATACAAAATATTACTCAAGTTTCAAGCAGCCTGATTGGTCGAAATTTGCGCCAATGGCTGTTTGCATGAGGATGGTTCGTGAATAAAAACAAACAGTCTTCAATAGACTTTCTCGAAGGAAGAGAAAGCCAATCGAAATGAAAATGAAAACCTTCGTGGTGACGAATATGTGGTACGAAATGATCTGCTTGAGTGTGTTATATTCTAGAATTTGATCATGGTGGTGGCGAAGAGAATAGAATCAAATAATCTTAACCAGACAAGAAGAAGCAGTATCTCCTATTCTAAATTTGTTTTTATTTACTGTTGTGTTCGTATTTCATGTAGAAAAACTCGCTTTTGATTGTTTTTTGATAGATTAATATCGAAAAAATGGGTCGACGACCTGCACGATGCTATCGGTACTGCAAGAACAAGCCATATGTAAGTAATTGAACAAGAGAAATGTATCGATTGAATGCAGTTCTGCTTTTGTAGCCAAAATCTCGATTTTGTCGTGGTGTACCTGATCCCAAAATTCGAATCTTCGATTTAGGCCGAAAGAGAGCCCGTGTTGATGAATTTCCCTTATGCGTTCATCTTGTCTCAGATGAATATGAACAACTGTCCAGCGAAGCACTCGAAGCTGGCCGTATTTGTGCAAACAAGTACTTAGTTAAACACTGCGGAAAAGATGCATTTCACATTCGAATGCGTGTTCATCCATTTCACGTCATTCGAATCAACAAAATGTTATCATGTGCCGGTGCCGATCGTTTGCAAACCGGTATGCGTGGTGCTTTCGGTAAACCATTAGGAACTGTTGCTCGTGTTAATATTGGTCAAGTTATTATGTCAGCTCGTGTCAAAGATCAACACAAAGCTCAAACAGTTGAAGCTCTACGTCGTGCTAAATTCAAATTTCCAGGTCGACAAAAGATCTTCGTCTCAGACAAATGGGGTTTCACAAAATTCACACGCGAAGATTACGATCGCCTTCTCCAACAAGGCCAACTCCAATACGATGGTGGCAATGTCAAGTACTTACCCAACCATGGNATTGGTCAAGTTATTATGTCAGCTCGTGTCAAAGATCAACACAAAGCTCAAACAGTTGAAGCTCTACGTCGTGCTAAATTCAAATTTCCAGGTCGACAAAAGATCTTCGTCTCAGACAAATGGGGTTTCACAAAATTCACACGCGAAGATTACGATCGCCTTCTCCAACAAGGCCAACTCCAATACGATGGTGGCAATGTCAAGTACTTACCCAACCATGGTCCACTCGAACATTGGAAAAAACGACAAGCTGTTTAAATAAATGGAGTTTTTCATTCAAAAAACAGTCTCTGCAGTTTTATGGAATAAGATCAACATAAAAATAACAAGAATAAAAGCTAACAACCGAACAGTTTGTTTTATTCTAACAAAACTTTTCATCAATAGTAGCAATCATCTTTATAAAAAAAACACTACCAAAGTGTACAAGCGATATCTTCATCACGACAATATTGTAAAGAGGATTCCAATTGGCCAGTACTTGGCTTCATTAGTGATGTATAGATTGTTAACTATTTCATAGAGATCAAAGAAAGATTTGTTTCGAATGAATGATAAACACTTACTTTATTCAGCATTGGTCGTGATACAAGAACATTGTAGATTGATTCGAAATCAACACGACTTTGTCCTTGCGTTTGCATACATTTCTTTGCAGAGATGTATCGATCATCCAATGCAGATTGTTGTCGCCAATTATCGGAATTCGTTTGAATAAGAAACCAGTTGTTATCCGCACCCAGTCGTTTAATGTTCAAAGTTGTCCGACGTGACCGTGAGATAATAGCTCCCTAAATAAACATACACTAAAAACGTTCTTTGTCGTCCAACTCGCTCTCATACTTCACTAGGTTTTGTTCCAGCAAGAATGTAATAACATGGTGCAACGAGTAAAACGTCGGATAGATAATCAAGAACTTCACTGTAGTTTTTCGCATTTGTTAACATATCACGGAGAGCGAAGGTAACAAACGATTGCTGACGATCGAAATTGTAGAGCCACTCAATGATACCCATGTAGCCACCATTGAGATCAAAACGTGCATTTAATGAAACGCTAAAAACTCCCGGTTTGATACCAGTTAATGCGCCGATAAAACTGTCATAAGTGAGAAAAGTTCAGTTTTAATGAAGAGAATTTGTTGGTCTCACCCGGCGAAACTAATTGCTCGATAATGAACTTGACCATGCTTGGTATAGTTCACTGAGATAACTAATGGACGCAATTTGAGTGGTAATGCCCATGTATTTTTTGTCTTGTCCCAACTATTACCAGAGTGAATTGAGCATAAATGGTGCAATACGTTTTATACCTACCCTAATAGATATCCGAAATCGAGATTTCTTCCATGAATGATACGTCCATGTTGATCTTGAGCAACAATCGAAGTGCATAACGATGATACTTCGTAGAACACGTTGTAGAACACGATTTCACCTATTTTTCTAGGTCAATATTGACTGCTAATATTATCTTTAACTCTACGCACCTAGAGAGATTCCACTGGCTTGACTGATACCTTTTAATTCATCGCCATACGGCTCTGGTAGTGTATTGGCGATCAATGGCTACAAGAAAGAAGAGTTCTTACACCGTAAGAGCATTCTTTCTCTTATTACTAATTGTGTATGCATGATATCAAGGAGAAATGTAAACATTGGCCAAACCTTGATAATATAACTCTTTGTATAATTTAACAAATCTTTGATCTAGAGAATAGTTCTTTTTATAACAGACAGTTAGTTAGAAAGAGAGCTTTTTTCTACTTTCGATTTGTATTGAATGGCGATTTCTTTCCAGCGCAGAAACGGAGGAGTATCTAGATCAACGATGTAACTTGGTATATTTGTATCCGACGCCGATGGTCGTTGGTTAGTTAAGCATTGTTGTGCGAACTTCATATAAACATTGAAATGCTACTCTTAGTTTCATTTCATTCAGCAACTTACACTGGCTTTCACAATCAAGAGAAGTCCAACCGTCACATAAATTGTATGCATCATTGTTGTATTTGAAAAATAGATGATTGAAGGAAGAAACGGTGTATATATGTATATTTGCATAGAAGTAGACGAACATTAACAGATTTAATTGTTCGTTTATAAAGATAAAAACAATTCTATTAACAAAATCACGCTCGCTTTAGTTCTTTTATTTATCAATTAAGCGGACAATAAAAGAAAGAAAAAGACGGTATGAAAATCAATTTACCAAGGTCGACATGGGGCTTCCTCGTCGAGACATAATTGCCAATATGCCTCGATTCGACCTGTAGCTGGTTCCATTATAGATGTGTAGACAGTTTCCTACGCATTCATTCGATCGATACAATTTTCATGTCGATAAAAATTTATCTTACTTTATTAAACATCGGCCGAGATGAAAGTACGTTGTAAAGTGATTCAAATGTAACTTGATTTTTGCCCTTTTCTTGCATACACTTAATGCATGGTGTTAAACGATCATCAAAAAATGGTTGCTTTTTCCAATTATCATAGTTCGTTTGAGCAAGAAACCAGAGATCATCTCGACCTAATAGTTTTACATCGTCAGAACCTTTGCGTGATCGAGTAATGATCGCACCCTAACGAGAAAAAGAGGAAAACATTTGCAAATGAAGACAAGATCAACTTTTATTTACTTCACCAGGCTTGGTTCCGGCTACAATATAGAAACATGGTGCTACCAACGGAACTTCAGCTAAATATTTTACGGTTTGATTATAACTTTCGGAATTCGTAAGCATGTCACGAATAGCAAAGGTGATAAACGATTGATTGCGATTAATATTATACATCCACTCAATTAGACCAATATAACCACCTTTGACGATATTACGTTCATTGATGGTGACACTGAAAACACCTGGTTTCACGCCAGTTAATGATCCGATGTAGCTGAAAAGAAAACAATTAACCGTTTATTCAGGTACACGTATACGATACCCGAGAAAAGTTGTTGTTTTGAAGAGTACTTGACCATTTTTCGTATAGTTTATTTGAACCATTAATGGTCGTAATTTTTCAGTCAATGCCCATGTATGATTTATTTTATCCCAACTAAAGTAGATAAAACTTACCTCCTACTACTCGTTAATCGAAAATAGTGATGGTGTTACCCCATCAATCCTCCGAAATCAAGATTTCGTCCGTGAAAGATATTTCCCTTTTCATCTTGTCCAACAATCGATGTGCACAATGATGAAACTTCGTAGAAAATATTGTACAAAACAACTTCACCTACATAAAACAGAGAATGACAGGTTTTTGTCAAAAACGATTTCTATTTCCTATTACCCAGCGGCAAACCGGATGCTTGACTAATACCTTTCATTTCATCACCATACGGTGCTGGTAATGTATCAGCCATTGCTGGCTATGAATGATTGAAATAGTAAAGTAGAACAGACAAATAACCACTTACCAATTTAGTATCAACAAGATCGACTAGATATTGCAGTTCAGGTGAAATTTCGACAAGAAATGTTTTCAAATAGGCGATTAGATCTTTAAGCTGGATAACAAATGTGATAATCAGATAGATTCAAAACTAGTCTTACTTCCACTTTATATTTACTAGCTAAATCCTGCCAACGTTCGACAGGTGGTGCATCTAGATTTACAACATAAGTCGGTAACAGTCGTTCAGGCTTTGGTGGATATTGACCACTTAAGCATTGCGCAGCGTTCTGAATAAAGATGATGTCTAACAACGATGGGTCTCTTTTCAAAAGTGACTACATACGATTGCAGGAATAATATACACGACAACTAACAAGGTTGTATAAAGGAGCTTCATTTCAGTGGAAGACAAGATAAAATGAATAGAGATGATGTGTTTGGATTGACTTAGAAATAAGGTAAGATAACGGAAAGAAAAACATAGATAAGACTTATGAAACGACCTGTGAATTGTTAGAACGGTCAAGCACACTGTCCTACTTGTTCGTATTCCGAATTGCTGAACGAGGATGACATTTTACATAAAAATATATATTTGTGCTAGTTTATTATTTCTATACTCTAGCATCGGTAGTTAGCATCGTTTGGTATCATTCGTGCAGAAGAAAAAAAAACAAAAAAATATTGAATATTTCTTTCGAGAAATAATAACACATTTTCAAGAGTTAGAAGATGTTGTCACTGAGATTGGAGATGATATGATTGGATTTCGTTTTAGTTTGACATTTGGTTGCTGTCGCTGTAACATTTCTGCTACAGCATGATGGAAGCCTGATTGGTTTAACAAAAATGCACTAATATGTCCACGAGGTATGTATCGAACATGACAACCCGGCCATATATCATTCATATGAGGTATACCATCACGTAAGACATAGCCATCGTTCATACAAGCTATGAACAGTGCATTTGCTATGTTTGATTCGACTGGACGTGAATAATTATGCAGCGATGTGAATTCATCCATGAGTAAACGCATCATATCTTTCACAGGATCGGCTACGACCAAGTTAGAATCCTCTCTTGAACTTCTTCGTGTACGTAAGTATTCGTAGAAAGTTTGATAGGCTTTGTTTTCATAAAATTGCTGTTTGAGAAGAGGCCAGGGAATTGTTCGAGAAAGTACACCATCGCAGAATACGGTTGAACTTGACGACCAAGAGGCACAAGATAGAAGTGACAACGGGCCATGCCAACTAAAATATTCCAACTTCAAAAGATTATCGCTGTTTTCTTTGCATCTTACTTAGTGAATGCTATTGATGCCATATGTCCTCCGAGAGAATAGCCATGCAAAATTGCTGGTGAGAGCTTCATCTTTTGACACCAATGAAGTAATAGTATCGTTTCCAATACTAATGCTTTGCCCATCACGTATAGATCAGTAACATAAAAGAGAGATGAACGTGACTGAGAAATTGGTTTTCTCAATCCATAGTAGGGGTTTTCGAGCAGAATTGTCCCAATACGATATTGATTGATTAGTGGTATGGCAGTCAAAACTCGTCGTCGAGTAAAACCATGATCACCAGTACCAGCATAACAGATTCCGATCGGTAGAGAATCAACACCGAAACGATAATCTCGCGGTAGAACAAGTTGAAAATGGGCTGTTGCTACTTCTGGTGGAACCTAGACATATAGAAATGGATCATTAACATTCAACGCTACTCCTCTGATTATCCGTTACCATATGCGGTAGGTAATCGGCTAATGGAGAACGAAATCGTCCATTGATATATAGTCGATTACCTTTCGTTTCTTGTTTAATGATTTCTACTGTATTTTCTTGTACGCTTTCTGCGGGTACAAGTTTTAGACATTCATCTCGAACTCCAATTTTTCCTTGACGAAAGAAAAAAATGTCTTGTAAGTGCGATGGATGTCCCCAACCGCGAACAAATGTTTGAGTTAAGATAAAACGTCGAAAGATATGATCAAAATTCATCATTTCAATCGTACACGAATCTTCATAAGCATCTAGAGAACAACTATTCGGAATTGTTTTTCTTGATTGCAAAATAAATAACAATATCAACAAAAACTGTTTCTTTGTTATTTCAATAGTTTATAAACACACGCGTACAAAAAACTATCTCGTTCTTTTCATTTTCCTAAATCGGTACGGACGAACAGCGACTCATTCTACTGAGCAGCGCCAGATATGTTGAGTAACATTTGAGGACCATGTGGTAAGTAGACGATATTTCTTGATCGAGCTAATTGACCGGCAATATCTTCAGCTGCTTCGATACGTCGAAGTTCAATTAAACCTAAATAGGGGAAGAAATCAAGATTGAAAGGAAGACGAAAGGAAATAATTACCGTCGCCAGCTTCGCCTAAAGCTTTACCAATGAGATCGGCAGCACGAGCATCACCTTCGGCAGCAATGACATTTGCTTGTCGACTTTGTTCAGCCTAGACGGTAAAGAATGATTTCAGACAATCGATCATCATTAGGTGATTTATCATTACCTTTTCGACTAAAAATCGTTGTTTTTCAGCATCTTGTTGGGCAACTTGTTTCAATTCAACAGCACTGGTAAATTCCGGCCCAAAACTCAAATGAGTCTACAACGAAAGAGAACCATCGAAGAGTTCGAAATCGTTTCTAGTCTCTCTTACGATAGAAATATCATCAAGTAATAAACCAAATTGTTGCGCACGTTCTGTTAGTAATTCGCTGACACGTTGAGAAATAAGTGTTCGTTGAGTAATCAATTCGATTGCATCGAATTGCGCCTGTAAATACGTTTTATAATGATGACAGCCAAAATGATATTCTCTAACTTACAACGACACTTTTGAGAACTTCATTGGTGATGGATGGTAAGACACGTTCTTCGTAATCAAGACCCAAGTTTGTGAAGATCTTCGGTAAAATTTCAGCCTTTGGTCGATAAAGGATACGTAAAGTGATGTTAATTGTTTGTAAATCTGAATGGCAAAGATTTGATTACAGATTGTCAAGTCACTCGGTGTTTTTCATTACCTTTTGTTCCTGTAATTGATGGAATCGATCGAGGTCGAGTACGAATATCGAAAATGATCGGTCGGTGAAGCCATGGAATCATGAAATGAGTTCCTTCTCCGATAACTTCGGGTTTAACACCTTTAAAACGATCGAAAATAACCGCTCGATGACCACCATCCACTGAAAAATACAACAAATCATCAAACTTTTCCGTCGGATGCGCTTCGATCGTTACCGTTATAGAGCATCGAATTAACAATTCCACCAGCAACTGCTAATCCAATACCTATTCTTCCGATGCTATTGAATAGACGAGCTGAAGCCATTTTGACCTTGTTTGTTTCTGTGTTTTTCTTTCTATTCTAAAACATAACAGAAAAATGACAAAATCCTGAATTTAATATTCTTATTTCTTTCAATACGTTTTTGTTTATTAGCAAATACCTTCAAAGAAAAACAAAAACAAAAAAAAAACGAAAAGATACGAAAACGCATCACTAATTCATCTATCTAGCCACTACAAGAACAAAACCAAGGCAAGATATATGTGTGTATGTGTGTATATACAAAGAAAAAAAAAGCTTAAATAACAATAAACTTGAAAGAAAGAAAACATGCATACTCTAAATAAACCGAAACCCACATGAAGAAGAGTAGAGGAAGAAAAGTTCAACATAAAGACGAGCACCGTTTTGAGAAGATTAATCCATGAGCTTTAACATCGTTCGGAAATTGTTCGACGATTTGCTTGTCGTGGTTGACCACGATGACGCGCTGGAAAATAATCACCTGATGTTTTCAACGAATTGGATGCATCACTATTCTTCGCAGCCGCTGCAGCAACAGCTTCTGGCGGCGGGACAGTCTGAAAAATAAAGAGAAGACTTACAAAAAAAGCCTTTTTTCAGAATCAAATAGAATTACTATGATTCCTGATTTAGTTGGATAGAACTGTTGTGGAAATGAAGCTCCATCAACACGAAAATCTTCGAGACGTTTGAAATTTTTCAAGATTTCTTCTAGTTTTGGATCAATCTTTGGCTTTTGTCGTGAATACTTGAGAAAAGCCCAGAATTTTTCTAAACCATACAATTGACCTATGGACAAAGCAAACATATAGCTACAAGCAACACATCCGTATATCTCTGCCCGTTCTTACCGGCTTCATAATCACGAAAAGTTTCACGTTGAAAGTCTTCGAACACTTCCTTACGAAAATGTTTTTCAAGACCATATGTGTAAAACCGAAATAAACACTCAACACCATATCTAAGGTAAAAAAGAGCTCACTCGTGTATCAATGAATTCAACATAAAGACAAATGCAAACATACCGATGATCAATTTTCGCGTCGTCAACGGCGTATTGTTTGAATTCATTGTACATACGACGATTGAAGTTTTCACGAAGAAAAAACGACCAAAAACGATAGAGTGTATTCATTTCCATCGATTGACCTGGACCAAGTCTTGCACGATCTACGAGCACAAAAGTTCTCTAATATTAATCTGACCGAAGTACATATATATACATATACTTACCATCTATACATTGTTGTTTGTATTTATTGTAAACTTGTTGCGTGAAACCATTCTGTTGTAAGAGCGAATGGGAAGGATGTTGGAATTGAGGTATTTCCACTGGTGTTGAACCATAGAAATCGTATGAATTGGCACTAGTTCCATACCGATAATACGAATCATTGTGTGACGATGAATATGGATCGTAAAAATCCTGTTGTCGACTAAAAAGTTAAGAATCAAGGTAGAGAAAGATACTTTTTCAGTGTATAAGAACACTTACGTAGAGTTCGTTGTATTGCTTCGTTGTCTCGTTGTTGGATGATCACGGGAGTCAAAAACCCAACCGACCGAGCTTTCCACTGGTGGATTTTCACTATGGCGTGTCTTTCGTTTCAAGCCTGGCGTCTAAAAACGAAGAACAAGCACAGTGACCGAAGAATGATGCAATCACGCAAAGCCTTACATCAGCTTTCACAACGGGTGCGTCCTTAGTCACCGGATAAAATCGCGCGATATTCTTTGCACGTGAGTGAGGTGTTCGGGGCGTTTCCGGACATTTCTCAGCTGTATCAACAATTGAGGGTAACGGCATAGTTGAGTTTGCATCACTTGATTTTTGTAGATTATTTGGTAATGATTGAGAAATGATATCTTGTGTTGGTGGTGTCAAAAGTGCTTGTTGGCTGACGCCAGTTAAATGTTTTGGACGAAAGAAAGGTTCAGCTTGTGGTGGTGCTTGAGCAGAATTATTTGAGCGAACGATTGCAATAGCTGGCGTACGTGGTTGATTATTATCCGTTGATTCAATATTTTCTACAACATATTCTCATAATACGTTGATGAGATGTTCGAATTACCTTTTGCACTTTGTGATTGACTATGTTCATTTGAGTGGCGATCCGTACTTGTTTGTCGTTGATTTCTGATCGTATTCATTTCTTCTTGACTGATTAGTTTCACTGTTTTATCAATGGACGCCTTTGTTGGTCGATCCGGATGCCATAATTCGGCTTCATAACGTCTTAAACCATCGTCAATTATTTTAGCTAGTTCGGCCGTCATTCGTGCTCGTGGCGTATGTTCACCAGTACGATCATGAGTTCTCTGCTGGTGCTTACGATTCGATGGTGGTGTTGGTGTGATGATGAGAATTTTATCAATGTCGTTATCATCTAATTCAAAGTCAGATTCGTCATCGTCACTGGAAAAGAGAGAACGTGAAGTGAACATAGAAGAACGATTGGTAAAACATACTTTTCTTCATGCAGATCGTATGTCAACGATGTCGTGCGACGTCGGTTTAGTGGAATAAATGTTGGTATATTGTTTGCTTTACTCGGTAATTCCTCATCAAATTTGAAGTCTAATTCTTCACGATTATCTTCTTTGGTCACCTGTTCAGATGGTACAACCTGGACTTGCTGTTGTTCTTTTTTCTCCTGCAAGACATTCCCAAAGATACAATTAAAGAACGATTATGCAAAACTAACCTTTTTCTTTGCTGGTTTCTTCCTCTTCGACGAGACTTGATTCCAATTCAAATCATGTTGCTCCTCTGATGGATTCAATTCGCTTTTCACAGTTTTATCAGATTGATTCGCTTGTTTCCAAATCTTTCCCGGTTGAAAGTCGGGAACATCAGGATTTAACTCGGTTAGATGATTGTTTACATCGGTTAACAATGGCCAACGCGTCGGATCTGTTCGACAACGTACCATGCATTGATCATTCAGCTCAACCACAAGACTATCACGAACTGCCTAAATACGCAAAGATTTGTTATTCGAATGAAACGAAAATTCATTTCGTAAAACTGACATCAGCGATTAGCTGAACATCATCACATAGTGATCGAACACGATTGAAACTCGCGATTAATGATAATGGGACGTAACCATCGTTGGTCATTTGTTGTCGAAGAAATATATCAACCGCAAGATTCTCCGTACTGAAATAATATTCCCTAAAAGAAAATCGATGATTAACAAAGAATTTCTCTCGAAAGAAGAAGGTTTTCTATTACACTTGAAGTCGAAGAAGCTCTTTCAATTGTTGTTCAGTATAAGCAGGTATAAGCGGAGTAGTATATTCATTAGGATTAGTTAAAGGTAATTCGGTAGTTGGTGATGGACTTGTTGGAGGATAATAATAAGCATTTTCAATGTATGGTAGCACAAAAGAGCAATCGTCAACAACAACTGCTTCGTCATCAAATATAAACTTATGAACATCACGAGTTGGATTAGTAGTACCTGAAAGAATTACATATTAGACGAGATATTTTCGACGATATCAAGATAATAACTACGTCTCGCAATTACTGAAATATCTTTCAAACGCAATTCTTCTTCATAGTACACAGCACAAATTAATTGGGTACAAGACTGAAAGAAGTGATGATTATAAATTCAGTATTCTTGATGATAGACTTGCTTCTACATCTGATGATATTACCCTCGTATCAGTTTATGTTTACACTCACCTGTCGTATCTTCACTTTGTTCGACAGCACCTGATCCTTCGGCTTTCTTTCTTCGTTTACCTTGTTTATCTGGATACCATTTCACTGAATTACCACCTTGATCGTAATCTAGATAAGGAAAATGCGTACGTTTCTCGCATGAAACTCGTGTCACATACAGTAATATGCGTAATAATCTTGATAAGGATTGTAAGCTCCCGTTGCTGTTGATGCTCCTGCTGCAGTCACAGCAGCTCCTCGGTTCTTTCGATTCTTTTTCGGCGTTGCACCATCGAGACTACGTGTACGATTTCGATTTGTTCCTCGTGCGCTACGAGCATTTCGTCCGGCACGATTGGCTTTCGTACCAGCTGCTTTCGGTGTGTTTTGAGTGCTAGGTGTTGCTGATGTTACTGTTGCTACATCACCTTCATTGTTTTCTAATGGTAATGGGACCCATTTTTGCTTGCCTGAAAGAGAAGTTTTTCGTGAAATTGAATTGACGATATTTTTACGAACTTCTTTTACCTTTTCGATTTCGTGTTCGAGGTGTATTGGGTTGTGAGGTAACCGGTTGTTCATCAGTTGCTTCAGCAAGACTTGGCCAATCTTTGGGCTATAGTACATTGAAATAGATGACGAACATGTGTGAAAAGGAAACCTTATTGTCTTACGGGTAGGATAGCAGAATCAGGAGGTGTATCTATAGGATTGTTATTTGCTGAGTTTGTCGAAGAGGACTGTTGCCAAGCGGGACAGCTCGTTGAATTCGATGTGGCTGTTTCGTTTGGCATGGTACCTCGTGTTCTTTTCAGAACAAAATTTGTTAAAATACTAGAATTTGTTTGATTAGTAAATCTACAACAGCAAAACAAAAAAAGTCAACATGTTTTCGTCTTACTATTGGACTATACAAAGAACAATGAGGAGTGTCAAAGCACGTGAGATCGCTACATATAATCAGTTTTACGCATTTCATACATGCGTAGGTATTACTATAAGGTGCATTTTATGTTGTTGTCCATACAATTATAAACTATGGATCATTGTATACTTATCTGATTGATTCAACCATCTTATCATTTCGACCAATAGGAATTGTTTCCTAAGTAAAATTCTTAGCCTCAATCAAACATATTTCTATTCTGGTTCAGTTATCATTATTTGATATCAACTAGTACACCATAAATATTCAAATGAATATACACTGCGTGTAACGATATCACTGATGTCGCTAATGTCGAATGAGTTCGAGGAACAACGTTATCTTTTCACTGTATAAAAAGTACTTGACCGAGCACAAATAATACTCACGGCAGTAATACAAAATACAGCTTGATATGCTTATCTTTTCGTACATTCGATCAGGATCGATAAGACTCGACTGACGAAATCAAACACATATGTATATTTGAACTTTTATCGTGAGTATAGGAAAGATATCGCGATTGGAAAGAATTGCATAAAACAAGATGTTTTGGCTAATCATACATATTACGTTTTGCTTTTATTAATCCTTAAATGATCAAATACAAATCCTTATTCTACAAGACAAAACACTTGTCGCTAAGATAAGTTAAGTCAACTGAAACTAATTTGTCGGACACGAGTGTTGAATTCCATCGATAGAATGAAGCGCTTTAGCATGTCTCATGGAGCTATGATCGTCATTATCATTGTCAAATGCAATTATCTTCATATTTGTTATACAACCAACATAGACAGGTATATCGTCGACAATCGGCGGTAATTTATTCATTTTACCAATATACAGCGGACCATTGGTATTCAAATCATAATCATTTAATAGTAATTCTTCATCGACGTCATATTTATCGACATGTAAACGAACGAATGTGAGATCTTTTTGCACGTGGATGCTGTGCCATTGACCATTGCACATTTCATTGTCATTGTTTTCAGTCGGCCAATGAACCACATGGATTTCATCGATGTTGTTTTGTAATAGAGTGACTACGATGTTTCCTTTGTCGAGATAGATGAAGAGATAATTATCTTCATTTGTATTTGTTGCGGCTAATAGCAGACCGCTTTTAACACGAGATTTGAATTGAAATGAAATATTGAATCGTTGACCGAGATGAAACGAGTTTTCTTAAATAAAGAGGGAAAGGTGAAAGATATCAAAGATAAATTTCGTCTTACCGAGTATCAACTCTCTCTGTCCATCAAGAAATATTCCGGATTCCTCATTTTCGTAACATGTTTTGATGTTATAACTCGACTTCTCATTCATGGTGGTATCGAACGCCATTGGTTGATTATTGATTTGTATCGAACTCAAACAACCTTGAAATTGAAGATTATGATGTCGAGTTTTGAAATGATGTAATTGCCGGCGGCGATTTGACTGAAAGATTTCATCTGATGGAATATTACCAAAATGATAAACTCCATCTGTGTCCAATGTTGATTTCGTACCTAAGTGAATTGAATGGAGGCATAGATGTTCGCTCTTGCTAAAGATTTGCATTTACCCGGTGGAATAATGAATCCTTGTGGCTGTGAATCGATGTACAAAGATGCATTGTTTCCATTTCGCACGATATCCACTTGATGCCATTGATCATTATTGACTCGATTGATACCTTCGATTTCGCCTTTACCTGATCCACAATCGAACGCAAAAACTAAGTGTCCTTTGTGTAGCCATGTAGCGATGAATTCGTTCGATGCCGATGAATCCGAAACTGGAATGAAGAAAATAAGACAACGTATGAAATTGATTGGTAAACTCAGGGAAAATATTTACCATCACGACCAGAATAGAAAAGTAAACCATGGATAAATCGAGTTCGAAATTTGAAGGAGATATTCATAGCAGAGTTGAATGATGATTGTGTTACAATAATTTGTCCACGACTTTCACGATGGTCATCACCGAAACGATAGCCTACGTCTTTACCACGGTCATCCGAAGGAGTCGTTGGTAACTGACATGACCGACGAGAACGAGATGAATAATCATCTTCGTCTTCATCTTCATCTTCGATGATAACCGTGCTCGTTGCTGTTTCTACGGGCCTTGCTGGCTGAAATTCAGGAATGTTGTTCATTTCTAGATCAATTGATGGTACGATGGGCGTCGTTGTGCTACTGCTGATATCAAAATCATCGTTAAATTCCAGAAACTTCAGTTGAACATTTTCCGATGACACTGGTTCGGTTGCATTGTAAATAAATGGCGGATAAACAACTGGTTCTTTAAGATTATTGTTGTTATTATTGCTGCTAAAGCCGTTTGTTTGACAATTCTGTTCGGCATTTTTCAATTTAACTGCATTATTAAAATTAATCAACGAACCATCGATATTCACATCACCAATACAGCCAATCAAACGCTGAACCTGAGTTGAATGCGTTTGCGGCACACCACCGACGAAGACTGTTTTGTATAGTTGCCAATTGTTACCATCAGCTTCGATATCTAATTTACCGCATTCAGTATCATTTAGATATAAACGATATGATTGGACATCACGATAAACACTAACATAATTCCACCAATTCGTTGAAAGTGTTGTTTCACATTGAATTACTGGCAGATCTTTATGTTTAATCATCAGATGGTTGTTTTCGAAATAGATGATTAGTTCGTTGATATTTTCATGACCATTGTTCATGTACACTAATGTGCCGGAAGGTTGATTCGATTGAAAACGTGTGGTTACAGCCCATGGGATGGTCAGGTTTTTCTCCATAATTTCTACATAACCTTCTTGATCGAGATAGTTGAATTGAACAGTACGCAAGATTTGTTCAATGGCGCAGCTCGTTTCCACATTTTCACTGCGTTTATAGTGTTCCGATTTGAATGATAATTCAATGCGATCAATCATAATCGACTGAATACAGCCGCTAAATCCTCGACTGGTGATTGCATCACGTAACGAATCTTGTCCAAGATATTTTCCAACGTAAATATTATCGTTACCACCTTCGATACGTGATTCTTCGTCGCGATCATAGATCGATTCCGATAATTGATTATCTAATTGCACGATCAATTCAGTGTCTTGTTTTTTTATTTGTAGGCGATGCACTTGATTATCATGAACATTATCTTCGAGACGTAAACTAACTAAACCACTGCCTGTATTCATTAGAATTTCTGGATGAGAATCGATGATTTGTACAGCAAAGAAACGTTTCTCAATGTCACCACCACCATAGGCAAGTAAAAGACCGTTAGGAGCATGTGTTTTGAATATAATTGTCAGTGAAAACGAATGTTCGAGACGTCGTAAGCGTCGTTTGGAAAATATCGCATAACCATCGCCTTTCAAACTAAAACCAGGTACGGATTCTCGATGTATGACAGATGGAATTGTTCCTTGGTTATAATTCATCGCTGATTGAAAATTCCAAAGGCTAACACTATGATCATCCAGACGAACATTTGAAATTGAACCAGCAAATGATGGATACGTTCGTTTGAGTGTCACTTGAGATGGAATGCCACCGATAAGAAAAACTGATTGTTCGTCACTGAGATCTAGAATTGATTGGCCACCATTTTCAGCATCACTAACACCAACGAAAACGTCTTTGCCATTCGCATCGACTACAGTCAATTGACCGTGTGAACCAATACGTTCACCTGTAACATCGTACCATTGATTATCTGTAAACGAACGTGTCGTGACGATTGAAGTCGGCCGCTGTTGTCCAACGTCGTATGTGAATTCCACTTGTCCTTCTGGATTCAACCGTAATGTCATATATCGATCTTCGTTTTCACTTCCAGCGTAAGCTAGTAGTCCATCCGGTTCAGTTGTACGAAATGAGAGTGCCAGTTTCGAATGTTGCTTGTTCAGATTCACTTGGGATTTACTGTATGGTTTATGTAAATTAACACCACTTGTACGATTGAATTGTGCACCGACACGAACGGAACTGACAATTGAACGTGATTCATCAACTAATCGACGAATGTCGGCGATAATGTCAACAATACTCTCTTGAAGATTAATCGTCTGATCATAGGAATATTTTGCTGCGCTCAGTTGCTGATCTGTATCAATTTGCCAGCGTTTCATACGTTGAATACCATCGGTAATGTCAGCAAATTCCATCTGTAATGGACGATCACTTAGTGTCGAAGCATTCATCGGTTTTTCAGCAAGTATTTTCTCACGTAAACGTGCGAATTCATTGGTTTTTGCTTGACTTTCGTCATACATTCGTTTCGAATGTGGTTCTAAATTATCTGCTGTCAGTTTCAATTCATTAATACGTAGCTTATAAGCTGGTAGTAATTTTTCACTTGTACTTAACGAACGTTGACATGTGAGAACTGAACGTGACACTCGATCTAGCCGTTGTTCATCATTAAGATTCAACTTGATCTGTGTGTCAATGGGTGATAGGAATGATTGATCCAGTTTCTCTTTTTCGAGCTTTTCAATACGTTGTCGTTGTTGGGAAATATGTTCCTGAGTCGCTGTTAAGTTTCGAATCAATTCGGTCGATGTTGAATCCAATTCATTAACAGTGTCGATGATATTTTTGTAAACAAAAACAGTTAAAAGTGTAACATTGTTTTGTTGTCTCATGCTTTCATATAATGTCTCCAGGTGCTGCGATGTTTCTGTTAAGTTTTGAACGTAATTGAAGACTTGACGAACATCCATATGTACACGACGATTTTGTTCGATGGTTTCGTTAACAACGGAATGTAGGATTTGAACCGATGAATTGAGATTTTCAGCATTGCTTAATGTTTGCTGATAAGCGATCTGTAATTGATTGTAGTTTGTCATCAGTTCGTTATTTAAGAGTTGACTTGTATTCGACAATTTCATATCGGCACCTTCTTTTAACGTCAGACTTTGTTTCAAGTTCGTACGAATTAACGTGATGTTATCAAGTGATGTGACTTCCTTAGAGATACGCTCGAGTTTATCATAAGCTTGGTGAATGTGCCGTTCCATTTGTATGGTTCGTTGTTCAAAGTGAAATGTTTGATTGTTTAATCGATCGATTTCGTTCAAATGATTGGTCAGATCGTTCTGAATCGTCTGCAGATAAGTGTAGAGTTTTGAAGCTAGTTGACTGGTGTTTTTAATCACACTTTGCTCTGGTTCAATTTCAAATCGTTCAAGCATTGAATGGACTCTGTAGACGAAACAGAAATTATACGAATCACTACGAAAGTCAACTTACCTGTCAATAAGATTGACTATGTACGTCGGATCGTCATTGGTATGTTGAGTTAAATTCGATGAGAATGCATCGATGTCATCAGCAAAATTGCGCATTGTTTCCACTTGTTCACGTACGCGTTCGTATTCTTTTTGCACAACTTTGGCCAACTGTTTCACTTCGTCTTGTTCGTGATTGATTTCAATCTGCGTCTGCTTAAAGTCGTGATCGAATTCATTCAGTAAAGTCTTCAAATTGATGATTTGCTCATTGAGACAGAATGAACTGGAGGGATTTTCATTCGGTAAGCATCGGTAGTTGCGAATATTCGCACTGTTGACGAGCGAATGATATTCATCAGCGCGCACACGCATGCGTTGGATACGTTCGTTTGCTGTGCGACCCTGTATAATTCGATCAGCATTTTCAATAGTTCGATTGATGTTGACACGTAATTGATCAACATCATCGATCAGTTGACGAGCGCACCAACCCTCAGGAACAACATTGGATTTATCACATGGGAGACAGCCACGACCTGCGATCGATCGAAAGGATTAGTATGTTGTTAAGTGAGATCTACTTTTTTACCTTCAACAATCGTATAATGCTCTTCACATTGATCACAACGTTCTCCTCGAACACCTTCAATACAGTAGCATCGACCTGTTCTGGCATCGCAGCTCAAGCCTGTATTGCTTAGATCCCGTACTGTTCCGAAACGATCACACTGACATTGTTTGCATCCATCTTCGGTCAAATCCCAATAGCCCGGCAGGCACATATCACAATTCCTAAACGACAAATAAGCTCAATTCAATGAGAAATCTTATTCGTACTTTCCACCAACGCCAGGTTTACATTGACATTGACCCGTGTACAAATCACAAGACGGTCCGATACTACCCATGCCACACATACATGGCTTGCACCCTTCATCGCCGCATGCATGATAACCGTAATGATTTTCTAAGCAGACGTCACATGTAAGACCGGTGACACCAGGTTTACATTGACATCGGCCAGATCGTTGGTCACATCTGACTGCACCGCATTGAGAACATGCACATGGAGCGCAGTTTTTCGCGAGAATGGCATCGCCGTAGAACCAGTCTCGACAACGTTCACACATGGGTCCAGCAGTATTGTTCAAACAGTTGACACAACGACCAGTCTGTTGATCGCATGCATTCCAGTCAAAGGGATCAATGTTTGCGTTACATTCGCATGGCGAACATCGACCACCCATCTTACTTGGCTCACCCCAGAATGCTAAATACAACGAAAGCGAAAACAGTAAACGTCTGTCGTTCTATTATCTTTTAGAAAGTTACCTGGATAGCATGACTGACATCGATCACCGTAATAACCTTGTTGACAGAAACATTTTGTTGTTTCGCCTGTGGTGACATTCATTTCGCAAGTTGATGCAAAGTTATTTGATTCAACAGCTAGTGGACATGCACAAATGCGGCACGGAATACCCTTCGTTGGATCGCCATTATAACCGGCCACACACCCTTCACAGTATGTTCCTATTGTGTGATTCTGACACGCTAAACAATGACCTGTTTCGACATCGCAGATATCACTTTGACCATTGCATTGACAAGGTACGCAAGTATAACTATGTGCACCATTGGTACCACTGTATTGTTTATAGTAACCACGTGCGCATGTTTCACAAGATGTACCAGCATAATTTGGCGGGCATGAGCATACTTCAATATTACGGGCAATAGGACGTTGTGGCAAAATGTTATTTGCAGATTTCAGATCCGCTTGTTGTAGTTGCACGGCAACAATAGAACTTGACTGTGAATCGGCTGAATATGGCCAAGCAAGAATATGTATGCTTGATACATTGCTAAGCGTTTGCAAGAAGGTTTCACGTGTTACCGCCGCTGATGATCGTGCTTGAAAACGAAAGTTTGCTTCTTTTAACGTGACAGTAATCTCTTCTTCAGGACGGTTAGCTTCGATTGGCCGTGAATAATAATGTGCAATGGTTAAATCACGACCGCGAAGAATAACTAATGGATGCTTGTTAATAACTTGATTTTGGTTATTTATTGTTGACGTGTAACTTAATCTAAAAGTTAAATTTCCTCCATAGGAAAGAATTTTATTGCCTAAATATTGTCGTGGCGCCGACCAGTAGACGGCAGATTGGTCTCTGTTATCATAGCTCATAAACATACTTAAGCGTGCTTCACGTCGATCAAAGCGTATATCAGATCGTGTTAATGTCCAATCTGACATATTACGAATGAACCGATAATTAAATATACCTGAATGGCACTGCGTTGTTGAACCGAAACAGTAGCATTTTGTGCAGCCCTTGGGATTATCAGCCAATAGAGCAAACGTACCATCTGTACAACGATCGCAACGTGGTCCATAGACATTTTCTTTACATAGACAGGTGCCAGTATAAGTATCACAGATGGGCTCAAGTGTACCAGACGTATCACAATCGCACCGCATGCAGCGTGGATAATCGTAATGACCTATAAATCGCATAAATGAAAATCAAATCTACATATATACATATGCAGTTCAATACACACCTGGAGCGCAACGATCACATGTTCGAGAACCGATGTTCTCCCGACATGGACATTGACCTGTTTTTAAATCACAATCAAGACGTCCATTGACGACACCTTCAATCCGACATTGACAATCTTCGCACCCGATTAAAGGATCTTTAAGAAAAAAGAAAGCGAAGGATGACCTTGATTGATATACTTCTATAACTTACCGAAACCGTATGTTCGTGGAGCACATTGATCGCAATAACGTCCCGTAACTCTTGGTGGGCAAATACAATCGCCTGTTAATTCATTGCAAATCTTTGTCGGACATGTACATTGTCGGCAGTTCGGAAAACCCCAATATCCCGTTCGACAACGATCACATCGTTGACCAATAACGTTAGGTCTGCAAGAACATTGTCCACCGTACGGTTCACATTGACCATTGCTATTTGTGGAACCACGTACATCACATGAACACAATAATGCTTGATCGTTAAATGTTGCTGATAATGAATAGAGTGCTTGACGACAGAATGGACTTGCTTGTTGAATTTTCAGGTCATAATTTGGTGCCGTTTTAGCAATACATTCTTGAACAAATTTCGATGCTCGATCGGTATCGGCTGTAACCGGCGCTGGCGTCACAACTTTTTCAACTTTCGGTTCAATCTTTTGCGCAGTTAAATAATCAATCAATAATGATGTATTGGGATTAGTTAACGCTAAATAAGCGGTAAATTCCGGTTCATCGAGTCGAACCGCTGTTGAACCATTTTGAAGTGTCACTACTTGTGAACAACCGCCAAGAGTACGTCGTTGACAAACGGGTGCACTGATTTCTCCAATTTGACTATCACCTGTTCGACTGTAGAATATAACTGTCAATGGGATGCTATCGGATGCTGGATATGCATTGGACTGGTAATAGTGAATGTGGAATTGAAATGTAGCTGGATAGTTTTCTGGCTTCGCATACACATCAGTTAAACGTCCGTAGACATAGATATTCGGCGTGGATAAGTTCAATGGAACAACAGCAGTATTAGGTGGTGCCGATGGGAAATTACTTGTCTTCAAATGTTCATTGTAATAATCTTCGGCTTGAAAAATTTGAACCGGTGCAGTCAATGAACCTCCTGATGGTTTATTTGAATCGTCACATACAGTTAAACCATGTGGTCCGTCATCCGATATGCCACGAACACAAGAAAATTTGGGTCGAAGAAGATCGTAATTGAATTGAGCAACTGGTACAGCAGTTATCTTTTGTATACCAATTGGACTACTTCGATCTGTTTGTTGGACAACATTTAATATGACTGTTGCTCGTCGTGTATCGGTGACAGTCATTACTTTTGGTTTGCTGATTCGTTGATTGCCACCATTCGAATATGTCGTGACGATTTGCCGGCAAACGAATGTATAGGGACATTCAGTTAATACCAACGTACCTGGTGTGATGTCGCCATCGATGGTTTGAACGCGCGCATAGGATGTGCCCGCATCAATTGTATGATAATCGACGAGCAGATAGTATTGGCCCGGTTTCGATATCATCCAGTCATATCGATAGTCTCGACCACGTTCAATAGTCGTCAACGAATCAATAGATAATTCTTCCAAAAGATTTGAATCAATAATTAGACCATTTGTAACTGAACCCGATGATGGATGACTCACAGTTGACATACCATTCAATGGTGGATAATAGTATTGATAACATTCTTCTTCATCATCCAGTTCACATGGACGACCATAGGCAAAATCATCGGTTTGTTGCAATGCTTCAGCTTCGATGTAATCAATAGGAACAAAAACAACATAATCGACGAGAATTGGATCACGCGTTTTCAGTGTTAAAATATATTCATTGTTAGGTGCAGCTTCTGTTGTCAGAAGTGTAGCAGATGATGCAAATGTTGCTTGACGATCTGATTGAGGTAGATCAATATCGAATGTTTGTGGTGCTGCTGTTGCTGTTTCTCGTACAGGTGCAAAGTTCACATGCATTTGTGGTAATTTATAGTCGACACTATTACTGTCCGTTGTCGTTTTATTGTATGTTTTATATCGAATTAATAGTCGATAAGCTGTTGGTTTCATCAGTTGAATGTGCATTTGTACTTCTGGCTGTAGAGATGAATATCGAACATAACCTTTCCATGAGAACTGTTCGAAATCGTATCCGTCGAATTCATAGCGGACCGGTGTTTGGTGTTTCGCTGTTAAACCATCTTCAAGTTCGTATCGTAAATGATGTAAACTTGGAAAATAATGTCCCATCGCTGGTTGATTGCATTCGCGACCCACAATCGATGGCCGACAAACACATTGTCCTGTATGCTTATCACAAATACTATGCAATGATCCGCCAAGTGAGCATCGACATGGTTCGCAACCAAAAACGTCATCACGTTTCAACGAATAATAACCATCGGCACAAACATCACAGCGTGCGGTGGAGTTTTGAGTCGTTATTTTACATGGACATTGACCGGTAACACTGTCGCAAATGTTTAGATGTGCTAATGTACCGGAATCAGAACAGTCACACGGCTCACAGCCTAAAAGAGAAATATGAACGTATTTGCTTTGGGATGTTTTTTTTTCTTACCAACTGGATTGGATGCTTTCATATTCCAAAAACCTTCTTTGCAACGATCACATTGTCTTCCTTCAACATTCTGTTTACATAAACAGAGGACACCTGGAATGTTATGACGACCACAACCAGGAAAATCGTTTCGTACACCAGCTGGTACACATTTACATTCTTCGCAGTAGGGAAAATTGAATAATCCTATCGATTCACACAAATGAAAATATCAAATCGTTCACAATAGAAAAAGAAAACAATTTTCGTACCTGGCGCACACTCTTGACATTTTTCACCAACGAAGTTACTTTTACATACACATTGCCCACTGGTTTGATCACAACTTAAACCTAATGAGCCATGCATGTCACACGAACATGGTACACAATCCGGATACCGAAAGTAACCTTTTGGAAGAATAGGAAATTCTCGAATGAGAAATGTATATTAACACAAAATATTTCTTTACCAGGTGCACATTGATTACACTGTCGTCCGCCAAAATTTGGTTTACAATGACATTGGCCACGTTGGTCGCATGCTAGAAAAAATTCATCGAATCTCAATAGAATCTTCTTTGTTCAAAATCGTAGATGAACGTACCATCATAAATGACACCAGTTGGATCACAGGCGCACGGTTCACATGTCGGATGATTGAAGAAGCCCGGTGCACAATGTTCACATGTTTGTCCGGTAAAATTCGCTTTACATAAACAAGCGCCTGTATCTTTATTACACACTTCTACCGTTGAGCCTAAGTTTAGAATTCATTGCAAAATGCACTCTGTTTTATGAGAACGATCTTACCATTGTGATTACAAACACATGGCAAACATCCTGGATAACCGTAGTGGCCATTTTTACACGTATTACATGTTCGATTCTGATAATTCAAACGGCATGGACATTGTCTGGAAAGACAAGTCAGAATAATCAGTTATATTAGATGAATAAACAAATCTTACCCGGTTTCAGCGTCACATATATTTCCATCACTACCTGCTCGTTCACATTGGCACGGCAGACAACCGGCTTTGTAATTGTAATAACCAGGCGCACATCGATCACAATAATCTCCATCAAAATTCATTTTGCACACGCAACGACCTGAGTCAGGTAAACATTTATGATCAGCTGTACCATTTATTGAACATAGACATGGTTTACATCCAGCGGCATAATCAAAATATCCGACGGCACATTCATCACATTCTAAGCCAGTGAACTGTGGTTTACATTCGCATTTACCTGTGCCTTCTGCACAAGCACCCGTCGAAACTTTCAGATTGCAATTGCATGATTGGCACATATCGACATCGCTGACTTTTTTGGTGAAATTTCGAAAGTATCCTCGAACGCATCGTTCACAATTGATACCTTCAGTATGATGTTGACAATTCAAACACCGACCGCCACCTTCATACTTTCCATGTATATCGATACTTAGTTTTTGTTCAGCTACTTTCTCATCGTAGGTACATTCAGTTGAATGACCGTAGCATTGACATGGTTCACATTCAAATGCTCCTGCACCGGCGTCACGTGATTGACGCCATTTTTTCTGTACAAATGGTTCACAACATTCCTGACAATAATCGCCACATGTATTATGTCGACAGCGGCAAACCATCTTATTCGGAGATTTCGGATGAGGTTTATCACACGATTCCGCATGACCTATGAGAGACGAATCGTGAACGAGAACTAGTTCAGTTTCGATTGCACTCACCATTGCATTGACAATGTCCACCAATACCAATATCTCGAATGGAATAGAAGTATCGTCTTGTAACTGACTTGTCATGACTATCGTGAATGAACGAGTGAGAATGTAAGGTTGTTGGCCGAAGTAATTGTAGACGAACGTTCGTAGCACGTGTCCATTGTTGTAGTGTATCACTATATGAAAAGTTTTTGATATTCGGTCGATCATTGATCAATGACACAACCATTTCACCACTAAAACAAGAAAGTAACTGCTATTGTAGAAGAATAGTAAACCAAGACAATCGATATTTACCCTTCTAATGGAATGCGACTGGCATATTTCGTTTCACAAACAACATCATCATCGCGTACAAATGAACGATTGTAAGACGATTGAACACCAAACAATGTTCGACATTCAATATCGCTAGCGAAGTAGTACCACGTTGAAAATGTTTTGCCATAATCAGTCGAACGTTCTAAGGACCAGGCAGCCGGCCGAGGAGAATTGGCCATACGAATGTAAATGTAAGCAATATGATACTCTTGACCGAGATCGATTGTAATATTCACTTTTTGATACTCCAAACCTCGTGATAATGGGGGAGACTAGAAGAGAAGATGAACAGACAGATTTCTTTCGCAATACCTTACCTGCCACCATCGATCGGTACCGTCGATTGTATAGTTGACGATATGTTTTTTCTCCGGTACACTAGGATCGCAGTAATCACAGTATTGTCCATAGATTAAATTGGAATCCTTGTAATCTTTTTCATAGGGTGACGAACCGGTTAGTTTACAGTATAATTCTTTTTTATACTTGATTTTATTCCGGTTTTGTTTATCAATAAATTCTCCGCATGTGGAAGTTGCTGATATGGTAATGTGTTTTTCTCGAGCAAGATTCAAATACGGTGGTCTTAAGCTTTCGCTTGAACATGTTGCAATAAGCCATCCAAGCAAGAAAAAAAGTTCGCGCACAGACATTGTTCAATTACACAAACTGAACGTTGATGTCTACACTTATACGATAAGGCGTATACAAAGAGAAGGCAAAAGAGAACCTCAATGACCCGTAGTATATATCACAATGCGTAACTCGCTTTTACACTGACCAACATAGAAGAAAAAAGAGAATAAGATGATGGAGAATATCGGCCGACGCTGTCGCTGCGCTTCAGTTATCGTTGAGAAAAAGAGCCGTATGTATTAAATGTATATTCTTTCTCATAAAGCTTGTACTTTACATTCTCTCATTCTCACTAGCGATAATAGTAAGGCAAAAAAAAAAGTATAGTCCGATTGAATGACCGATAGAGAATGATGCAACAATTGGGGATGGTGATGATATCATCATATGCACTGATTAAACATCAAATATTTAAACTTTCAACAGGACAAGAAGAAAAAGAAAAATCACATAAAAAAGATAAATACATGAATTTAAAAAAAAAGAAGCAACTCAACGAAAACTCGCGTTAGTCACATGCCATGATAGTCGCTTCGTTAGCAAAGCTAACACATTGACTGGATGGCTTGTATACCGACGGGGATATTAGATGAGTTTCCACTCGATCAAAGTGTGTTGCCTCGGGCCGTAATCGTTTGGGCCCGATAGTAGTAGCCTCTTTTCGCGAATCTGTTGACGACGAAACAGCAAAACAACAAGAATACAATGAATAGAATTCTCGTCGGAAACTGCGATTGATATAATTATAAATCACCGGATTCAAACAAGCTGATAATGACGAGATCAAGTAGGAGGGAATTAGTAGATATCCGTAGATAAAGTGCGGATTCAGTGTATTTTGACTGTGCTCTAAATAGATCTGCACAATCGTTACAGGTAACCATGAAATGGTAAAAAGTAGAGCAACTGATATGAGCAATTTTCTACTTCGATGGAATCGTCGTTTAGTGTGTGATTGACACTTCAATAATTGTTGTTGATCAACAATATTTAAAGCATTCGGATGCTCGTTGAGTTCTTCGTTTACTTGACGAAAACAAGAAAATAAATCCGATGTTTTACTCGAAAAATTATTTGTTAACGTTGCGGGCAAGGATGCTGTACCATCATAACTTGTTACTTCTAATTCCGTTGTTTCTTCCTTTACATTGAACGATTGTCTTCGCTTCTTTCGCAGTGAGGTTTTTGTTGGACGACGACGATGACCCTGATACGAACGCATGCGAATCATTCGTCGTTTGAGAAACCGACTAATAGAATAACAACTAACCGATACGAATAGGAACGGCACTAGGTATTGAACAGTGATCACTAAATACTGAAATACTCGCATGGGTAAGTCAGGCGGATAGACACAATCATATTTCTTCTTGTTACACAGTGCTGGGAAAAACATTTGTTCAATCATGGAAGTATTGCTGGCATTTAACGAAGTTTGGGAACGTTTTAGAACTTCTTGCCGAACAGCTGCGGGAATTCGATCTTCCATCCGTCGGGAGATAAATTCTGGTAATGCAATTATAATGGAAACCAACCAAAGTAGAATCAATGTGACAATGGTGAATCGACGGTCGAATTTGCGCTTGTTGACGATGAAAAACCAACGTTCGACAGCGATGATAGCAACGGTAAATGTTGAGACTAACGCCGTGACGGTCGGAGTAAAATGCACGAATTTACAAAGGAACGCTCCAAAGACCCAGTTTTCAACTAAAGCAGCTGATAAAGTCATGGGAATTGACACACATAGAACAATCAGATCGTTTAAACCTAAAAGACAATGGCTACTGAGAAAAACAAGAATCTCAAAAAGAAGGTTTTCTCTTACATAGATTCATAAGAAATGTATTAGTGATAGATCTTAATTTCTTCTGTTGGAAAAATATAAGACAAACACTAATATTTCCGAAAACACCAAAACAAAATGGCAGGAAATAGGCAACATAGACAACAATGGTTATAGGCAACGAGAATCGAAGTTCGACTAAAGAATTCGTTTCATCAGACGAGCCGATATTCGGACACGGCCGATTCAAATAAGTTTCATCAGTATTCATTATTGACGGCAACTCACATAGGAATAATATCTGAAAAAGAAATAGTAATGAGAAGAACGTACTCACTAAGTAATACGCTATTTTAGTCTCATGGAAGTCATTTGAAATTCGGAGTACATGGCGGCATGGTGTATATACACAACAGTACGCAGATAGTAGAGCATTTTTTGTCTAAAAAGTCAAGTTCGTCGTTGGTGGGTGGTAAATAAATAAACTTTTTCTAATTATACGACTACATCTACACATTTCAATTTAACAGAAGAAAACTATGACGAACCCGGTAATTTACTCTATCACGCTCAATCTATCAGAAAAGAATGTTTGAAAAATGTATTCAGATGTCTATATATGGAAATTAATAAATTACGCATGACTTTCTCACATTGGAATAAGAAAAACAGTTCGAAACCAGCGATATGTCTCCGTAGCGTTTAAAAATGAAATCTATCGATGCTTTCGACGAAGATTTCTTCTTGTCATTTAGTCAAAACGATAATTACAGCTGACAAATTCAATGTGCAGACATCCGATTACTGTTGTCTAGTCTATCATCAGTCACAGCTTGTTCTTTATTGAGACAAAAAGAAAACCGGTAAAAATTTTCTTTCTCTCTCTGAGTAATTAGAACGACTTATTATAAAATCGAACACCATTGCGTGACGGAAAACAAACACGCCGAGAAGATTTAATATAGTATAGTATGAAAAGCTACTCAGTAGGCAATCCCTCACAGCTGTTGTTTTCTCTTATTCAATGTGTCACTAAACTGGTCTCTGCCGAACGCATGATGTATCTATTGATTAGAAATCATTCACTCACTGAACAATACTTTCAATTAGATTCAGACTTGTCTACCCATCTTTCCGCAAAACTTACTGGTGAATAATTTATCATTATTATTCTTAAAGTTATTCGATCGATGAAATCGATCCCTGAGAAAATAAGCGTCATACGATTTCTTCTTCGTCTTCTTATTTTCTCTTCTATTGCCAAAGCAAAAACTGATTACTTTCTTGATCAATCGATTAGATACGAAACTCTCAAGATAATAAGAGTTCTTTATACGAGTACCCATATTGCAGAAAGTCATTCTTCTATTAATCACGTTCTAAAGTTAGCAAAATAATAATGAGACAACTATCAACCTCTATCACTAGCAACGATTTATTTATAAACGGTTACATGTTGATAAAGCATTGCTAGTTCTGCAAGAGAAAAACATGACTATCCGTCTATCACTCTCCTTGTATGGTCTGGATGGTGTATTTACGGAAAGAATGAGAACATCGTCAAGTCACTTTGAAAGATAGAAAAAAAAGTTCTTCTTGCCTTTCGAAGATCCCAAGCAACGAGATATAGCACTGTGATAATATCATTGGAAATGAATAGCGGCATGAAGCATGAAAAATGTTTTACGTCATCGGTCTGTGCAATAAAAAAGCTTCTTTACCCCCCTCGGCGAAATAAAATCTAAAAAAACTTCGAACCACCTCGAAGGTATTCAAATAAATAATGATCGCTTTCTTCCTGAAGCAGAGTTAATGAATGATAGAGTACAGCCTGCAAAGCAACTTTGAAGATATTTTAATTTGAAAAAGAGAGAGATAGAAGAAGAGGGAAATGGCAAGTTTGAGCGAATCTAGTAATCTTCTTCAGATAAATAGGAAGATGTCTCGCACTTTACCATGTCGAACTACTTGTGAATCTTTTTAAATGAGAAGATCTGCAAATGTTGCGGGAGAGATAATGAAAAAAAAAATCTCATAAAAAAATATATATATATACATGTCCCCTTTGTCTAAGCATAGTTTAAATATTCTCTTCGGAGCACTTATCGAAAAAAATGAAGTAAAACGATGTAATCAAATTGTATCTCTAAATTTTCTTCCATAATGTTGGCGGAAAAAAAGTAGACGAGATTAATATTTCAAAGCAGACATGAAGAAAGAAGGAAATAGGAGATAAGAGCATCATTACCCAGGGAGAAGAAATTCAAATTAGAATACATAAATGTGTTCATTAGTAAAAGTCTCTATTGAAAGTTTCCATCATGGAGTCCTCTCTTCACAAAGCATCAGTTGTATTTGGATAGTCATCCGCAGATTCATGTAGGATAATAGAAAGTTGACAAACATCTGTGCTTTTCCCCTGCCCTTTATTTATAGTCATGCTATTGATATTTTTCAGACGTGTGAGTCAATAGCCATCATTGGTATTGAATTGATAATATGATTTTCTGCCCGAACATCTTCCTCGTTTCGAAACTTTTCTGAAGGATGAGCAAACGAAGTACTCAAGTACACTTGAAATATTCAGATAATCCGTTTACGACTGATTGGAAAATGACCCAAAAGGTTTCGGAAGAAAGCTCTTCTCGTGAGTCAACTAGATAAACACAGTGTTCACTCGAACATCTGCCAAGGGATATATTCGTGCTTGTTCGGAAGTCTTGCCAGACTAAGCTTACAATATTTAAAAATTGGCTCTTGCTTTTCTTGCTCGCAGATGATAATTATCTCTGATGAGAAATGTTAATTAACTGAACTCACTTATCTTTCTTATCGTGTGATGGATAATTGCGATGTTTATTTTTCTTTGTCAAATCTTTTTTGACAAGAGATTTGTCTCATTTATCCTAATAAGTGACTTCATTTGTCAGGACACTGTGTCGTTTCTTGAACTGTAACCGTAATTGTGCAACAGAAGATCAGACTGTTGCTTTCATTCGTTCTGAACCAGAAAAGAAAAAAGAAAATATTTTTTTCGTCGATTTATTCCATTAGATAATAACAGTCGCGAGAATTCATTCTCTATTTACCGAAGCAATGTAGAGAGATGTCCTCACAAAGGTTTGGTTAACATGACATATGGATACGTCATTCACATTTTATTAACACATTTTACTCGAAAAAAACGTTGTCTCCATTTCAAAGAATGCTATCAAGGTAAATAAATGTGAGTTCTTCCGGTGTCTTATGAAAGGTGACAATAATTGTGTCGGAATACGAATAATCAGATCCAGGACACATATGTGGTCGTTGTAGAAAAGCAACATGTTAGAAAATCTGCTGATCGCAGTTAAATGTATTGTTTGATTATGTAAATGAAATAAATAACTCTCTCTTCACAACTATATCACACACACAAGCGGAAAACTTTGAAAGAATGAAGTTTGTCATTGTGTTTTTCACAATTTCAAGTGCAAACCATATTGGGTTGAGTGTCATCTGAGTTCAATGTGCATATGCTTGATAGTTACGAACCTAGGAAAGCGGAATTAAGCTGCGCTGTCAGATGAAGGTGAATGTTTCTTACCAGTTCGAACACGAGGATAGGCATGCGCGAGTAGTTCTCGAGCTGATCGACGTTCTTCAAGATTGGGTTTCAAGCATAATTCAATGAATTCGTACGCTTCGGTTTGTTTCTTCAGTTCATCAGGTATGGGTGGTCCTTTCTTCAACAACAGTTGATTTTGAATGTAAATTTGATCTTCCAGTGGACGTGTGACATTCGTCCATGGCAACTAAATGCTTTCTATTTAAGAATAACTATCTCTCGCTTGGATGAACAAGCCTACTTTTCCTGTGAGCATTTCTATGATCGTGCAACCGAGTGCCCAAATGTCAGATTTATAAACATATTCCGGTTCAGGCGGTTTGAAATCTTGGAAATAGAAATAGGAAATGAAATAGTAACGAGATTTCAAAGGATCTGTCGTATTAAAGGACGAAAAGGTTCACACAGAGATCAACAGACACGAGATGTTGCGAGTTTGCTGAGATCGAAAGATTATAGAAATTCCTCAAAAAATTTCACACATTTAGTAGCGATTTCTCTTCGCATGAGTCGTCAAATTCAACATTGTTTTTCTTCTTTTGACAGATTATGTACTTAGTTATCTTATATCCTTGGTCTATCCTGATAAACCGGTATAAAATTTAAGAAGATGTGTGAAATAGATCCCTGCTATGTAAAGAAATGCGATAATCCCATCGACGACTTACATATCGTTCCCTTCTGAGTGCTACGTGCGTCACTACCATCAGTTGATGGTGATTCTAATTCCAATCGATGTGATAAATTAAAATCCTAGGCGGAATTAAAAGTAATATAGCAACGACGGAAATGGATTGCACTTACGCCCAGTTTAACAATGTACTTTCCATCTTCATTTGCGATAAAAATATTGTCACCTTTGACATCGCAATGTACGATGTTACTTTCATGCAAAACCATAAGTGCATTTAATAACTGTTTAACAAAACCGCGTACGTGCTCATTAACATCCAATGATGAATTCAATCGTATGTCGTCATTACTTAAACTATCATCTTGTTCACTTGAATCACTCCAGAAAACGCTCGCTTCTCGTTTGATACGTGCACGTTTCTGAAATGCTCGAATGTCATTCAAAAATTCATTAACTGTTGCTATACAATATTCCATGCAGATATAAATAGTTCTCTAAACATATGACCACGTTGTCTAAAGCGAGCGGAAAATATCGAGTATTGATTACTTTATATTTTTCAATGCCAAAATATCGGACAATATTTGGATGATTAATTGACATGATCATATCGATTTCTTCAGCGATACGTCGAAGTTTTTCCGGATAAGCATTCGGTAATGATCGTGAAGCAATAGATGATAAAAGTATTTCTTTCATGCAGACAATCGAACCGTTCGAAGAGTTGACTGCGCGAAATGCCACACCAGCACCGCCCTGGCCAATGCGTGTGCCACGTCGCCAAGGAAAATCAATATTACGTGTTTTCAAGGAGATTACAGGATCAGGCGTGAAGCCACCACTCACGGTCGTTGCATCGAAAATACGTCCGATTTGTTTTCGTTCACGAAATTTCTTTTCCAAGTCGTCTTCCAAATTTTTGATTTTCTGTGTAATTCGGTCGCGAGGTGAGAGCACTGCTGAAGCAAATAGATCTTGTAGACGACCTCCACTGGGCGCACGTTGATGTCCGCCTGGGAAGCAATAGAAAATCTTCAATCAGAATACGAGTCCAATGCTTACTGGTACTTGAGGAATTTCGCGGTCGACCCAAATTTGTCGATGAGGAACTATTTGATCGGACTAGAAGTAAAGTAAGATAGGAAACAATAAGTGGAGAAAGCAACGAAATCAATGTCCGAATTAAACCAAATCAAATCTGTCACATAAGCAAGACGAAATACATTGCTTACCAAAACCTATACTTTGATACTGATTATCATTTATCAAACTAGTATCTTTTTTACAGAGAGAGAATATATGGAATAGATATCGAAGTTTTCGCGGACTTTACCTTTTAGTGCAGGAAAAGTTAGACTATCTTTCGGATTTCCGTAAAGGGCGTCGAGCGCGGCGGGCATTTCCTTTAGTAATTTCTTATAATCTTCTTCCGCTAGCAATTGTAAATGTGTTGATTTCGCTAAGAAACGAAGGAACACCATACCGGGCGCGGCCCATTTCGGTCTAAAACAGTACGTAGATACAATATATATCTCATTTTGTTTGTTTCTTCTACCTGAATACTTTATATTTCGCCGTTCGTGCTTGTTGGCCAGAAATGTGCTTAAATTTCTTTGTAACACATTTACACCATTCACAGAAGAACTCATTCATTGTTTTCACAAACTTCTCGAAAATTTCATCGTCTTCTTTCGGACAGATATTCGGTATGAGATCGTACAATAAACGGAACAGATCGAAACCGGAGTTGTAAACGTATAAAACGAGATCGACTAATTTCGATTCGATTGTCCGTTCATCGAATTTAACTACTTCGGTTAGGTATATCTTCGTCGAATCTTGATCCCAAATTGTGTTTAACGTGCGAACAAGATTAGTCAATTCAATGCTTAATCTTTCGATGTATTCCTAAACGAGCGAAGTAGCTTCTTTTTAGTAGATGAGGTTCGCAGAATTTACCGGTAATTGATCAAAAGTCGAACGGATTCCTTCATCGCGTGGTAATCTACGAATCAATTGAATACTTGTCAGTCCAATATGTGAATGAAATAGATGTGCCGCTTTCGCCCATTGATCCGATCGGTTTACAACCAAATGTAATGACTTGAGTTCAGCTAAATTCAATGCTAATTTAGTGACTTCGCTTGGCTGAATGAACAGAACGTCGCCTGTCCAACGCATGTTTTGCCGTTGATAGTATTTTTTAGGTACAAAGACCATATACGATGGTGAAGAATTTTGATTCGTTTCGTCGAATGGAACTTGTTGAGTACAGATGACACTTAACAGGTTTTCAACTTGCTTTTTGTCTGTCGATAGCCATGGGGGAACAAAAATGAACAAATTATCAAAATCTTCGATACTCTATTTTAAATATACATTGCATTTGCAAACAAAAGATATTTAGATGAGCTTTACATGTTTGTTGATGTAGATTTTCACTTGTGTATAAGAATTCTGTTGAAGTTGATGCCAAAGATCACTATGACTAAAACATTTGAACTCCACAGCGATGGAGAAATCCTAAGTAGAGAATAGTGAAGTTATGTAGCTAATTCATTTCTGCGGATGTGTACGTCAATCAGAGCTTTTGCTAGATGGCATGCACGTGTAGCACGCTGTTTGATTGTGTCGAAATCACGACGAAATTCACGTGTACTGGAGATGATATCGTTTCTATCGGTTGTGAAAAACAATTTGTGATAATTAGTTCCTAGGTGATGAATCATACGGCTTACTTTTTTTGGTCAGAAAATGATACACTTGCATCACAAATGGTTACTTCACTACAGATCAAATCCGGTGGCACACTCGCCGATGCATAAAATGCTGGTACCTTCACTGATTCATGAGCCACACTACGAAAAATAAGGACAAATCACAGTTTGTTTAAGACACAAGATAATCAAAAAGACTCATGAACTACGATGAGCCACTCAGTAGTAGCGGTGCCTCATCGCTGCTGCATTTCTTGTCAAATTCTACAAGAAACGAAATTCAAAGATGGTGAACTTTGTCGTACTCAGCTGAATAACATCCATCCATCATATTCGATGTTTCACTCATGTCAACAGCGAAGACTTGATAGTAGTTCTCCGTTTTACCATTCAATGCTTCTTTCAATTGATCTAAGATTCGTTGGGTCAATGCACTATAGGAGCAAATAATTAGAAATTTGAGTAAAAATTGTTCGTTACCAAAAGTCTAAGCATAGATCACGAATTTCTGAGCGATTCTCCAATGTCACTGTTAAATCTCGAGCAAAATAATACTCTTTTATCAGTTCAGAAGTTTCTTCATCGACAAAATGATATTGAACAAGGTTTCCTTCGTTGTTCATATTTATATCTTCATCTTCTTGTGTGCCAAACATTCGATTTATGCAGACTGTATTCAGGCATTGTTTATAATGCTAGAACAAACTCGCATGAATAGGTAACACGAAACGAAAACCAAAACAAACAAACTGTGTAAAGTTTCACGATATTTTCATCAAACTCGGCTAGTTCGTCAATTAATTGGCGATGAGAAATGAACTGCTCCATCATTCGAATAGTATACAGTCGAGATGCTAGAGCGTCTCTAAAGAAAAGGTTTGAATTCTTCAATATCCTTTCTCTTTCTTTTACTCCACAAAACAAACCTGAGAATCAATTTTGCTTCACGCACGAGCTAAAACGAACGATTTAACATTAAACAGAGCGAATCGTTCAACGTTACCTGTTGTCGACAAAGTGAATCGATTTCGAGGGTATCGCCATTGATCGGTGGTTTATCATAAAGTCTTAAACATTCATTCATTACATCCAGTAGAACATTTAGAATGAAGAAATATAAAGGTAACAACGATGGTAAACCTAATTGATCATGTAATTCAAGCCAATTATGTTTGAACATTTCATCGGCGTGGGAGCAAATTGTTTTCATAGTCGAACAAGATTTCAATACATGAAGAAGCCATTTTTCGATTGTTAGTTCACCGATATTGATGTCGTTGGTTGAACTTGCTGTAGCAGGATTATCTGTATCGACAAGTTCGTCATCAATTTTGTCATCATTTCCCAGACTATTCGACTGTAACGATCCTGAATCCGGTGTCATAAAATTGGCAAGAGTTTGTTTGATTTTGATCTTTTGTTGCTCAGTTGTCTGCAACAAGGCTAGACGAGTTTTCAATACAACCGGTGCAACACGTTCTATTAGAGTTCGTGCTAATCCATCGTATTTTACTTGATAGGAACGTTTGTCCATGTAGTAAACAAAATTTCTAAAGAAAAGGGAATAGTTAAAATAAATTCCGAGTGTGTTTACATACCGATAACAAGCAGTACGAGTTAATTTTTTGACGGGTGGGTCAGTTTCATTCAAAGGTGATTCCTCGGAAACTAAAAAAGATGTAGAAAGAAAGAAGTAAATGATGAAAATCATTACTTTCAAGATGAGAGGAATGATCGGGCGGTTCTTCAGGCCAGTAAGTCTAGAATGAAGTGAAATCGATATATGTCCGTTAAATGGTTATACTTACTTTGGGTATGATATCACTGTCCCAGCTAGCTTCAGATCCGCTTTCATTATCATTTTCTTCCTCACTTTCTTCATCATCTGATTCTTCGCTTGTTGTGATAAAATCAGCCCTGTTTTCATCTGCGCGTTTCGCTCTTCGCTCACGACTCGTTGTGATCGAACGAAAATGTAACTTCGGCCAGTCATCACAATCATCGCATCGTAGCAGGCCGCTTAATTTCTTCACCGATATTGTTAATTCGTAGTATAGATTAAACCAAACGAAGAGTGCATCGAATCGTTGATGAAAAGCGACCAATGGCTCGTCTGTTTCATCGCAATCAATATGATTCAAGCAATAGAATGTGTACTGTTCATCAGCGAGATCAAAAATCTTTTTCAAATCCTTCTCCGTTTGTGCACAATCTTGAATATATTCAGGCGACAGTGTACGAAAACAACGCAACGGATGATCGAGATATGACTGATGTGCGTGACTTAGCACCTCACTTTTCGAGTCAGTACTTAAATAACGGCCTAATGATGGAGAGGAAGTACATGATGATTCGTTACTGGCAACATGTCCGTCTAAACCAAGCGAAATAAGTCAATTCTATACTAAGGTTGTAGTAACTGACCTCTACTAACATTATCACCATCGCCATCATCATCAGCATCATGTTGTTCATCGAGTACATGTAATACATCGTTATTAGCCGTTAATAATTCCTTCATATTATTGATCAAGAATGCGTAGTGATGTGCACGATTCATTTGGAAGTTCGTGATTAAATCTATGAAAGTTTTGGTCTCTGTTTTTGAATAGCGCTGATTCACTATGGTTTGGTGGGCATAATCATGCAAACGTGTACAAACAAAATCTCTAAACGAAGCATTTTGTAACGTATACTGTGTGTTGACTTGAAATGAATAATTGGAAAGTATGCGATTAATCATGAGTAAATGTTGGTTGAGAATATTCTCCACACGGCTAGTTGATGCTGATTTCGATTCGTCTTCGGTTAGTGAAGTAGTCTGTTGGTCGGATTTATTGAATGAATTCTTGCGATCACGCATGGTTACAGGTAAACTGTTTGGATAGCGACGATGCATCGGTCGTTTCCGTTGATAGGAACTAGTGATACTTCGTGGTGAAGACTGTAGATTCGTGACCGATGCTGTCGCACTGGAATCAGAATGAGCACTACGAATGGATGTACAACTTTGAGTCATGGGATCGATGTAAGACATTTGTGTAGTTAGAATATTCGATTTATTATCAGTATGTTGATTTGCTTTCGACGGAAGTTCGGGTTCTTGCTTTGAACGAAATGATGAGCAGAGCTAGGAAGAAGATTTCGATTTTCTATGTCAGATGAATAAATGATTTACTTCAGCTAATGAATTGACAGTTGATTTTTGTGGTGTTTGCTTTGACGGACTGGTTAATGTGCGTTGACCAAGTCCATGGCGAGCGTAGATCGTGGTTTTCTTTTCTAATAGCCACATTAACTGTTTGAGAACATTTCGTCGTCTGTCAACTGGACGTTTTTGTTTCTCTTTATCGATTCGCAAGTCTTTCATCTTCGTATTAAAAACATCCATTTCATCGTCACTGGATGATAAACTTTGAGTGCTTGGTGTTTCATCTGAACTAGTTGAAACTGAAGAAGCGCGTTGCTGACGGTGAAGCACGAGTCTTCGTTGAAATGGGTTAGTTTCGTCGATACTCAATGATTGCAGTTGATCGGAGGTGCTTGTTTCGAGATTAGTGGATTCGATTCCACTTCGACCTGATGCATCGGAGATGATCGATTGATTTCGATCGGATGAAAGAACGGACGATGATGATGGGATAGCTAGAAAGCGATGATCTTTCGAATGAACAGACGAGCTTGTATGTGAAAGCGAGTTTGTGTGCGAGACGGAGAGAAAAACATGGTCAGATAGACTTGAAGACTGTCGAGTCGAATTGCTCGCCGAGTGCAAAGCACCGTTGGGCATTGAAAGAGCAGATTGAAATTGTTTACGAAGGATTTGCGCGTGCAGTGAGGTGGATTGTGCGGTAGAAACGGAAGAGAATGAACGCTGCAGTGAGACGGGCTTAGATTTATTCGAAACCCATGAAGTACGCCGTCGTTGGTGAGGTACAGAAGGTTTGAGATGGGCATCGAATGAGACTGTCGACTGAAATGAAACACTAGTTGATTTCTTTTGACGATCTCGAATCGTTGGTGATCGACTTTCGAACTGCGTTTGATCTTCTTTTACCGGTTGATCCGTCTCAGGTTTTTTGTCGACTTCAGAATCCTCAGAATCGGGGACAGGTAAAAATTTCATCGACATATCTTCTCCATCTTCGTCATCATTCACTGATTCTTTTGTTTTCGGATTATTTTCACGTGGCGAAGAGTCATTTGCTGGCATCGATAAACTCCGTTGCGTGTCGAGCGAGAACGAAACTGTATGAGAAGACAAAAGGTCAGAATTGACTGATTGTTGTTGATCACATATTGTCGAAACGTTCGAATCATGTCGACTACGAGTAATGCCCGACTCGATCAATGTCGATGGTAAAGATGGCGAACGTTCAAGTGTGAATGGTCCGGCTTCGATTGTGGTGGATTCTACCCATGCTGCAACTGATCGGTTATCAGTATGAGCGCTCGATGATGATGCCACGGTAATAGTTGGCGAGGAAACATCTACTGTTAGAGATGATGATTCGCTTGCGACAGGTTGCACTATTTCAGGACTCATTCCTTCGAGTGAAATTTCTTGTTTATCATCGACTGGTTTGAATGGTGGTGTAGAAGTCATCGTAGTTAGAGGATTTATTTGGACATCGAGCACAGTTGGAGTCTCCTGATTCGGAGACTTTTCTTCATTAGTATGTGGATCCATCTAGAGATATATATTTGTTTTTTATTGTGAAGAAAAAAAAGAAGAAAACAACATTGAAATCGAGGTTTAGTCATTTATTTCCTCAAAACAAGTCAATCGATTTGAATTAACATAGTCGAATGAATATCGCAGAAAATTAAAGCATCGTACATATTGACTGTATCAGACGAGTGATTGAAGATGGAAACTCTTGCATATGCTAAAATAAACTGTATAGTAAATTTCTTATCTTTTTCATTAAAACTTACGTGATGTGAATTTCTATAATAAAATTTTTTCCACGTCTTTCTACGCTAGTACTCACACTTGTCGCGTGGTAAAGTTAACGCAAGACGAGTCAGTTTACACATTGAAGTAGTATTATTCTCGAAGGAATTCGTCAATATGAAATACTAAGGTGTCATTTTCTCCTCGCAGCTATAATTGTCTATGTCGTACTGCTATTTTAATCAAAAACATTGACCTAAATATTCATACTTCCTTTGGAGACACTTAATCGCGTATTCATCATGGCACGTTAATCATAAATGCTGACTCTCGAGTTCTGGAAAACAAAAAGGAAGTCATGCTTTGATGTATCATTGAATTTGAAAAGCCGTAGCGAAACGCGTCAACAAGGTCATCGAGATATCTCTCCGGACTTATTTTAATGATGCATCCATTCGAGTTCTCTCGTTTTGTATTTGATATGCCGCTAAATTTCTCATCGACAGTGAACTCAAGCTGATATTTCGGTTTGTTCCCTAAATTTCGATACGATTATCATACGGATACCATATGCTGCTAATATATTCCGGTGATTTACTTACAAGAACATTTACCCATACGCGCGTGATATTGTTGACAGTTTCATCAAATCTGACTTAGAATTTACCATCCTCTATGTCGAATAATACGGTGTTTTTTATTTGTCAATATTTATCAGCTTTATTTCACTGTACGAATTAGTGAGATAGAAAAAACAGAACACACAGGTATATATTTTCAAGTCTGCCAATCGAAAAAACACTAACTCTTCATCGATGCATCAACGTTGACGATAGCGGCCTCCTATGAAATAGTATCGAGTATGATTGGCTTGTGAATTTGAAAATAAAATGTATGATAAAAATAATTTCTTTAAACAAAAAAAAGAAAATCAACTAATCGTTAAAAACGAATGTCACGCACTTCTGTTCCTTTATAGAAAACGATTCAGAAGGAATTTTACTGAAAAGACATTTCATGTTTGATGTACAGATATTCAATTCAAAATTTCTCGTTGATATTCCATTGTAAGAAGGAAATAAGGTATTACCCGAATGTACCTATTCGAATCGATCAGATTGAAGATGCTTTAATGATCATTTATTCATTTCAAATCCATTACTTCTGTGTTTGATCTATTTTTCAATCGAAGGTGTTAATGTGTTTCTTGATTTCATTTGCAAACATGCATGAGAAGTTTCAACGACATTGATGACAAATTGTCTCTCTTCTCCTATATCTGTTCTTTGTCATCTCTATAATTTTCGCTGTCTCTTGTCCGTTCTTTCGATTGATTTTGATTGATGCACACTGAAATCAAAATGAGATACGTCTAATGTCTTTCGAATCATCGCCATATCTCCGTTATGGTTGGATGCGTTTCGCTGAGTATATGACCACGCGAAAGCAGTGAGAGATTGAAACGAACATTTAGGTGGTTGTGCATGTTAAAGTTGGTCGTCGTCGTTGTTGTTTTTTTCTCTCTACACACATCGTTTCGATCACCACTCTTGAAAAGAATCGAACTTGTACCAAAGTGTTCATTCTCTTCTAAGTGGCTCTTGTGCGATGTCCCTCATCATGATAACAACAGATATGTGAAGCATCTGGTGAATATTCTCATGTGAATGTAATCAGGTTTTTCAAAAAAACGAAGAAAAACAAGTGGGTTATTAGTTTGAATTTCGCTCGTGATTAGTTGAGAAAAATGCATACGATCATGAATCTTGTTGTTTTCACTTTACTTTTGAGTCTAACTGTGCTACCAGTTCAAGGTAAAGCTAACGATTATTTAGCGAAGTTTTTCAAAACGAGAAATCCGGATGATTTGCACGAGGAAGCCAAACGATTCCTTTCACTCTGGTTCAATCAACAACGAGCGGCAACTGATGGGTATACTCTGTGAAATACGTAAGATTTCTATTTGCAATTTTTCTTTGCCTTCAAAGACATTGGTGTTGTGCAATAAATCCACCATCGATCCCTGTCTTTTCAAGCACCGGCGATCTTCTCCAGTAAGAAAGTTCGTTTTTCAGTGAATAATCTTCGAGTTGATTGTTTAGCTACCAACCACAACCATGTCCTGACACACATATGGTTTGCTGTAAGGGATACATTAACATCCAAGGGCAATGTTTTTCTTTCGATGAAATCAAAGACATTCTTCCTGCTTGGCAAACACTCTTCGCTACATTCGGTTCTTCCATGACCGCCGAACAGATTCTTAACGCTGTTCATCAAATCGGTTAGATGGATACGAGGGAAAAAGTTTTGTTTTGAATTTCAATAAAAAGTTGAACTTCGATAGAGATTTTATTTGTTTGGAAAACAAAACTGGGACGAGAGAGTTGATTCATTTTAAAAAGAAGCTCAATCGCTGTTCATCACCGTCATCATGATGCATAAAACGACTAGTCGCCGATTGTCCATGGGAATGTTCGAAAAAATTTGATTTCTGATGAGAAGAGGGCGGGTGACGATGATGTTGATATTGACAAAGAAATCTATGAAATTCCTGACGAAAAATGGGTCCACTTAACGTATAGACATAGAAATGTGAAGCATGGTTCAATTGATGTAGAAATATAAATATGGTCGTGCTTATCCATAGTTGACAGGCATATTCAATTTGAAATTGATGAGTAAAACTTGTGCGAAGGAAATCATTAATTTCCGAGGGCAGAGATAAGATAATAAACAAGATTGATGTCAAAAGAAGGAAACCAGTAAGTTGTCGGTCTTTTTCTAGCCGTCGACGTCGTCGACGCGTTGACGCTGTTCGTGATAGGAAACTTTGTTTTCGCGTTAATCTTATAATAATAAATATATTACATATAAATATAATCAAAAACGGTATTAGAACTGTTTTAATGATATCAATGTACGAATCATAATGATGAACATAGAAGTTAACATACTCGGTCGCTGCTGGTAAACATGCGCCGGTGGAATCCACCCGAAATCCATACAGAAAATGACTGTTTATCAAACTGAAAAGAATAACAACTATGACAATAAAGATTTTTGCAATGGGTTTACGACAAAATCGATAATGAGCCGTTCGATGGGAGACTAAAATGCATCGATCAATGGCAGCCAGCGTTAAGAAGTAATTCGATATGTCAGTGGACGCATAAATAAGGAAAATAACGATTTTACACATGAAAATATTCGAGAGAAGTTGAATGCCATAGCCATAGAAAAGTAAATTCTCAATTGTATATCCAATTAATACACACATATCACTGACGCTTAAAGCAAGAAAGTACATTGAACAGGAACGCGAGCGAAGTACTTTGCGGCTGAAAATAACTATGGATAAACAATTACCGATCAAGCCGAGTATGACAGTCAATGTTCCAGCGTAGCGGAGAAACGCAGTGATATCGAACAAACATTGAGTCGTATAGTTCGTCGAACTGTTTCGATCATGATAGATGATCAATGTCGTTGACCAATTCGATGACACCATTTTGCCTTCGGAAAAACACACACACAGTTGAATACGTGATGTCAGAACGGAAAATATCTATGGTGGTTCCTTAATTTTATTGATAAATCATAAAAGAATAGCAAACAAGATCAAAACAAGTCATAACAGAAGAATTATTCATCGAGATCAACAGGAACATAACTGTGATGAGTTGAAACTTACTCGGAATGAAACAACGATGTTTTTCTACAAAATAGTTCTTTCAAAATAAACGCTAGGAAAAAAATAATTATCAGAAGTTTTGCACCAGTATACACATGGCTAATAATGGAAATGTTATTCCGTTAGATTTAAGTACATCATAAGAAATCTCTCATAACTGTGAGTTTCATGTAATAGGACTATGTGACAAAATGTCGAATACCATTCAAGTGCTTTTTGCATCGAAATCATCTGATAGAACTGAGATTGAGTCGTTTTTTAATTACAGATTTTTTCTTTTCTACGAAGGAGCTAAGGCGGAATCTCACAGAGGAAAAAAAAGGATTTTCCACTTTCAGTTTTCTACTATAGAAGTGAAAGAGCATTAATGAATGTTAGAACATTTATCTACAATACTTTCTTTCTTCTCCTCCTCCTCCGCGATCCCTTTCTTTTTTATTTCTCTTTTCTCTTCAAGATATTCTATTAGTTCTTATTTGTATTATCTATTATTTAAGAAAATACGAGAGAAAATAGCTGATATTTCAACGGCCTGTTACGCACACGCACTATACTCGATGTCACTTGTACACCTTCAAATACGTTATTGCTTTCTTTAATTTATCAACGCAGTTGTATAGACGTGTGAAGACATGCACGATAAGGATCTTACAAATCATTCTTGTATTCTGATGAGAAGGCGCTGTTCAATAGTTGTGAACAACTCTAGCTGATTGCGAGAACATGTTCCATAATTCAATTATAAATTCGCTTTGTTCGACCTCGACACGATTTCATTAGGATGGTATTGAGGGGCCATTGAGAAATAGTTCAAAAGAGCCTTTCCTCATGGCTATTTTAGGTCGAAATCGTCTTCACGCATTTTAATATTAAAAGAGGAAGACGATGAAGCTATTAGACCTTGAAAGCATCTTTCAGTCTTTGAATTGAATCGATATTAAAAGAAAACAAGAAAGTGTGTATCAACCAACACTTCATTTTCACTTGCCGAGCAATTTACTGGCACTTGAAAGAAATGCCGCTCATGTACGTGTAAGTATTGCTTTCCCCATCTTTTCAATTAAATCTACTCGATGATCTGGTCTGAAAAACGAAAATTTTCCCGTTTGCATATAGGCGAACGTCTAATTCTATTCTTTCCAATTTCCATAAGAATACAACATTGTCATATTCAGCACAGAATTTATTAACATTCAGCAACGTCGAAATTCTATCCACGTCAGACAGAACTAATAACAGCCGTCTCTCTATCATAAAATACACCCAAAACATCACAGCCAAATAAACATAACGTTATAATAAACATCATTAATGTCTAATGACATAGTAAACGGAAAGTTCTGTTACGGATTTTGTTTAGGTTTATCATAACAAAATAATGAAAAGGACTGAATGTGGAATTCATTGAAACGCCATCTGTTGAAGAAATAGTTTGAAAAAGTAAAGATTTGATCTTTTCTTTTCTCTCTCTCTCATACACATACTTGACAATTTCTATTAACAACAGGGAGAGTAATGGTAGTTATGTCAAAATGAGTCAATAGTATAGACGTGTCGATTTGTTCTGCTGTTTTTCTTTTTTCCTTTTCAAATCTCATCGACACAAGCATGAAAACAAAAAGTGAGAGAAAAGAAAAACCTGTAAGTATAAAAATTCGCTTTGGTTCAATGACAAATTTAATGGTATTTTGCAGCAATTTTATAGCCATATCGCTTCGGCGATCATACCAGTGGCAAGTATTGTTGCCGTTCCATCAGTCGCACAGCATTGTCCGCGTCAGAAGACGAATCCTCATGAAGATTGGGGACCTATAGCACCGACTCTGTTGCGAGCTTCAATGACCAGTCAGATGTTGATACCATCGGTAAATCTTAGTTCACTGCAGGATGATGAGGACGATGACGATGATAACGATCGTCCTTATCAAATAACAAAAAGACAACCGCCAATCGGACGAATGGATGCGAGTAGTGATGACGATGATAGTGAGAATGAAAGAAAACAGCGTCGGCAACCGACCGAGGCATCAAAACCTAGAAGTGTAAGAATGGTTATACATGCGTTTTCGTCGGAGTAAATATTAATCTTTGCTATAGAGTGCATCACGATCAGTATCAGTATCAGAAGCTGAAAAGCGTCTCTTTGGTCATGTTGATCGAGATGAAGGTATTTAATTTACTAGTACGAACTCTAATTTCATATTATAAAACAATTTTTGTACAGAACAAACGACAACAACAGCAGAATTGGGTCTAAGTTCAACTATTCATCTAGATAAAAAGAAACAATCAAAAAATACTGATGTATCACCATCATCAACAACGACGACAACAACAACAACAACAACAACAACAACAACGAATCCTAAACGAGCAACCGTTAATATTATTCGTCAGCATGTACCACCATTGAATGTGAACCCCATCGCAAGTCAATCGGGTCCATCTGCCGCTAGATCTACTAGCCCTATTGATGTAAGTCCATGCACTTCTCTCTAGTGAACCTTATTAACTATGTTTCTTCAAGGCCAATGATACTGAAACTCGTTCGACAACAGCACATTCATCTTTCAATGACACGACAACAGTTCCAAACAGCGCTCGCACAGTTTCTTTTAAAGATCCAGTCATTTGCAATACATACGATCCGCCATCATCGAAATCTCAACAGACAACAGTTGTTAGTGCGAAACGTGGTGAAACAGTTTTAGATCGTCTAGTTATTCCTCCTCCTGAAGAATATCAACAAAATTCTCATGAATTGGAAAAACGTATTCAATTATTGAACGATGAAAACCAACAACTAAGACTAACTAACCAGGTAAAATAAAAAAGAGCTACTTCGATTTTGTCTCCATGATCAATTCATGGTTTTAGAATCTTCAACGGCAACAAGACGATTTGTTGAATCGCTTACAAACATCACAGAAGCTCAGTCAACAAGAATTGAATGATCTGTTAAAACAAGCAGGACATGGTAATCGTTTACATTTCATTATTTCAACTCATTCTTCTTCTGTTTCTCTTATTTACAAATAGATCAAACGAAAGATCTGGAGAATTTAAATAAAACATTACAAAAGCGTTGTGATCAATTACAAAATGAATTACTCTCGTTGAAAGAACGATATGCTCAAGGTTAGCTAGATGAAAAGAAAATATTTTCTTCTCTATTATCGTTCAATTATAGAACAAGGTCAAACAAGTGCTCGAGAGCTGAAAAATGAAAATCATTTTCTCAAAGAGTACATTCATCGGCTAAATGCAGAAGCGAGCGATTATCAAACGCTACATCCACCCGACGTTATCAAAACTGATATCCAGGTATGTCAACCGATTAGATAAGTACGAATTTGTATGGTAGGAATGAGAAGCAGAGGGGAAGGGGGAGGCGATACTTGATCATCTTTGAGCGAAATTTCAAGTACGAGTAGAGTGAGGTTGAAGTGAAGTCGTGCTCTTTTCCTCTTCATGTAAGAACTTGATGGTAACAACACAATGAAGCTTGTCAAGTTCGCAAAGCAGTTCACACTTACTCTATCTTCGAGGGGAATCATTTTCGATTCGAACATATCTTTATACTTCGATTTCATCAAACAAATTCTCTCTTTTGTTAATGAGGATTATTTTCATAGACATGAGTACATTTCGTTGGCTTCTCTTACGTTGATTTACTGGATTCTATAAATAACTCATCTTTATTAATGATAGCCTATTAGAAGGAATCTAATGAATACAAATTCGGTTTTAATTGTAGAAAGAACAAAGAAAAATGCAAGGTCTACCAATGAAAGGACCATCACCGATTTGGCTCGTACGTACCTTTTTAATTCTCCATATGTGTCATTGTGGTCTTCTTGTTTTCAGCTTAATCAAAAGTTTCTTGCTCCATTATTTGTTTGCTACGACGAGAAACTTCACCAAAGGGAAAACTTCATTCGAAAACTTCAAGTAAAACGATGAATTTTGTGAGAAGATTTCTCCATAAGCACCTTGTTGATCATCTAGAGTCAACTGCAAGAACTATATAATGAGGTAAAACAAGTTACAAATGAAAATCTCTCACTACACGAACGAATTGCTCGCACATCATCAACAGTCATCCAGCAGAACACGGCTAATACAGCTGATATGTAAATACAGATTGATTTTCAAGATTTGACGGCGATTCTTTTCTTATAGAGAAAATATCAAACGACAGGCGTATCTGGTTTTAGAAGAAAATAAAGTTCTTCAAGAACAAGTCAATTTACAGACAACTCGTTTAACTGATATTCAAAAAGCTCAGATTCAAGAAGGTAGGATACGCCGTGTTTTCAACAGATCAAAACAGAACTGTGAATGTCTTCTGCAGTTTCAAATTTAAGTCGTCGATTAATGATTGCTGAAACGGAAAAAACTGAAGGCGATCGAACATTGGAAACTATCCGCATTAAAAACGAAGAACTACGCAAAAAATATGAACAAATAGTCATTGAAAATGATCACCGAATACACGTCGAAGATCATGTTCGTGAAATCAACGAAATGAAACGACTAACAGGTATAAGGAACTAATAACGAGCTTATGTTTGCATTCGCCCATCAATAGATGAACTAAGTGAAAAACATGCGGGCGAAATGCAATTGCTTCTACGTCGAGTACAGGTATAGGAGAACTGAATCGGATTTCGTTCATTGAAATAAACAACTCTAGGATGCCGAAGCTGCTAAGCGAGCAGCTCAACTGAAACTGAGTGAACATCGTGGTGATATGGAACGATTGAAGAATGATTTAAAAGCTGCAAAGAAACTCAATCAAAAACTACAAATTCGCGTGCAAACATTCGAAAAGAAACTGGAGCTTCAACAAATGAAAGAACAGCATACGGCTACGTTGCTTGATAAAGCTAATGAAGAAGCAGAAAAGTGTCGACTAGAACAGGAAGCTTACTCGATTCTGGTAAAAAAGCACAGTCGGTTATAATTTGTAGGAACTTTTCATAATTTCTTATTCAAAGGCGAGAACTAAGGAAGAAGAAGCAACTAAAACAAAAGAATTAATACAAGAGGAAGGCAAGAAGTTGAACGAATTAGAGAATCGATTGGAAAATTACAAGAGCAAGAGCAAAGAACGCGTCAACGAAGTACAAGAACAGTAGGTTACCATTGAGATCTATTCCGGAACATGACATTTTCTTCTGGCTAGAATGAAAAAGCAATACGATAATTTGAAAGTACGTTGTTCAGATTATGAACAACGTATACAACAATTGATGAGTCTACTGGGCGAAAAACAAATACTCATCGATGATCTACATTCCGAAAAACGGTAAGTCGAATGATTTGAGATTCGATTTTCTCACGTCTTCCATTTCAGCAATCTTGAAGTCGACCTCGAGACCATTTGGTTAACGACCAATGCTGATAACAAACGAATGCTCGAACAATTGCACGATATGCGTGTAATGACCTGAGATGTTCCTCCTTTGCAATTCGCACCTGTGATAAAGATGATAAACCAAAAGAATGAATATCAAAGAACAGTATTTTTTATTTATTATGATAACTACATGTTTTTTCTTTCCCATTGGCGTTGTGTTTCATGCGATCTTTGTTATTAAGTAAAATAAATCTAGATTACAGTATGAGTTGTACAAATCACGTGTGCATATGTGATCCGAATGTTCGCAGAGATTTTTTTAGTATTAAGGAAAAGAGGATTGGTGATGATAGAGATTTTCGTGAGAGAAAAAGCATGATGTTTGCCGAAGGAGATTCTGATTTAAATAGTTGGATCTAGATGAAATTTTTCCGATGTGCTTAACCTCCGAAAAACAAAGAGGCGCAAATTATGTTAGGTTTGAAAAAGAAATTAGCAAATGAAATAAGTCTTGATAAAGTTCATCGTGATTTTTATTGCCTTTTGTCCTGCCTCGGTTGATTTACATGCTATTTAAGATAATATTGTCACAAAAAAAAAGAAAATAAAGATTAGGTATTTTCAATATAGGACCGTGAAGATTTTCATTCGAAACGTTGTTCATTGAGACAATCGTAGAATGGAGATATTTTGCCCAAACGTGCTTGAGATTTCAAAAACCACAATGGCTTATTTTCGCATGGATCATGTTTATTGAAGCCTTTGTGACGATTAGAGCCGCTTTTAATAGATTCAATGTTGTCACCAATTCCAGCAGCATTATTTGCATCCCAGTTGTCATAGTAGCGCTTACGAACCACTAATGACGATGATGAACACTGAATTACAACTAAACGTGAATCAATTCAAGGCGAGTTCAGTACTGGAGAAGGAAACTTACGAATGACCAAAAATACGACCACTGCCAACGAGACAATCGATTTCATCATTGCAATTGGTATGACGAGCCTTGTGAATCTACAACGACAGACAGTCTACTCAATACAATAGGTAGGCAATGAGGCGTCTACAGGGGACATCTGAGATATTCTTAGGTTTTTTCATCTTTGATATAATTGACTAAAAAGCATGCCATAGGGGAATTTGTGTCTCTCTGTTTGATTGAAAAGATCTCTTTCTATTTCCACGGTGTGACAAGGTTCGAATGATTATGAAACAAACTTTGCTTGTTAACTGGCTATCCTGCCGTGTGTAGTTTCTTAGAATTCTGCACGCAAGAAGAATTTTTTCTTGTGATTCGGTTTTCTGAGAAACTTCTAATTCTATTTCAATATCATTTCATGTCACTCGAAACGACTCGCATCGTTACATATTCTGCTTTTCTTATATTCTCCTATATGAGATCGAGATTGTCTCATTCTCTTTCTTTCTGCTTCTCATTCGTCTGACAACTTCTTTGCATCTGAACATCAGACGCAATTGAGTTTTGATGCTTTCGCACACATATATTGACATGTAATTCTTTTCCTTGTGAGAGACAAGAGAGAAAATATGTAACCAGCAGATGAATAATTCGAGGGAAAAAAGCAAACAGAGAACTTCTTGTTTCTTAGTAACTTCTATTTGAACAGAAATCAAGCTTGAACAAAACTATTCAATGTAAACCTATGTTCGTGTATTTAGTCACTCGTTAATAATAAAGACGAGAGAAAAGAAGATAGAATCTCAAATCAGTCGACTGACTGTCAACAATTTATAATCATGATTATTTATCTTTCGGCGAAAGAGAGAAAAACAATTCTCGTCAAACGAAACATCTATATAATCAAATCAATTCTAAATCAATAATTAAGCAAAATGCCTCAGGAAAAAAGACTTCAGCCGATCTAAATGTCAGATACAAACTTGCACTCATCTACTATTGCTCACATGAGATTCACGCTAGTGAAGAAAAAAATTCTAATTCGCAACAATCAAACTTTAACACCGAAAATAATCAGACGCTATTCCGTATTATCTTGAGATTTGTTTTCTTCATGATTATAGATCAATGTTTGTACCTAACGCGCAACTACTCGTGTCTCGAACTAATATCTTTGTTGGTATGAAATATCGATATGCTGATGTGACAGAATTTCATCTTAGACTCTTGTCAATAAGCGAAGAGTAGTTTTACTGATGAAGCAGAGTTGAGCACTAAAAAGTTCTTCGTACTACAGTTTTTGAATTGTAAGTTTTGGACAGCAAAACGACTTTGATCACGTCTGGTAAAAATCGACGGAAAAGTATTAGCAAGAAGAGATTTTGAAGCATTAATCCATCCTTCTCGATCTCCGAAATATGATTAGCATATCTCTTGAGTTTTCTCGATACATCGATAAAAACAATTTGTCTTCGGTACAATTATCGAATAAGCTATTTGGAAATTTTGAATATTCATAGATTTGTGAGGTTGCAAGTAGTTTTGACATGACATGTCGAAGTAATGACACGGGATGTTTTCGACGAATAATGACCGAGTCGATCTGTTTTTATATTATTAACATGTAATCTCTTGCTGTTCATTCGAAGACGATTATGATTAATGATCATGTTTCGATCGAAGGGAAGTGAGGAAGTTTTGACAGTCAGATGTATATGTGAACGACTGCCATCTGCCGTTCGACATTACAATGTCAGTAGACACCATCTACGAAAAATCTTGATTCGATTTCGAGTTGATTTATATCATATTCGAGTAGATGAAGTTTTATTTTACTTGAAGAAATTTCTGATGAATTTATTACGACAAAAAGCCGTTCGTCAGGTACACTCATTGCTATTTTGAACAGGAAAATAGGAGAATTAATGTCTAGATTAAAGCAGTACTTCGATCAATACCAGAGATTCGTCGTGTGAATGATGATCAAGCATGTTTTGATGAAAAACTCTATTCGTTAACACGAATTGAACCTGTTCGTCACAAAGAATCAGCTTTGTAAGGACTGTCTTACCATCATTTGATTACTAAACTCTTTGATGGGTTTCTAAAGACCTTTAGGTCGATTTATGGTATCAATACCGCAATGTCAAGCAGCTTCCTTGATCGAAACAGACATTGAATTTAATAAAAATTCAAATATTCGATCATTAGTAAATCAAACTTTGCTATTGATTCCTATATAAGATTCTTATTTTCTTAGCCGATCGAACAAAGTGATCACCAAGCAGTCTTGGATAAAGACGGCGGATTAAGAGTTCCTGTTGACCTTTCAGCATTTGTTTCAGTAAAACTTATTTCCTCTCCATCAGTCTTTCTCCGTCTTCATTTCGCTTTAGACAGCATTCAATGAACAAGTTAAAATAGCTCGTACATCGTCATACTACGATTTGAAACGATTTCGTTGGTATTTCGATGATTGGAGGAAAATACCTAAATGGACTGAGATAACTGATAAAGCAATTGCTGAACGAAAGAATCGACAAGTTGTCGTCGAGTTCAGGTAGCATATCAATACACGTGCGTCTTGTTGTTTGTTGAATCGGAAAGGATTCTAGCTCACCAAATATCGCCAAGCCACTTCATGCTGGCCATTTACGTTCCACATTACTTGGTCAATTTGTTTCAATAATACACGAACGCTTTCAACATCGAGTCTATCGGTTAAATTACTTAGGGGATTGGGGAACACAGTATGGTAGGAAAGAAACGGTTTCATCAATAAATACTTTAGTTTTCCAATTCAGGTCGACTGGCGGTGGGATTCGAACGCTTTGGATCTTATGAGGAACTTCGCCAGCATGCATTGAAACATCTACTTGATGTAAGTCTCGGATTCGAAGTTCAAATCAGTCGATGTTCGCTATCATAGGTCTATGTTCGTGCTAATCGAGATGATGTACTGCAAGAAGATGCCATGAACTATTTCGCGAGAATGGAAGCAGGTGATAAAGATGCACTGAATTTATGGAAGACATTTCGCGAGATGTCAATCAGTAATTTAAAAGAAGTCTATAAGGTAGAGTTTGTTCTCAATTGAGAGTGAAATGAGATCGAAGTTTAGTTGTTCAATATCCATTTCGATGAGTATCAATCGGAATCGCAATATTATCAACAAGCGAAAGAAGTCATCAAACAATTACGTGAACTTGGTTATGGTCATCAACGTTCCGATGGAGTGTTAGAAATGATCATACCAGCGAAATATAATTCTCTACCACGCGACGCTCGTGTTGTTGTACAGAAATCTGATGGAACTACACTCTATATCACAAGGTGAGTAGTAAATGACTGAAAAGATCTTTCTTGATGAAATTCTATTGTTCTCAGAGATATTGCTGCGTTGAAATCCCGATTAGAAACTATGCCTATTGAAAAACTACTATATGTTGTAAGTGATCACGACGACGCACGAGAACAATATGTCGCACTAATAATTCTTCGTATCTTTGCAAAGGTAGATTCGAGTCAAACGGAACATTTTCGTCATCTGCTAACAATATCAAAAGCTATGCAAATTGATCAAGTACAAAACTGGTAAGAATCGGTCACTGATGAATATGGTAGATTTGTTCGATTTCAGGGATTTGGATGATATGTACATTCCATTTGGTCGGATGATAAACTTTCAAACACGAAAGGGCAAATTTGATCTGTTGTCCGATGTATTCGAAGATGCTAAAGAACGAGCTAAAGAAGGCTTAGATCGTTTTCTAAGTAATCGACCAATCCAGTCATTTTCTTCTTCAAAAATCAATTTGATTTTAGTTCGTAAGTCAGGCATTGACGAAGTCAAAATATCCGAAGTAATTGGCAAAGCCTACTTAATCCTAACCGATTTTTCACGACCAAGACGTGCTGATTACATATTTTCCTGGCATGATATATCATCCAAAGATGGTATCGCATTCCTACTTCTCTATTGTCATGCACGATTATGCAGGTGGAACATGTCTACCCTTCGAAACAGTCCACATTCTCAGACTCATCTTGTTTAGTTTGGAAAGAGAAGTTAAAATGCCGATTGATTGGTCAGCTGATGTAAATCGATTGAAAGATCGACGAGAACACATTCTCATCCAACAGCTGAGCTGGTAAGAACTTCAAGACGTTGAACATATGTACTTACTATTTCTGAATTGCTAATTAATAATTGATTAGAGGTTGACCTTAATTAAAAGTCATTGTTTGAATATTGAGAAGAGAATCTATTAGATAAGGTCATGGCCTTTTATTATTTGGACGATTTAGTTTATATGGATGAGAATCCATTAACATTTGTCGAAAACAGAAGACAACGAGGATGCATTAGTTTTAATTGATTGGATTTGATAAACTCGGACTGCTCTTTCTCCAAATGAAGTATGACTTCATCGGAGAATTACGAGCATTCTTTCTACTAATGAGACTGCATTGACTTGTCGAGTAGAGTAAATCTATTTTCTTCTTGATATCATCGAGCGATATTTCTTTTCCATATGACAAAACGTCTGGAATATTGTCATGTCTAGCAATAAAAAACATACGTTTCATAATGAATTCGATTTTCATAAGCAAACTATTTATCTTCTTTTGTTTAGCTTTCAAGATGTTCTCTTCGACGCTTATCGTTCATACGAACCGAACAAAGTCGTGCAATATCTTGTTCGTCTTGTGTAAGTTTCTTTGTTGATGAATCTCAGTAATAACTGGCAGAAAATGACCTGCTTTTTTTTGCAAATTTATCAATGAGATAGACAATCACTCGACACGCACGCGGATAGTAGAAAAAGTGTCAAAACATACAATCTATGTTCTTGCTATAAAAAAAAACTGATCACTACCGATGAAAAAAGCAATTCAATATTGTTCGTTTACTGGCGTTTGCGAACTAAAATGTAATGCGATGTGTGTGTCGACATGTTATCACCAATAGCAGGATTACCGCCACCACCAGTTGCAGCCGATATTTCATAGCCTAAACGAATCATTTTACCGATAACATCCATATAAACAAGAGCTCGTTCGTCTTTTTCTGCTGAATAGTTTCCAAACCAAACAAATGCAGATTCGGACGCGTTTGGAAGAATTTCGTGAACGAGTTCTTTTTCGGCAAATATACGATAGTGCTTTGGATACGATACGAGGACGATCAACGAAACAACATCAATTCGACCGCTTGCCGAGTCACTGTCTGCAGAGTTCGATGAAGCCATGGCTGATGCGATCGGAGGAAAACAATAATATGAGCGAGCAGTAGAGTGTAATGGGCGGACAAATAGTAGAGAGAATAAAAGACGACGATGTTCTGATGGTAATGATTACGGGGGTCGCGGCTTTTCGGAGAGCAGAAAAAGATAGAGAAAAGAAGAACAGCTTAGGTATTTTCTAGCTTGTGTATTACAAGGTCGCCGTGTTTCCGTTTTCTCCTTCTCCTTCTTCTTTTTCTTCTTAGTCGTTTTTTTCGCAGAAGATTGATTGAAAGACATGCGGGATGGCATTTTCTTCATCTGATAATAGTGTGTTGTGTGGCTGCTAGTTTCCTATATAGGTTCGCTATTGTTGATAGGTGTTGCTGTTATTGTTATTATTATTATTATCATTGTTATGATCTCATTTCCTTTACACGACGCACGTTGTGTTGCATTTTGTCGAAGGAAGAGTTTTTCTCGTTCTTGTTCTCAACATATCATTTAGTGGACTGAAAAACAAAAAATATTATTAATTATCAGCTGCCTGATGACGATCAGCCATGCTAGTTAAGTATCGTTTGTCTTCGATGCTGCATACATATACCATTAGCTCGACATTGTTTGACATTTTCCAAAGAATTATAGATTGGAAACTTATTGTTTCAAACGAATCTTACGAGAAAAATCGCGAAAAAATAACCATGCATACATCCATCGAAAAGCGAATCGGAACGTGCGAGATCATTTTTCATCAGATGTTTTTCATTATAGAAAATGTATTAATCGAGCATTGGCTACACTCTATGTCAAAGATGAAGAACTCGAATTAGCTAAAGTAAGATTAATACCATTCTTTTTACGATTTGCAGAACGATGTGTTCTAGGCTCGTTTGCTGCTCTATCATATGTGTCGTCTATCACTCAAAGAAGGTCTTGAATTACTTGGCATTGAAGCATTGACTCGCGTATGAGTTGTTACTTATTGTTGTTGTTGTTTCTTTTCAAATAAAATCAACTTTTGTTATCACACAAAAAAAGAAGAAAGATGAGAAAAACTTGAAAATAACATTAGATTCATTCATAGAACTACTCGATTGAAAGCTATCCAGTTTATATCGCCCCAAGATCTGTGTAACAAAGAAAAACAATGATTAATATATCACAATCGACACCTTGCATTCGGATAGTAACTGAATTGTCGGTATCCGTATTCCATAAACATCGCGAAGCAACATGCAAGCCAATTGTTGTCGTTGGAAATACAGTTAAATGAACAACAATTTTGTATCGATGATCACCGCTGCCGGTAGCAGATAGGAGATGAGTTTTCACTTTCGAACGGACTAAATTGCCGAGTGCAGATAGTTGGGAAGCATAGAGTAGACTGGAGTGGAATTGCATTCGTTTTGTGTGTGCACGTATTTGTGTGTCGTGCTCGAGTTGGTGTTTCAATTCTAACCAATTCACAGGACGTAGTGGTTCTAATTGATGTGTGTCTTGTTCACTTGAAGATACACTGTTGGTTCGTGGTAAACCTGTGTTAATCTTAGCTTGAATATGGCCGTAAAGTGTTGAACGTTTCGGATGTGCACTATGAGTGACATGCGAAGACGAAAGTTCTTGAGAAGGTTGTGGTACAGTGTTCCGAATGGTACGTTTAGCTGGTTCATTTGTTGTTGAAATGATCGGTGGTATCGGTTCTAGATTGATTGGTAATGCTAATAGTGGACTTGGTGATTTAGGTGATAGCAATGAATTAGTGCGACTGATTGGGGGAAGAACTGCGAAACCATTTTGTTTACATTGATGAGTTAACGATTGTTTGACTTTGGTGGATGTATTACACGTTGACTGTAGGCGAGGAAGATGATTATGGTAACCATGTGGTTTAATCATCTTTGGATCATTTTGTGTCATCCTACGACAAACAAGTTCATACATGAATCTTTCTTCTCGATTTCGAATATTCAACATACCATGGCTTAATAGAGTATCGTTTTACTATGTCGACCATTTTCACACTTGTATATAAAATGCTGGAAAAAATATGTGACAACGTGCATTATAAATCTACTGTCATCGAGAAGCTCTAATAGGATTGTTGTCATAGGCATGTTTGTCTATACTAACAAACTAGAGGGTGTCAGGAGAGAAGAGAAACGTTGTAAATATTTCATCTTTGAATATATAAATGTGTTGAGATAGGTCGCTCACGTAGAAGACGTTCTCTAGTCATTAAAAGAAACTCTAGATTTATAAGGTCAAACACAACACATTGATCGGATTTTCGTTGTAGGAACACCGTGACTTTCGGCTTCAATATTCTTATCTGATTATTATACATGGAGGACATTTCGAAAAAGTTAAAATAACAATGTTTGTTTAATGAGCTAACTGAAAAAAGAACAGCACCTGGGTGTAGCCATGCAATTAAAAAAGAGTCTTTGCTTATTTTAGAAGTATTATTCTTTTCAAATCATAATCTCCTTTCATTACCTGCGATTCATTAACGACAAATCGACGATTTCGTTCTATTTCGGCGACGACGCATGAAATTCAACGTGATCAACTGACGAGAGACAGTACGAAAACTGATCTAAGATCAAGAAAGAAGTTTATTAGTACATGTGTCTGTATCGAGTATACTCTCAGTGAAATGATTTCTCTCATTTTTATTGTTTTATCTGTAAGTACTTGAACATATCTTCAATTTTCAATGTTACAACTCCGATAAGAAGTTACAAATTTGAACTCATTCATCTGTTTCTCTCAAGCTAAAAGAATATGCGTGATATTTATCGTGTATAATGTCATATATATTAATATTCATTTATTAAGTTAATAGGAATCTGCCATCGTATATAAGAAAGAAATTAGTTTATAGTTTTGGTGTCTATCCGTAGACATGTCCTTCAATGTATTTCAATAAAGCTAATTCTCCAGCTAAGGTTTCTTGACCACTTGGTAAAATTTGATTTTCGGGTAATAAGAATCCATATTCTCCTACAAAATGAACCAGTATTGATGTGAAACGAACATAGCTAATCACTTCGACTGACCTGTATCTCGAAGTTCGACAGCATAACTAAAAGTAATGTTAGCAGTGCCAGATGTCCAGTCAACTGTGTTACCGGATGCAACGTAGATTGTTGCACCGATATTGCCATGAACGTATCGAGTACCTGAAACGAGTCTTCCAGATATATTCGAAGTTTTTCGTCTTCTATTTACCAAACACAGCACGAAGTGCGGCAACAGCTTGAGCTGAACCATCATCTTGTAATTTGAATTGAGCTGGCTTCTTTGTTGTATAGCCTAACAAAGGTAACTTTCAGAAACGTGGGTGAAAGCAATTGAATTTTACCCCATGGTGTCATCCATAGTTGCGAATACGAATGAAAGTTGATGTAATGAACAATACTATCTTTATGATCACTGATAAACTTCGATACTTGGAGAGTTTCAATTTCCGAGAACGGTTTACTACCACAATAGATATCATCGCATGGATCATGCGTGGCACCACCTAGAAATGATCTAGTCATACTTGTTTTCGTTTAAATAAACCGATCAATACCTTCGCACCACTGGTAATCCCAGTTACGATTTGGATCAGCACCAAAACAGTTAGGATTCGATGTTTTGCTTCGAGTTTTGCGCCATAAACGATCTAGAATGAATAAAAAGCTTTCTATTCAATCGATGCGAAACTAATTACCTTTGGACCATGTGTATGCATAACCGTCGACGTTGAAAACTGGTAAAATATAGTAATCGAATTGATCAACAATGTGTGTTATTGTTGGATCAATGCTATAGTTTGATAGGAGTGCGTGAGCAATATAGATATTCGTTGCTGGACTAATCCATTCACGCGCATGAATACCTAAAAAGTTGTGTTTTTGAGAAAATGTATGAGAGTCGTTATCAGGTGTACCTCCGTCCCACCAAACAGCTTTTTTTGCGTTCACCGGGGTACCATCACGTTTAACAGCTGCTTTATTTGACGAAATTTTCAAGCCTTTCAGATCGCGTTTTTCATACGACTGACCAACTACGAATGAACTAGCTAAGTTTGGATATGTTTGCACCATTTTATCAATCCAAGCATGGATTTCTTCAAGTGGATGGTATTTATCGTAAGCAAAGTCATCGGCATTGTAAGTCGACGATTCTAATTTGTGAATTAACTTTTGTCCTTCAATAACAGAGCCGATATCTTTCATAGCTACATCGTATTTGACATTCAATTCCTTTGATAAATACGTAGCGAAACTTTCAATCGATTCTGGTGCTACACTAACAATAATCTACGAAAGATAAAGTAACAGTATGACATATCAACGAATGTATGTGGAAAAACTCACCGGCATATCTTTACGGAACTCTTCAGACCAAAAGTTAATTTTATGTTGATATGCACTACGGCTAAATTCAAGTATTTTAGCTACTTGCTCATTGTTTACAATATGTAAATGCCACAGTTGATATTGTGAATAGGATTTGTACGCATTCACATTAGAATCGATTGTTGCTAGTAGAACAATCGCAACTAATGATGAAAAGACTATTTTCATACTTCTGTTAGCCAAAAAAAAACGAAGATGAAATGATAACGCATCGCCGCAGATATTTATATCACCATCGATGTGAAAATCGAAAAAAGATAACACGGTTTCAAGCAGCGAAAAAATGCTGACACGATATCGACTTCTAATTGTCAGCATGATAGATAATGCACTTGAGAAAAAAATCCTTGATGGTCTATTCAAACGACAAACAATGCCGATAGCATAAAACACCGAAGTATTAGTCGATCATTCAATCTTAAAACAGTTTGAGACTGTGTTATGTCTATTTTCTTTTGCACATTGCTTCGAGAAAACATGTTCAGTACAGAAAAAGAACGAAACGAACAACGAGAAGAAGTATAACAACAATGAGATAAAGATACTGATCAATTGAGAGATATCCTGAAAACAGCTATACACCACCGAGCAGAGAAAGAAACGAACAGACAAAACATATCAGTTATTTTCAAGACGGACGAAAACAAAGATTTCCAAGTCATTTCACTGTCGCAACTTTTTGTTGATGAACAGTTCGTTCATTGCGTCGTTTAAATAGATTCGAGTCACCAATTGGACCAAGTGCTAACGTTTTATTTGTATTAGCATTCATTGCATTAAATGTAGCATCAAGATTGTGCTAGAGAGGGAGACCGAATGATTTCAATAGACATTGGAGAAAGGAAAGAATATCAATACATACGCGGACGAGATTATAATCTTGAATATTACTCAATTTGACATTTGGGAGATTATCAATATTAGAAAACCATGGATGTTTACACAGCTGAAGTGCCGTTGGTCGCTTTTTTGCATCCACATCAAGCATTGAACTGACAAGTGCCTGAAACGATAGTTTATCAGTAGAACGATTAATCTCAAGAACGGAAGTAACTACATACTTTTGCATTATCTGTTACTCGATCCCACGTTGGCCCTGTAAATTGTATCTTGGTAGATGTTCGTGCAAGAATTGTTTCATGAGAATCATTTCGATCACAAACGAATGGTGTATTACCAGACAATAAGGTGTACAACAATACTCCAAGACTCCCTAGATACAAACGCATGGTAATCGAGTCTTTTCTTATCATTTGTTTTACATACATATATCACAGGATTCATCGTACTGTTTTTTCGAGAGAACTTCAGGCGCAGCATATTCTTTAGTAAAACACGGTGTCATCAGTAAACCATTTTCTGCACGTTGTTGCTTGGCAAAACCAAAGTCAACGATTCGCAACGATGATGCCTGACGACTCTCATCAAGATACATTATGTTTCGTGGTTGTAGATCACGATGTACTAAAATGAGAAGATCATGTTTTCCATTGGGATATGATCGATGAGAAGGGAAAAGCTTACCGATTGAGTTTCGATGCAATTGCTCGATTGTTTTTATGATCACAAACATGATTTTGGCACTTTCACGTTCTGACAGCGATTTTTCTTGACGAATTTTATCAAATAATTCACCACCACGCATCAATTCAGTAACGATATAAACACTTGGCGTATTGTAAAACGCATCGCGTATCTAAACGTTAAGAAAGAGTAGATTCGATTAAGTGAATCTCTTCGAAAGTTTTCATCCATACATGAATGATATGTGTTAGTTGTCGATAACAAAATAATAGTTCGATTTCGTCAGCCGGATCATGAATATGTGCATCTTTGATGACTTTCACTGCATATTCCATATGTGTTTGTTTGTGTATACAGCGATAGCATATCGACATTTTTCCTCGTCCGAGTGCTTCTTTTAATTCGTATTCATCATTGAACGGAGTAAATTTCACGCCACTGATTGCTCGTAAACGTCGCTCGATGTTACTCACATACGTTGGATCGCCTTGACGAGCATGAATGAGATCTGGTGCGATGTAGCTGAAGCCTTGAAATGTTTTATTAGCATCAGCGCTGGGTGGAATACCCGGTGAATCTAAAGAAAGCTTTCGAATGAAAATATGTTCGATAAGTAACAAATAGAGTGTTACCTGTTGGTGTTTTACATGTAAACTCTTTATCAAAATAATGTGCATAGTCAGAATGAATCGGTGGTATAAATGGTGGTTCAATTTCTCGTCGATATAATTTATCCCAATCAATCGAGACAAAAAATGCGTGTTTTTGAATGTTACGAAAACCATCAGGTCCTGCGCCTAACCGATTGGCTGGATTACGTTTGAATAACATTCGTAATAAGCTTTGCGCTTCTAATGATGGATAAGTTGGCATAGCTAATTTCGCTTTCAATATCATATTCATTGTTTCTTTACGGTTTGCACCATGAAACGGTAAATGTCCAGTGATCATTTCGAATGCAAGAACACCGAACGACCACCAGTCAGCAACATGCGAGTGTCCTTTACGTGATACTACTTCAGGTGACATGTATTCCACCGTACCGCAGAACGAGAATGTTTTCGAATCTTGCGTTGGAATCGATTCTTTGGATAAACCGAAGTCAGTTAGAGCAATGTGACCATCTGAATCGAGGAGAATGTTTTCGGGTTTTAAATCGCGATAGACAATGCCAAGAGAATGTAGATGATCGAGAGCAAGTGCCAATTCCGCTAAGTAGAATTGAACATCTCGTTCCGTGAACATGACTGAAGAAAAGAATTCAGATAGAATTGAACACGATCGATGTCGTACCTTCTTTTGATAGACGTGTGAAAAGATCACCGCCACGTAGAAAATCCAGCACCAAATATACTTTGCCTTGTGTTTGATAAGCATAATGAAGTTTAACAATGAATGGATGGGATATTTGAGCTAAGATATCTCTCTCCATCTTTGTTCGCTGTCGATCACGAACTATAGAAAACACAAGAGACATTCGGTTTTATTATAATGAACAACGCAACCAAACATTACCTTTGAGACTCGCTTTTGTAAGTACTTTCATCGCATAGAGTGTACCCGCGTCAGGTCCAACAGTCTTTCGAACAAGAAAAACCTTTAAAGGCAAAAATAAAGGTAATTAAATAGAACCATGAAAAAGTTCCTACTTTTCCAAAGGAACCGGCACCCAACGTCTGCAGCAGCTCGAATTGTGACGAATCAGCTCGATCACAACCCTCCTTCGTAACATTAGTAATTTCGATTTCGTGCTCACTACCATTATGTTCATCCTAAATAAGAAATATTAATTAAAAAATAAACAACACAATAGTCTATACATCCTACATCCTGGTCTGATGAGTTTTGACGTTTGTCCTCATCACCGCCATATGAACTCCAAGCGAATGAAAACAGTGAATGAAACATACCGAATAATACTCAGTTAAAAAGTAAATATAATATGCATGATTTATTAAACGGATTCTCATTACGTTTTTTTTTTCTGTCTCCCTCCCTCTTTCTATTTATCCGTTCGTTTTTCTTTTCCGATCAATATGTGTCATACGGAGAACGACAAACGCGTATATACCTGACTTTTTTATGCATGCATTACTCTCCATATGTGCACTTATCGCAGCTGCGTATTCGTATCATTAGATGAAAATGAATGACAACGACGTCGATTAATATCGTCAATATTGAAATATACAAAGAAACCCAAATTATGTTTCAAGGCATGATATTAAGACGCTTGTTGTCTCGTGTTTTCTTTATGAATGTCAAGAGATTCTTAGAAGCTTTCTTCTACCTAGATTAATGAGTTGGATGTCAGTCGATGAGATGCATATGATTATTTATTTAATAGGCAAAAATAAGAGAGAAAATCCGTGACCTGATCTTTCGTATTAGGAAATCTTTTCAACTTGCAATTATATAAAGTTGTTTTCTTCGCCTCAGCGAAGTGTTCTTTCGATCGAAGTATTCATGTGCATTGGTGCATATTTTCAAGGTAAAAAGGAAAACAGCAGAATAGGACAAATCGATTTTGATGAAAAAGCAGGATGCACAGTCGCTGGCATCTATTATCATTGTTAAAAAATATCTCCGAAGAAAAGCGTCAACTTGATTATGTTCTGAAGTCAAAAAAACTGATATCCCTTTCCATACTCAGAATAATATTACAGATTGAGATTTATAATTATAGTCAAATTACTGAACCTTCTCAATCCTCTTCTCATATCTGTAATTAACTGTGTGACCGTGCAAAGTACATTGCATTGCATTTAGAAGAAAAGAACAAAGGAGACATACCGCCCTGCTTCTATCCTACGCGTTTTTTAAACTGACACAAACAAAAGACAAACATTATATATACATGGCATTAGAAAAAACATTTCAATTCAATAAATGATATAGTGTATGTATGCACAGAACGCGAACACACGTTTTTCGAGTGGGCGACAGTGCCGATGCGGGTGCTTTGTGTAACAGCAGTGTCTGTTTCCGCGCCCACATATGAGAAACGAACGAAAAGATTCGGGTTCTTTCTTTTAATATAAAAGAGCAAGATGTTCTATTGAAAGAAAAAGTATTTCGTAATCAATCCTATTTGAGACTTATTTATGTTCGTATCGTACTAAAGAAAAAATACGGCAAATTTGATTAGTTTCTCAAAAACAATAGATCAGCTATAAATAATAGCGCTCGTGTTGGAGAATAAAGTCCGTAGAGTAAATCAGATGGGAATTATTAGACAAAAACAAATCACTTACATAGTTCATATCACTAGATATATTTCGTTGGACGGATGGAAATGACGCACTTGAATCAGTGGTTAACACTAACGATGGAACAGTAGCTAAGTCCAAAGAACTCATCGTGTTCGTATTATTATCTTCACTGACTGTCTTATCAGATGCTCTTAAGCGTCGAAGTAGTGATCGACGAGTATTGAAAACATTGTTTTTCATATCGGAGTGACTGTCTTTAATCGTATCGATCATATGTAATTGTGGATGACTCGTCGTTCTTTTGCATAGAAGATTTTTATCAATATTTGTGGTAAGCTGCGAAGTTGACGGCGATTTATAGAATTGACTCAACGATGAATGATGCGGCTTTTTGAAGAAAAGATGTAACGATGATGAAAGCGTTCCGTAGCGACCGTGTTTTTGACGACGAAGAGTTAGAGAATGTAAATGTTTTAGAATGCGGAGGAAACTATTTGACTGGAGCGGCGAAATCGCTGTTGATGATTCAACATGTGTACAGGAATAGGTTGATGATGTTGACGAACGTTGAGATGATAGGTTGGAATCTTGAATATCGATGCCAGTACCCGACTCACATGAACTCAAGTAGAATATGTGATGTTCGTTCTTGTGTGGCAACTCAAGAGAATCCATGTTAATGTATTTCATGAACAGACGAACCGGTAAAAGTGACAACGTCAGAAGGAAATTAAGACAATATGTTGATTATATTGCAAATGCATGGTCACTGCGTACTTATGACATGATAGACGTGAGGAAAAGATCAAAGTAGAAAAGGAGAGAAAACGAGAGAAGTGAGTAGGCGCTTAAGTTTTTTTAGCCAAAGAGAAGAATGAGAGAAGGGAGAGAGAGAAGGAGAGAAAAAAGCACTTTTTATTTCTTTACAGTCAATGCTAGACAGCGGAAAAAAACGAATGCTGTCGTCATTAAATATAAGTATATTCAACCGAACAATTACAATAACAAATACTGACGTCATTCTTTTCTTTTTTTTGTGTCATAACTAAGATTAATTCTAATAGGCGAATTGTCAGTGATGTGACTCTTATATAATTTTTCATCCTTAGAGGACAACCCTTGACGAACTCGTTCAGGGCAATTTCTTCCGAACAACGAATTAGTTCTCTTTTTTTTCTTCAACTTACCACCAAATCAATATCAGGCAAATCATCATCAGCGATTATATTGACAGTATTGGAAGTTGCACCATGTTTGATGAATGTAACTCCGCGCTAAATGAAAAGAAGAAGACTTTGAACTAAGGATATGAACCACGATTAGGTTAACCTTAAAAAGAATTCTCGAAGGCAAAGGTGCGCATATTTTTTCACCCGAAGAAAGCTCCATTGGTTAAGGGCAACACATTAACAAATGGAGGAGATAAAAACCTGACATGGATATTTTTCAGTAACTACCAGGGGAAATCATATGAAATACTCTTTTCAATCGTACGCAGCAATCATCAATTTCTTGCGATACCTTATTTACGTTGCTCATGAAGTCTTCGAATATTACAGTGATGGTATAGTTTGCAAATATAATGCAAGAAGAAAACACCCATTTTTGCTGATTAAATGTTTCCTTTCTATTCGTCGATGCTTTTATCATAATGGAGACGTTTTCTGTTAGAAAGTTACTATGGAAGTTCATAATCAGACTTGCAAAAATGCATAAAAAGAGTTCACGGGAACTTAAATAGCGTTTGTACTAGAACTCATGTCAACTAGAAGTACCTTTCATCTGATGAATCAATAGAAAGTTCTATAGAAACGGAAAACATGCGACTAAATCGCGTTTTACAGGTAATAGGATTTCCTTCTCAGACAGGAGTGCACGTGAAATTATCTTTGGAACTTCAGGACACTGAAGAATTCATTTGCCATCAGTCAGAATGAATTAGACTTTTCATTCATGAAAACACACACTAGGATTACCGAACTAATGTAAACAACATTCTTTCAAATCGAATCACGGATGCAGAAGCAGTCTCTCAGAGTTAATACTCGGCAGAAATCATAGGAGAGAACAACAACAGTCAATCGATATTTAATAGGCAAGAGTTTTGATCAAGTTAGAGGGTTTTATTAGTTTAAATCAATTATTCAGAGTGTATATTTACTTTCTAAAGCACTATCAACATCAACAGTTGTGTTTCGTCAACTCACATTCATGCTATCTGTCTTGAACTAAACATCTGGAAGTTTCGAGAAGAAAGATGGTTTTCCCTAAATGCAAAATGTCTTCCTGTTTGTAATGGGAAGTCAATTAGATAAAGCTACAACAGTTGCGTTCTTCAATTTTTTTTTCAAGAAGAAAAAACATTGCTGGAAGGCTAACAAATGTTACTCAGAAAGATTGTTTTCTTCGTAAGTAATGAAAGACATTACCAACAACATCAAAACTTACATTGATATTCATATGAAAGCGTGATGGATGCGAAGATTCTCTTCCGAACGGACCGACCGTGGATTTTCCGAAGCCTGATTTCATTTCTAATAAAGTCACATCATCTTTGTAGTTTTGTGCTAATGGCATCTTGACTGTTTTCGAGTTGCGAATACACAGAAAGAAAAAGTGAATATTACATCGATCGTCGATCAATAATCTAAAGAAAAAAAAAGCATTCGATGAGATGAATTAGTTTGGAACGTCTAACATAGAATCGATGTGTACGAGACAAACGAAGACGCAAATATATAAAGAAGAAGAAGAAGAAGAAGGACGAGGAGGAAAAACGTGCCGCAGTTGCGATTCGACGGTTTGCTTTGTTGTGTCATCCTCAGAATGGAGTACTTGAAAAGAAGGAGAAAACTTCTACGGACACAAAAATAAGAGTGACACTTTCAGCTTTTGGTAGAGAAAAAGAAAGAGAAAACTTCATGATTATAAACGTCTACACATTCAATGTTATATGAGTAATCAAAACGGATAGATATAACATACCATATGGAACTGTAATAGACAAGAAGTGGGAGAAAAGAACGTTTTGTATTCGTGATAATGAGAACGAAACCGGTTTACATCATTCTATTGAAGAAAGGCGACAAATGATAATCAACAAGGAAATTGAATAAATATAATCTTGTTAATCATAGTGGAAAGTCAAATGATCGCTTTTGATACTGATCCTTACTTGTTGGCCTTTTCTTTCCTTTAAACAAAATAGCTTTGACAAGCTTTGATGTCAACTGTGAATTAACAGCAGTTGTCAACATATAAACAGGACTGAAAAGAAGATTGACTAGCAATCATTGACATGCATTTTCTCCAGGTCGAAAACTATACGCCTTTCAACGCCTCATCAATCAAAAAACATAATTTATGTCGATTGCTTCACATTTCGTGAAAATTTGCAGCATAACCCTCAAGTACCAACGAGCATTGTGTACTTTCAAGTTGAACTTCGTTTGAAAAATTAGAAGAAATATCACACCATTTTTAGATCATGTATATCAAAATAAGAAGCCTGAAGAGCACTCATTCACCACATAGAGCGTATTAGAATAAATTACAGTGTACTTCCTCGAAATACTCATTTTCTTGCAGTAATATATTGAGATCGAAAAGTTCGCATGTATTCCGACTTGCCGCATATCCCTAGATATTCAATTTAAGCTAATATTAGTCCAGGATGTTGTCTCATTTATGGATTTCATCATTAGAAATTTGTATATATATATATAAACAGATCATATCGATATCTGCATGAGTATTTACAAATCAACGTAAACACATTATAAACGTTCTCAATACAATCCAAATATTAATGATTGTGTTATGTATGTATTAATAACGATCATAATTGAATTCGAGGCAAACTTTTCGCTAAGACAACATAATTGAATTGTGCATAGGAAGGCTCGACACTAGGAGGCACTCTGAAAGAATAGAGAGTATGACTTGTCATAGTCATTGAGCTGTGATGCAATTAGTAAGACCAGCGCCGATATGTCAGAAATATTCGGATTAGTTTTAGCACTGAATGAACCTGCTCTTCAAAACAAGCAGAACTATTCTTGGCAAATCAAAAGTAGAGGGTGAAATTTCTACTCGTTCACTGTCGTTTGAAGTATCTGCATCGGTGAACGCTAGTAGCGACAAAATGTTATATAATGCGGAAATGCTTTGTATTGGTTCTTTCGACTAACCAATCAATAAATCTTTCCGTACAATGAGAAAAGCGTGCTTTTGTTTAAGTTAATTATTTACTAAACTGATCAGATCATTCGTTTCAGATGGCATCATCGAATCGTATATTAACATCAGCAGACGTCAACGGACAAAAATGGGATCGATGTTTAACCGATGCTGTTTTTAAAACAGGTTCGTTCATTTCCAACTAGTATTCTTTATTCTCACATATTCTATGATTGCAGTATCGGGTGTAGCATTGGGATTTGTTTTCTCTGCTCTTTTATTCAAACGTAAATAGATTTCACCTACTCTTCTTCATTATATTAAAATTTCACTATTCATATCACTAGGTCGACCATGGCCTGTGTTCTTGGGAACAGGTATGGGTATAGGAATGGCGTATAGTAATTGTCAAAATGATTTACGGTCACCATATGTTCAGTCTCAATCAATACCCATCACTCGACCCGACCGACATGTTCCGACAGTAAGAGCACAAGATTGTTGAAGAGATTAAAAAAAAAACAATTAAATTTCATGTTTGATATATTTTTAGAAACCATCAGATAATTGATGATTTTCTTGCTGATTAGAATATGAACATCCCATTCTTATTTTTTGTATTCATGCAAATCTACCTTCCATTTCAAGAAAATAAACCTAGCCCAACAATTTCGTATGTTTTATTTGGTTTTATTAGTTCGTTTCACAGATGAGATTATACATCGTCAGAGGTAAGACTTTAGTAAGCTTAGCGTGTCTAAATTTTGACAGGGGTATGAATTCATCGATCGTCTTGTCATGATGAAAGGTGGAAGATTGTCAATGCAAATAAATTCAGTATTTTGAGTAATGCGGTTACGCGAAATTCAATAGACGTTCGTTTAATTATCATTTAGAACGTCGAAGAAATTTGTTTAACAAAACAATAAAGCTTTCTTCGCGTCTCTGTCTGTCTCTCTTTCACTCCATTGTGATTACACAAAGAATAAAGTTCGATGTGATGGGGGATAATCGGACTCCGCGTCTTTTTTTTTCTTTTCATTTACACAATCGATAGTCGTGAGGCGACATTCTCTCTCGCGTTCGCTGTGTGTATGTGTTCTTTTATTGATATGATTATTATTTGGTAGCAGTAGAGAGAACAAGGAGAATAGGGGGCGAACCACATTTTAATATATTGCTGCATATGTTTGCATGTGCTGTTCAATGTGTATTCGGCCAGCTAGACTAAAAGTGTAGGGAGAGAGCAGGAACAAAAAAAAATGAACATTGTGTCGCGTATGAACGCAGAAGAACAAGTAGAGAAAAACAGAAAGAGAGTGAAAGAATAGATCAAAAAAATTGCCTAGAAGAGTGAGCAATTCGGTCGACATAAGTATGGTGATAGTTTGAAATATACATCGCACTCAGGAGATTTTGTCGTAAGTTATTGTTTCCTGTGATCGTGATGAAATTAGCCAAGATTAATCAATCTTCTCATCTGTTTTACTTTCTCAAGGCTTTTCTGCACTTGTCTATATATGCATAGATATATATTCGGTCATCATCATGTAACATTTATTTAGAGATTTACACATCTGGTTTTCGGTTTATTCCTCTAGTCTGATTAATTGACAGATAGTAATCAAATGGAAGAAAAAAGGTCATCAGCAAATTCTTCATCTTCGAGCTCGACTTTTGTTCGTCTGTATTGTCAGTAATACGAGATGTCGATTGTATTTCTTCCAACATTAAACCTTTATCTTTCTAATGAAATTCCTCCTGCTAGGATTCTTTGTTCAATAGACGCTTGATCGATTCGATCGAAGTAATGTTTTGTAATCAATGTTAGCAGACTTGTCTGGCTTGTGTTATCAATATTATTGTATTAGATTTCTTCTCGTTTTTTTTTCATATAATCAAACCTTGAGAGGCGATGATGATGATTCTTGATTCATTTATTGTCGCATAAACGTGAAAAAGGAAAAAATAATCTAGTATCAAACTGAATGACATGGCGCAAGGCCGTTTCTCTTTTATTTATATCATCTACAGTAAATATAGAACGCGCACGTAAATATATATGAGAGTGTCATGAGACTTTCTTTTTTTCAATTAAAAAATTTTCAATATCTCGAAATCTAAACTAGACAGATGAGTTTTACGCATTCAAAATGAACACTTGAAATCAGAAATCAAAGATTAAATAATGTTGACCTTGTAACATTTCGGTCAAATCGAGTGATTTCTAACCACGAGATCCAAGTGAAATGATTCTCTGCGTCGCGAACTTTTTTTCTCATATCTCTAACCGTTGAAAACTATATAATGGATGAACACACCGAGATTCAAGCCGTGTTCGTCTCTTCTTTTTATATGATTCTATTGTTTCCTTCACTGTTGTTCAACAGGACAGCGGCGATAGTTTGTGTAGAAGCAGATGATCATCTCATCTGTAATCGATTTGCGTTGAGCAGAAGAGAAAAAAGAGAGAGGGGAAAAAAGCAAAATGTTGCTGTGTCGTCACCGTTCGCTTTATTTCTTCATTCTTTTCTTTTTCTTTTTTCTGCTCTTCTCTTTCATGCTATTCTGAAGCAAACAAGAGCACAAACGTCATTTTCTCTCTCTCTCTCTCCTGCTGTGTGTCTTTAGTCAGTGAGTGAATAAGATGACACTCTTGCGGGCATTCGTTCATCGCTAAATATAAGTAAGTATTATGCCTAGCAGAAATAAAATTATTGCGAGAAAACGTGTTTAAATCGTTGATCGTCGTAGTTGCGAAAAGTTCTGTAAAAAGCAACGCATTGAAAGTTCTTTTTTTGTCAGCCACAGCATTAATGGGTGCTCTCGCCATATTTACAAGGACAATAGGCAAACGATTACAAAACAGTTTTAAAGAAAAAGAGAGAAAACTTATGTAATGCACCGACAGGACATGATTCGTTTCTTCATTCGTGTTGCTCGAATGGCAAAAAAAAGTGATAAGAACGAGGGGAGATTTCAATCAAATGTCAAAACCAACTTAGTGATGTTGTTTTTCAATTAGATCAGCGTTTAGACGTCGAATGACATTTACGCGTGAGAGAAAATCAAATGTGAACGGCGACTTCAGTACATATTTAATAAGTTATATCAGAAATCAAATCTGGCATTCTCTCAGACATGAAGTTTTCCTCTCGACGAACTCCTCTGAGACATGGCAAAACCTTCATCTTGTGTTTCCATCTTATTATTTTTTCTCCTTGAGCTTCAGTTAACTTATCTTATCGATGCTATGATAGTTCGTTGATCTTTGCTCATCGTCGTCTATGGATGTATATATGTAATATATACACATACATATCTGAACAATTAGAGTAGCATAGTGTCGACGGTCCAAAGCCAAGGTTGGCTGTGTCCTTGCCATCAGCTTGTTCTTTCTTTCTTCTTCTTTTTTTCATCTTGAATCATGCATCAATGTCAATTTATGTTGATCAATATATATGTATACATTATAAGCTTCAGATGTGATATGACAATAAAAGAAAATCTTCTGGCATAAAAAAAAAAGAATGGGTTCAACATTGGTGGAAACGATCAATATCAATGCAAAAGATTTTACTGAACATTTCCTAACTTGTTCAACGTGTATCAACCAATATTCATCGGATTCTCATGAACATCAGCCGAAATTATTGCCATGCTCGCACACGGTTTGTCGACAATGCTTAGAACGTATTGTTAGTTCTCAACCACGATCAGATGCGATTAAATGTATGTTTGAACAATGAATTGGATTGCATAGCTTTATATGTAATTTCTTTTCAGGTCCAATCTGTCGAGAACATATTCTACTGCCGCGAGGTACGTTTTGAAAAACGAGAGATTGTACATTCGAAAACGAACCTTTTGTTTTTCTTACAATGTTTTAGGTGGTGTGACTTCATTTCCACCGTCATTTTTAGTTAATCAATTACTTGATCTAATGGTTAGTCAACGACGTGATGTTATACCGAAATGTGAGTCTCATACCAATGAAGAATTACTCTTTTGCGAGACATGCGATAAGATATTCTGTCAATTATGTGATCAACACCAAATCTCGGCGGAACACACGGTCGTACCATTCTCCTTAGCCATCAAACGTATGAATGAAATTCTCTCGTTCAAAGCTTCGAAAAGTAAGCAGACGTTGATTTATTTTTCTCGAACAAGATCATAGAAAGCACTCGATTTAATTGCCAACATGGGCAGTAGTGAAAAGGAAATTCTCTCAGCTAGGGTTTCTCTTTTTTCCCCGTTAAAAGTTATTTGACTAATACGTTCCTCAAATAACAAACTTTTCACTTCCTTCCTGTATTTGACCTATGTTTCAGTATGTGAAAAAAGCTCATTAGTTCTAAATTCACACATTCTTAATGAGAGTTCCCCTTGGTATGGTAAAAAGTACACTTTCATTTTCATAGGCCCTTGATTCAGTGGAGTGTTAGAAATGTTCTTGACGCCATCTGTGTGACATCGATCTAGAGTGTTTCGGTTGGAAATATATTTTTGTAATTTTGTATTGCAGCAACCAGTTGTTTGGATCATGCACTCGAATTGGTCAATAATGAGATTCTTCGCTTAGATAGTAGTATGGAAAAAGCGGGTAAGTGATGACATAATCAGCATTGTTTTACGAGAACAAATTCAATAATTTTTTTAGCGGAAGCGATTAATCGATCGTTTAGTGAAATCAAAACTTACGTGGAAAATCGTCGTCATAATCTGCTACAATCGCTTAAAACAACACGAGATTACAAGCAAAAAGTCCTCAATGATCAACTGAACGTGATTTTAAGTAAGATACATCTTCCTTTCGTCGAAGTTTCGTCGATTACCATCGAATTTGTTTAGATGAAAAAGCAAAAATTGAACAAGAATGTGCCACGTTTCAACAAGCATCGGATATTCATGTTCTGACACAACGTATTCAAAAATTGAATGATCGAATCGAACGAATGTCCTTACTGGGTGAACCACGAGAAAATTCTTTTATGACATTCGAGTTTCGGCATAACCATGCATTGCAAGACTTAGCGCGTTCTTTGAATAGCGTTGGTCGGATACGTGTATCATCAACGTATCCACCCTTATGCCGAGCAAAAATTGAACCACCAGTTGCGAATCTACAATGTGCGATCCATATTGAAACTGTCGACTACAATGGCAATGTTCGAATGGATGGCGGCGATCCATTGACAGTCAATATTTGGGATCCATATGGAAAACTATGCGAATATGATCTGCATGATAAACAATGCGGAACGTATACAATTATATTTCGACCATTGATCAGTGGTCATCATAAGATAGATATTCGTATTTTCGATCGACCTATCTCAGGTTCGCCATTTCTGGCTGATGTAACAAAACATAATAATCCATTGTGGTCGTTTGGTAAGATAAGAAACTGTCGAAACTCACTGGATTTGTGTCTTTGTACTTTTTAAAGGTAAACGCGGGCGAGGTGACAATGAATTATCAATGCCGGTGAGCGTTATTGTCGATGATTGTAATGAACGAGAACAAGTATACATCCTCGATCCGGGAAATAGTCGAATCAAATGTTTAACCATTGACGGAAAATTTGTCGAACATTTAGCCACTAATTCACTTGTCGAAGCAACAAGCACTGGCTTAGCGTACCGTTCATCCACTTCAGCATTCTATCTATTGGATTGGAAAAGTAAATTTATCACTGAATTTACTATTGACAATCGTCAATCGTCATCTACACCATCGGATAACAATCAAGTTTCTGTTATTCATCAAATAACATGTTCATCATTCAATGAACCAGTTCAAATCGCTCTTTTTGAACAACATACGAATGCTGTCCTCGTATGCGATAACAATACATTGTTAATCATTGACAATCGCACAGGTGAACTAATCAATAAAATCGACACACGTTCGTTTGGTATTAAAACAATCAAAGCATTCACGATTGGCTTACAAGATGAAATCATCATTGGTGATCATCGAATACATATTCTCTCCTATGATGGTAAATATCTTCGACAGATTTCGTCAATAAATCAACAGCAAATCGTCGATGTTGACATTCACATTACTCATGAACCACCAGATCTCATTGCATCACATCATAGTAAACAATCTACACTGTCATCCATTCATCAACATTCAAAGTCTGTAAATAATCTTCAGACAACGAAAGGAGGTGAGCATTTCTCGAAGTTTTTCCGCATCGTTTCGACTTTTCGTTGCTTTAGGTTTCTATACGGCGCTTTGTGTGGATAAAAACGGTCTTCTTTTAGCTGGAAAATGCGAAAAGGATGGCAATGCACATATTGAAATCTATGACGCCCAAGGTCATTTGTTACGTATTATTGATTCCTATAATCAACGCTTACGACGGCCGTGTTCATTGGCAACAACAAACGATGGTTGTGTATTTTGTGTGGATTTAACAACCGATTCAGTACGCAAATATCGTTACGCATAGGAATTTTTCTTTTCTCATTCAGGTTCTTATTCGTTTTGTGTTTACATGTGTGTGAGTGTCAGATAGTGATTCCCCTTCTTTTCCTTCTTTGTTCGTACATTTATGTATGCATATTCATTGATTGTTATTTGTATAAAGTGTTGTCGCCGTTCTTTCTCACTCTCTCATTTGTATATTATTATTTTTCTCTTCTTTTATTCTTTATGTTAACATGGAAAGAAGTACTTTCGTATAGAAAATCAATATGAGAGATAGATATTTCTGGGAATTGTCAGTATAAATAAAGATTTTTTAATGACGAACACACTCTGTATGGCCACGTTTTAAAGGCATTCATCGATCGGTATCAACGACTCATTTCCGGAGAGAAACAACACTATCAAATATCTGTCATTGGCGAATTCAACATCGTTTCGTCTTACTTTCTAATTAAGGATGGATTCCTCGAGCAGAAAAACAGTCAAGACTTCGTGTCTGAAATGCAAATTCCATTCGTTGATTACCATACTAATGAGCGATTAATTGAGCACCTAAGCGACATCTTTGCTTTGCAAGGAATAGAACATTGGTTCCATTGTAAATCCATTCAATTGGAAGAAATACTTTATGACTCATCTGACTTGCTTACTTACTTCTTCGTCAAACCGGAAATAATCATTTATAACTTTGATGATTGTATTTCGATCGAACGCACGCGTTTAATATAATTTTAGAATGATAATTAGAAACTTTGGCGATATGAGTATGAGCTACAACACATCGTCGTAATTGTTAACTTGTTTTAATTTAATCACGCATTGACATGCATAAAACATCATCAACAGCTAAATTTCAAAAAAATCGTTCTGTAAGTTATTCTTCTTCTTTCAAAATAATTAAAAAAAATTCCCAAACGGAAAACTCAGCATCTAGTCACTTGTCTTCATTCTTCTGAAAACGACAAAGTGCAACAAGCTTTGCCGTTTTCTTCTTCACCTAATGATTCATTCGTTTCTACGACCATTCATTTATCAAAGTCATTGCTCAAACAGTTCAAAGGTGAATGATTCGTTTCGTACGGAAATATTCCGTTTCTCTTACCAGACGAACGCTTAGTCGAACTGACGATCATAAGAGGTTTATTTTCAACGCATTCAGAAAACAGCAATTACGTTCTTGAGTGCTTGTAGAAAATTGTTTTCTCGTGAAGATCTCTTCATCTAGAACTTTCTCGTTTCGATGTTGTTTACTAACATTTCTATTTATGTGTGTACATATGTATAAATAGTCATTTTCGAGCGAGAGAACGAAGAAAAAGCAAATGCTTCGCATTCGTCTCATTCTTTTCGTGATTCATCTCGACAATGACGGACGAGAAAAGTAAAAAACATTTGAAACTGAAAACAATTGATGACCTTCGAAAAGATGCGACCTACGAATTGAATCTCTTCTCGAAAAGACGACGATCACAATTATGTACATCAGCGAAACTAATTGACGAAGATTACGCGGATGATCAAGTATTTACGAACATTTTCACTTTGTTTCCTTCTGTCGAAATCGGTATTTTGATTCGATTTGTTTTTCTTTAGGTTATTACTGATTCCGATAATGGCGAAGATTCAGATGAGGAAACTACAGCAGGAGTCAATGATAAAACAGTTACAACCAGTGGACAGAAAAAACAAAAGCAACGAAAGGTTCACATAAAGGAAAGAGCTTGTCATTTGCAAAACAAAATTCTCTTTAGACATATGTGCCAGAATTGTTGCCCATGGGTTCGAGAGATGATCCATCGAAGCCCATGATCACTCTGTCGAATTATCTGATGAAAAAACGTAAATGGCCGTATCGCGGATGGCACAAGCGATACTTTGTGTTAAACAATGGGTCACTTGTTTACGGCAAATCAGAACAAGAGGTAGAGAATGAGTTGTTCGGGTGTGCTCTTCATTTTACATGATCTTTAGATTAAACGTGGCCGATACAATGGCAAATGTGATATTGGTTTATGTATTGTAACTTTTGTTCGAGAATTACAACGAATTAACATCGATGAAACGAACTCGGTTTATCATATAAAAATCAAAGATAAGAAAACGTTTGATCAATGGCTGGAACAGATCGCACTTCATCGAAACAATCGTCAAAAGATTTTAGAACAACAAAGTCCATTAATTCAACAACTCAATTCTTCCGATGAGAACAAAACCGAAGCCAATGACACAGCTCAATCATCTACTCACAATTCCATCCCGTCAACTGATCGATTGTTTTACAATGGTAATTTCGTACTTGGAAAACGAGCGAGTTTTCATTGACGTTAACATAGATTTCGCTGACATACAAGTTCAGTTAAGTAGCTTATCAGATATTCTCGAACACATCAAGACAAACGCCACCACGACAGGATCAAGTGTATCATCGAGATCGATTGTAAGCATTGCTTTCAGAATTTCATCATATGAACGTTGTATTCTATCATAGGATGGAAGTAAGACAAGCGGTGGACATACACCATCAGCTAGTATCAGCAGTATCAATTCATTTACCTTACTCGATGCTCAACGACAAGATTATTTTGAAATTTCCAAAAAAGGTTTGATACAAAGAAGTGTTTAACATATACATAATATATTTTTCGTTTAGTCTTCGATAATCTCAATAATCTTTACAAACGTCTGTCCGTTCTTGCTATTGAACAACAACAACAACAACAGCAGCAGCAAAGTTCATTGGTAGATAGAGTTGAAATAGAATTAAAATGATCTCCTCGAATTAAATTTTAGATTAACACAGCTCATGCCGGAACAAGTAATACTCTCCAATCGATCTCATCGACATCGACGACCATGTCTCGGCACGGATCGATCTTTTACGATGCCCCTGAGGCTCTTAGTGCATTAATGCTAAACGAAGAAAAAGATGAAATTGAAAAAATGGTAAATGAAATAATAATGAAGGAGTTTTCTATAGATATATTGATGAAAAAACATTGATTACCGAGAGTTGTTGTTCACGGTTTATGGAACAATTTACATAATTAAAGAGACGTTTATTCAACGTCTAGGCAAAATCTTTGACAATAATTTCATTCAGTCATATTTCCGGGGTAGAACAAAACAGTTAAAAAAATAACCACTCGAGACGTACCATTGCCATTGTTGGGTACCACATTGTTCGTCAACTGTTCCATTCATTGCCTCCACTCATACTTATTTTCCAAATCGCTTGAGCTATTTGTTCTATTTAGTCCGATTCGGAATCATCAAGTTGTGGTGACGATGAAAGTCATGCCGGCGACTTATCTCGGCAGCCAGCTATTCCACCCCAATTAAGTATGTTCAGCTAATCTGACATTGTGCACTCATTTGTTTCCCTTTGTGCATCTATAGAGCCGCCTCAAATACAATGGCGTCGTTCGTCATTACCAGCGTATGCTCCAGATACATCGAATATTGGCTTATGGAACATCATGCGGAAAGCAATTGGAAAGGACTTGTCTCGTGTCGCTATGCCCGTCATCTTGAATGAACCATTGGGCCTGTTACAAAAATTATGCGAAGAAATGGAATATTCGGACTTGCTTGATCGTGCTTCTCAAACAGACGATGTTCATTTGCGTTTGGTTTATATAGCTGCATTCATTGTGTCAACATATTCTTCAAACTACTATCGAACAGGAAGAAAAAATTTCAATCCTTTACTTGGCGAAACATATGAATGCATACGCGAAGATAAAGGATGGAAGTTCGTCGCTGAACAAGTAAATCTTGATGAAAATAGAGACGGACAGTTCATTGATTTATACTTTAGGTTAGTCATCATCCACCCATTAGTGTTTGTACTTGTATTTCTCCAAATTTTATATTTTCTCAAAGTAAAGACTTTTGAACGAATTGTGTGCTTGATATTCATGCGAAAATTTAGAACTACAAGCCAAAGTTAAGTTTTGGGGTAAATCCATGGGTAAATATCTTACAAACTTATTTTTCCTATGGCAAAGACGACCCTTTCTTTGGAATTGATTTAGAAATTTTTCCTGATTCATTGAATACATTGATATTTCCCAAATATAACGAGACAATTACATGGAATAAATGTACTATGTGCATACACAACGTTCTTTCACCAGAACGATGGATCGACCATTACGGTGATGTTCTTGTCGAAAGTTCATCCGGTAATAAAGCGCGAATTAGTTTTATACAGGTCAGAATTGGCGAATATCCGGAATGACTACATTTTATCAATCGTCTTTTATCTAAATTCTAGAGTGATTATCGAACGCGCTTGAACAATGTGGCAGGTGATATTGAAAACACGACAGGAAAGGTGGTGCACAAAATTTTTGGTCATTGGCATGAGAATGTATTCTGTGGAAATGATCAAACAGCTAAATGTATCTGGAGACAGAGTAAGTTCCAGACATCGATTTTCATCTACGAGAGTCGTGTATGAGAAAATCAGACGGTTATAGACCTCTCGTAAGATGGCCTAAGATTTGAACAGCATTGATGTGAACTTTTGCTATAAATCATGAATCGAGCGCCTCGAAATCACCAGAACTAATCAAGTCATTCAATTTAAGTAATTACCCGGTAGAAGCTCATTCGAGATATATAGCCTTTTGTTTTTCGAACGACGTTGATGTCGGCAAGAAAACACGTCTGTTCACCGTGAAAACATAATTAACTTCATGTCTGCCACGTATCCTTTCTTTAATACCGGATTTTGAACGATTTAATGCGCCTTTTAGCGTATACCTTGTTTTATTAATTGGTTCATGTTTCTTTCAGGTGCTGTGCCTGAAAATTCTAAACAGTATTATGGTTTTACTCGTTTTGCGATAGAATTAAATGAGTTGAATGACGATTTGCGACAACAACTTCCACCAACAGATACTCGCTTTCGGCCCGATCAACGGTTTGTTTTGGTCAACGCTTGTTGAACAATGGAATTTACCTGCTTTTTTCTTGTTCAGATTATTGGAATCCGGGCAAGTTGACCAAGCTGAAAAAGAAAAGGCTCGCATCGAGCAAGCTCAAAGATCACGTTCTGCAACTGGTCTATGTCCTAAGTGGTTCAAACAAGACGGTGATTCATTCACTCTCATACGTGATGAGGATCCGTCGCACAGCTATTGGAAGAAGCGCGAAGAACACTGGACAAATGTTGAATTTCTTCAATTATGGTAGATGAGAATGGATATTTAATCGTGCAATTAGGACTCTATTTTGTGCTTAGCTTCCTAGTCATTTTTTGTTTCCTTTCTCCTTCTTTTCTTTTCATTTTTGGTGGAATAATCTTCTATTGGCTGTAATTGATACCATTAACACTCACTAATGCGCAAATCTTTCTAGCGATATTTGATTTCTGCTTGGCGTCTTGTCTCTATATTTGTTTTGTCAAATTCCTTTCTGCTATGCTCGTTTTTTAACTAATAATGCTCAGCTGCAAGTCAAACAGTGCACAGTTCTAACGAATATCACAAATATATATTAATACCACGTCTATCTGTTCTATAATTTAACATCATCCGTCCCTATCGGATCAATTCGAGTCGTGATTTCTGTCAGACTGAACAAAATCGGATTTAATTCTGGCAGAATGTCTTAGGAAGTGTTTTCCAGCCATTCTCACTGAGAAAAATGCCTCGTTTACATTCGAAAATATTCTTAACTAAATATTTGTCGATGCATTATGTACTTGAGTATGCATTATCTATCTATGAAGGAAAAGTTCGATTTCTTTCTAACAGAACTCGTGTTCTGCTCTCGTTGCACTAGAATTTAAGAAACTCAAATCCGCTTGTTATTTTTCTCGAATTACCCAACAAGAACCTGTCATATATTGAAGAGCGTTCTTATTTATTGTTGTGAAAAATAATCATTTTCTTTCTAACTAACGATTCGATGTCACAGCATTATAACTTGTTATTGTTCAATAAAAGGGAAATCGATTGGTCTAGATGGCGTAGAATTTTAATCAGCAAAGGTGTTGAAGAAAAGGCTTCTGTCTTCCTTTTCTTTTTATTCGGCATGTGCGTGCAGAAAAATTGATGCGAAAAATGTCATGCGCTTAGTGAAAAAGAATGAAGGAAAACTGTCGAGCTGGATCGAGTAACGAGGGCGATCGGGTTGCTTAGCGGCGTTCCTTTCATCCTTTCTATTTTTTTTTTCATCATTTCTATGTTTTCCATTGGCATTATTACTTTGTTTCTGTTCAATTCTTGAAAACTCTCGTTAAGAAATTGTCGACTTGTCTCAACAGGTAAGAGTTCTTTTGTTAACAATGCTAATTCGTCTGTTTGGACACCTGAATTCAATCGTTAACGAGTGTTCTTTGAAAATTGAAGAGTTATGCGTAGGAGATTATTGTGCATTCAACAGCTTGACAAGACATTTCTTATTTTTCACCGGATTGCACTTGCGGAGATTTTATATATTCACGAATCTGTTTTTGATAGTTATATATTCAGAAGAGAAATCATCGGCACATAACAACACCAGTGTCACTTGCATTTGAAGTTACCGTTCATTACACACGGTATTTGTGCTCATTAACCGCCCGAGAAAAATCTTTTTACGCTTTAACAATTTTTATTCGTCTCTCGTTGAGTCCGACATGTTTTCATTCGTGTGTTGAAGTGTTTCTAGTGACAGCAGGCAGAATGAAACTTAATGATGATTACCACATCGTTGATTAACTGCTCTACTTAATACTATGATGTCGTTGACGGCAAAGAGATGCGCACATGTCGAGCTAGCTTTCCTGAGAGAAAAGCAAAGCCTTAATTGCCAACAGAAGAAAATCCACGTAATCATTTATTCATTGTACTAATTTTTATATTTACTCTTTTACTTCGATTATCTTCAACGGTAGTTCTTTTTTTTCCTCTTTTTCCTTTCTTGTTCCACTCATTTTCTTTCATTTTGCTTCGCTAAACTGCTGTCAGAATACTTCTTAGGCTATAATATTGACTGATTACAAGTTTAGAGAAAAACACTAACCATCAGCATTTTCCTTTGCTTTCGTCTTCTTTGTATTTTCTAATACTAACATAAATGGATAAAGGAAGTGATCTTTTCTTAACTCAGGAAATTCTTTTTTTTTCTTCTTTTGCTTCAGTATTTTCCAACTGCACTTCGAAAAGTAGTTGATTTGTTTTCCAGGAACTATCTTTGTCAAGGATTTGAGAGCGCGAGAGAAACGCAATCGTTGTTAAAGTTTCATTCAACACGAGGCAATTTAGCTCCTCATGATTAGATGAGTGCGCGTATTTTTACGACGGTTTTATTCTTTTTCTATTCTTCCTTTTGACTTTCAATCTGGTGTCGTTAGTATGTGTTGTTTTTCTTTTACTTGATCAAATTTATATTCGAGCGTGCACCCTTTTCCCTCTTCGATCGAAAACATAAAAACGAAAGTGTTCGGTTTTTTCCTCAACCAAACCTCAGTTTGATATAAGCCGCTACGATAAATTATGCTAAGCAATTCAGTTGTTGAGATCAAGTATATGATGACGTCAAACGAGCAAGAACGTAGGTAAACCAACGTAAAAATGGACATGAAATAAAATCGTAGACGTGTCTGACATTCAAGTTTAGATCTATATCTTAGAGCATACTTTTTGTCTTAAGATTGATTCATTATTTCTTCCGGTGAATGATCTACTCATGGGTGGAAGTTTTAGTTCGGCGACGCTGGACGACGCCACAGTGGCCATGATCAAACACAAGACAAGAATGAAGTCGTCCGAAATAACCGAATGGTTTAACGAACTGAAGGTAACAATCAGACTTGAATTGTCTCTGACGGCAAGTTTTCTTTAGCAATACGAGAAAAGTTCCGATTAGGTTTCGCGGAAATGCTTATTCAAAGCATGTAGATCTATTCATTTTGTATGAATTGAAAGAAAAAGGCACAGTCGCATGTTTTTCCTCGCACCAGATTGTGCCTAGGTCGTTAAAGACTAATGGTACTGACGAAAGAATAATGTACTTAGCTTTGTTTAGTCTCGATGTCCGAATGGCAAAATGACGAAGAAAGATATGCTAAAATGTTACCGAGATCTCAGCACCTGTGACATGGATAAACTGGAACAAGTCGTTAATGCTATATACAAAACATTCGATACAGACAACGACGGTAAAGTTGGTAAGACAATCTCCAAATATAATCCGTTGCTTCCACTTTCCCTTTTCATGCAGATTTTAAAGAATTTGTAATCGGGTTTCTATTAACAACTAAAGGCACGATGGAGGAAAAACTTGATTACACATTTCAACTCTATGGTATGTTAATGCATTCTCGAAATGGAAAACATTCTCATTCATCATCATCTAGATATTGACAAAGACGGTTATATAGATCAATCGGAAATCGATGTTATGGCTAAGGTATTTACCCGAATGTTATGATGGATGGTTCTACTCGTTTGTTTTTTTTAGTATGTTCTACGTATGCTAGGTGGCAATGGTAATGAGTTCGAATCGATCGAATTGCTCAAACATTTTATAAGTTCATGTCATTGTAATGAACAAGGACTTATAACAAAAGAGAACTTTATTCGAGCCTTATCAAAAAACGAATTACTTAGTCAACTTTTATCTCCTTTCACTTGAGGAAAAGAAAATCTAATCCTTCTCTTAGGATGAATGCAAGAAAAAAGAAAACAAAAGCTTCCTTTCTTCTTCTTCGGTTTTTTTTTTGATGTATCCACTTCCTACTGGCTGTACATCTTACTGTTTATTTTGTTTTTTTTTCTCATTGTCATATGTATTTTTATTTTGCAAAACAAATTAATATAATGAAGACGATTCATCCAGGTCTTGAAGAAACAAAATTGCGTCAAATTTTCATCGAGGTTAACTAATCGAGAGGATAAGCATACATGACAGAAAAAAAAGATTTCTTATTAGGGAAAATTTACTCTATTCATGCAAAAAAAAGTTGCGTGTCGAGCGAACATATTTCTTTTTTGAAAGATAAGAGAAAAATCTGTTTTGTTTAGAAAGATTTATTTGGCATGGGAAATTGGATTCAAACAACCGGATCTCATAATTTTCATCCTTATGAAATCTCGAAATCTGATTGATTTCAAAACGCGCCACTTTTCAAAATCTCTGCTTTTCTTTCCTTCAAATCGAATGCTGCATCGTTATTTATTCGGCCTCGTATTTATGATTATGTGCTTAATTAGTGCTCTTGGTGGATTTGTAGACGCACGGCGTAGTCATCATCGTCGGCGAGTACATTCACCCTCGAACAAACATCATGGTTACAGTGGTACGCACGAACGTGTCTCGAAACTTCGCTACTCAAGATAACTGAACTTTGTGGCAGATTGTTTTCATGCATATCGAATATTTGAGTGTGATGTTGCAATTAGTGCAATTGTGTATTTCCTCTTTTATTTGTATTTCAATGAGTTGAAAGGTTGGAATATGTTATAAGAAGTTCGAAACTTAATAATCATAATAGTTGTTTTTTCTAGATCTATTCAGAGAGTTTGAGCCATTATTCGAGGTGAAAAATGACTCGTTCTCAAGACGAGATCGATATCCATTATAATTGTTGTAAGATGAAGAATGATCCGTTATACGAGGTGCACTGGGATAAGCATCATCATCATCACCGTCGTCATATGTTGAACGACTTGTTGCTTTGATCGATGACGATGGATAGTATGCATCATCATCATCGTCATCCTCGAATTTTGACTGAGATACTGGTTTTGGTGGAGGAAACGATCGATTTCCACCGTTGTATTTGGATTTCAACGATGAGTAGTAATCGTCGTCATTATCATCATCACCACCGTATCTCGAGGTGACAGCTGGCTTTGTTGATGTGTAATGATAATCATCATTGCCGCTGGATTTCGAACGATATTGTGAGTTCGCTGTTGAATAATCATTTCTGTTGGATGTATGTGAAGTTGTTTTTGACGACGAAGAGTAGTAGTCGTCGTTGTAAACGCCTGTTGAGGATTTCGGTCGATTGGTTGTCTACAAGTAATCACAAAGGAATGAACTTCGCAGGTTTCTGTAGAAATAGTGGACCTACTTTTGATCTTTGTGAATAATTGTTATTGTGTTCGTCATCGTCACTGTAATTGTCGTGTTTGTGTGATGACGAGCCATTGGTATAAGATTTCAAGTCGCGAACGAGAGGGCTGACGTCGCGTCGTTTTGAATCGTTGGCCAACGACGTTCGAGTATTGAATCGCGACAAGATGTCATCACTCCTAGTTGATTTCAGTACCGATGTTGATATTGACCAGGGTGTGTCCTCGGGAAACGATTCGTATGTTGAACGAAATGCTTTTAATTCATTATCACGAGATTTTTGCAGTGAAGATTGATTATTATTAGAAGTACCTAATAGCTTCTTCTTCTTGAGAAGCCCATTTGACAAAGGCCGATCTTCATTTTCACCATCACTGTATGTTTTACTTTTGGATTTGTTCATATTAATATCCGGTAGCTTTTGTGAAGTGATTTTTGTATGAGAGTCCGTGTCCTTATTCATCCCGTTTCCATTGCTCAAAGAATGAGACAGCGGTTTACTTTTTGTTTTGCTAACTCGAGCATTCAACTCCGTAAAATTGTTAGTTATTGATTGAATTAACCAAGTGAACCCTTGTTGAATTGATTCATCGACATTGTTATCATCATCTTGAGGTAACGCCGTACATAATTCCTTAAGCGGATTTAGATGAAAACCAGTTTCATGATGAAAATGATCGACTCACAAGTTTATATTTTGCTTGTAACCGTTCGATATTAAGCTTCCGCTTTAAATCATATTCATTATTAATAGCACCTCGTTGATCTTGTTTATTTGCGAAACTAAAATTAGGAAGACGAGCGTCTGATACCTGGTTTTGTTGACGATTACGAAACGAATTTACATGAGAAATGGTTTCTTTTGAAGTTGATCATGTTCAAGTAGATCGGCGAGGACGTCTTGATTTTCCCTGAAACGTCTTTTTTCACTGGCATCGAAAACAAATATAAAGCCATGGATTCGATCATAAAATTGCGACCACGATTGTTCACGGTATCGTTTATCACCACTCACATCGATCAGCTGTATACGTTGTTTTGTTTTTGTTCTATCAGTGCGATTTGTTGTCTCATTCAGTGGATTCATTATCAGTACTGTTTTGGAACTCGATGTCGGTGGGACATTTTCAGTTGGATCTAGGTTAGAGAATTATTTTAAAAAAATGAGAATGAATCGAGTAGTACCTCCATCGATCGCTCTAATTATTGATGTTTTGCCTATATATAGATACAATGAAAGAAAATGAATACTAGAGAAAGCAATGATAGATTACCGGCATCATCAAGACCAAACACACCAACGACGATGGTTCTAAAAAAATGACACATTTGTAGACAACAGTTGGTTAAAGATAAACTTCGATAGTGATGATGCACTTTGCCTCTGGATTTAAACTTTATTTCAAACACAATTTCGTGTACAGATTATCTTTTAATTCTTTATCACATGAAGTGCTACTACTACGTATGAGGATATATTTGGATATGGTTCATGATCGTATAAGTTCTCTGAGATATCACTGATAAAGAAATGGATTACACATCGAAATCAATCATTGCTGCTCAACAGACAAGAGACATTTACATGAAACTAAGTCCGATTGTTCTACCTACTTGTTATCTTCAGTTTGCTGAATTTGTGACACTGATTTTGCACTTTTACAAGCGGCCGTGCCCATGATTTGATTGTTTAATGATCACGTATTTCTCACCTGTATATATACGTAGTTTGTCCGATTCACAAAGCAAACAAAAAGTATGTCAATCGAGTGAGTATTGCATCAACCTAACGTAATGCTATGTTTATTTTTGTTTCCTTTGTTCTTTTAGATGACACGCCGACCGCAGAACACCATCTAAACGATGTATACCATGGCAGCAACTGTAAAGAACACTTTTTCATAAATGTAGAGGTCACCTGAAAAGTGCACAAACTAAACTCAAGAGATCGGATTTTGCTTGCGGGTACTTCTCTAAGCGACAATGGAATAAAGCAGTAAAAGACCGTTTATCTCCGAATCCATCCATGAAATTTTGTTGTAAAGAAGTGTCTCAATTCATGATTGGCCACGTACATCTTGATAATATCAACGAGTATTGCGAATTCAGCGAGAAAAATTAAAACTGGAATAACATATGGAGAGATATCAATGAAATGATTGATAATCAAAGTTAAATAGATTGGACTCCAGCTGCCAATGAAAATGCAAAACATATTCGTCATTCTTCGTAGGAGTTTAAGATCACGACGCCGGACGTTGAACACTTTCCAGGTGTGTGTCATGGTCGATCCAGTTGGACATTGCGGCTGGATTTGACGAGAGAGTGATTGAGCATACGTGAACAAACGCACACTGAAAGCTAGACTGATCACAGAAGGAACGATAACTATCATCATCAAATTATACACCAATATCCATATTTGAAATTGACAACGCTGGTACAAATATATTAACATAGATGGGTTACTCTCTGTCTTACAAACACTCTTACCTCGTCTGTTCGAAATAAATATGGCGTGGGAATAATCAATCCTGCCAGCCATTGACTTAAAATACATGTAACTAGCCAGCGTTGACTATGGAAAAAACGTCTTGTATGATGCACTACAGTGCAATATCGATGTAAAGAGAAGATCGTAAATGCAAGTGGTACTTGCAACGGGCATGCCATGAAAAAATAGATCAACATGAGACATGAATCTTCAACGTAAAGGTGTTGAAAATCGAATTGTTCCATACCGACAAATACTGCAAAATAAGTCGCACAAACCATACAAGCTAGACAGATGTTAGCTGTAAAGATATTGTACGAAACTTGAAAACGACGGACGAAAAATATTGTAAAAAAGTATATCAATCCCAAGATTGCTTCTATCCCAAAGGTAATTATTTGCAGACTTGTAAGGATGATCGCTCCTTCATCCATGTCGGCACGATTTACTTTCTGAAATCGAATATGCTTCGATGAAAAATAGATTCTGTAGAAACTCTCCTACGGGATTATAAACTCCACATATATTAGTGCACTGGAATAAAATAGCACTTCCTGCTCAATAATTTAACTATCCGGTATTACATGCTATTTAATATCTAACTGTGACGTTTCGCTCGCATTTCTCACGTGCTTGTTAATTTAGTAATATTAACAATATATTTATACAGCGATAGCACCAGAACTTAATCATCAGTCAGCGCCATTCTAAGAAGATAAATTTGCTGACGTTGAACGAAGGATTTCTTGAGTTGTCGTAAATCTCAACAGGCGCTTAAGATTTCAACTACACGAAAATAATCTCAAGATGTCAAAGAATCAAGAGCACGAAGAGAAGATTGAAGTAGGTTGTAGAAAAAATTAAAAGTCCTTTGTTTATCTACTCTTGATGAATATTGTTTAAAGAAGGTAAAAATAAAGTGGCAAAAGTTACGATTTTTGACAACTTCTGAAACATCGGCAAATACCATTTCGACAAAATATTCATCGACTTATTACTTTTCCATTGAACTTAAGTTTAGTTTACAAGAAGTTCAAGAGAAAACTTTGTTGTCAGCATGTCGTTTTGTCTAACAGATCTAAACGATATTAATTTGATCGGAGAAGATTAACTTTTTGTTGATAAAATGAAAACTTTTCAGTTCAGTCTCTACTGACACATTTTATCTACTAATTGTGCATTCTTGTATCACTGGTCGTTTTATTGAATTTGTTTTCCAACAACTGAACTAACATTCAGTGCTCGCAGTTGAAATTAATAACGAATATCATCTGATTTAGTCTCGGAATTCCGAGCGATTGCTTTATGCATGACATATTGGTGGATATTTTTGTTTATCATTTACAGGTGAATGAGGTGTGTATATCGTAAGGCGTATGATTTTTTCACGACGTCACACATGCGTCGAAACTAGACACACCCAGCTGACTTTTCGGGGGCCTGTCATTCGGAAGTATCTATAATTCGAAAAAAATACTGATGATTTCTGAATATTTTGTCGATTATCTTCCGAATGTCGATATATAAATCCCATTCAATCAGTGGTTATCACAACCAATTTTCTCTTCACTTCTCCTAGCAAATATTTCCATTCAAAGCAAAATGGCGAAATATAGCTCACTCTTCATTCTCGTATGCATGGCCTGTGTTGTTTATGGCCAACAAACCCTAGTCGATGTCTCAACTCAGGCTGTCTGTACTGAGTCTGGCATACAAAACCCCAGCTATGAAAACCGTTGGGCACAAGCTGGTCTTGATACCAATGTTGACATCGCTTTGAAATGTGGTGATATCGTTGCATATAAATTAGAATGGTTTCCAGTTGGTAGTGGAAAATGGTCCGATTGGTACGTTGTTGGTGTCAATGATATCGACTCAAAAACCGATGGATCGAAATTAACACTGAAACGCATGTGGAGTTACTTCGCCGATCATCGTCATATTTATATCACATGCAAGCAAAATAAATTCAAAGGATGTGCTTGTTAAAACAATCGAATGGAATCAGAAACTTTCACTACTCTCACGCTTTTTTGCTCATTTTTCTATTCAACTTACCGACTTCTTCGATCTAATAAATCTTTCGTTAGACGAAATCTTCGCGATTTCCTACTTTCACATGACTATCAAGCAAGAATGAAACTATGTGATGAGATGATTAATTCATGTTTTAAAGAATGTGGTATTAAATAATACTTCGTTCGTTTGGTACAAAGACTTTTCTTCTGCCAAAAACAAATATAAGACAAATACATAGCTGGGCAGATTGACGCGACATCTGTCATCTGTCGTCCTTGATTTGTTCACATCACGAAACGATAGCTAGTCTTCTGGTTGCTGTCTCTCTCCTCATTTCATTAGTAATTTTCAACTATATGAATTGACTTAGAAAGCACTGCTGTTTTATTTTAGATCGCAACTTCCCAATGGATGCGTTTGCGTTCCCCAGGTCAACAAATCCGATGCTGGATCCGATCGGATCTTACCGGATCCGATCATCCGACAAAATCCGATCGGATTCCGGGAAACGGAATTGCATTGGAATCCGACTAGAAAAATCCCGTCGGTTGTTGCAAATTTTATGAGCGATCTTTCTAGCTATATTCTATGATGACCCTTAGAAAATCCAGGAAATCCATGTTTCGGTTCCGACGAGATCCGACGTGGGATCCGATCGGATCCGAGACCGTCGGAATCCAATGCGATTCCGTCACCAGGATTGCATCGGATCCGTCGAATTCCTGTAGGATCCGGTAAAATTCAGTATTGGATCCGATGGGATTCGATGGGATTCGATGGGATCCGGTGGAATCCGAGTATGGGATTGTTCGACCTGGGTCCTTTCACTTATAATCACAGCGTACTTTATTCAATGGCTCTATGCTGTGTATGTATGTGATAACAAAATCGCAGTTTCGTCAACCAACAGTACACGATGGCAAGACTTAAACGACTGTATGGCTGCACACACACATCATGGGCTGGATCGTCTATTCGATACAATTCGTGATTGCACTACATATATCTTCGAACATCTACTTGAAATCTCGATCTCCATGTTGATTATTTTATGCACATACGCATCAATCAATCGAAATAGCGATGCCAGTAATGCGATGGCAAATGCTATCAATGCTGTTCGTGATGATCTCAAAGCAGCTTCGTGTGAAGTTTGGATATCCGCGAAGAGTGCTTGTGTCACTCTATCACATTCGATCACCATTGTAAAATTAATGGAAGTTCTTTTAATTGGCTCATTTCTCGTAATTTTACCTAATGCATTTCATTTTCTTCTCAAAACATACGCTAAACTGGCCAACATATAACTATACGTAAACTCACTATTTTTTTGTCAATTTTTCCCTGCTTATACTGTTTGGTCTTCTTCAGTGTCTCAAAAGTTCAACAGCTGATTCATTAGCAACAACAATTTCCTGTAAACATTTTCAAGATAATAAAACTTTTCTCGACAATTATACAACAATCTTTCATNTTATTCACAATCCTTAATTTAACAATCACTATGTTTGTATGGAATTTTCATTAAGAAAAATCAAGAAACACTTCTGGTTTTTTAGTTATACTTGAATTCAAAATTTGTCACACCTCTCCTATGAATGGCTTTCCACGACATTTTCATTCATAAGAATATTCTTTACCAAGTGAACTTCGCTTAAATCTTATCATTTGATTATACGCAGATATCCTGAAATGAAATTATTCAATCATCATTAACTTTATTGAAGCAATGGCAATTCATACACATATATAATGCATTTATTCAGAAATCACCTTTTACAAATGATTGTTTAGAACATCAACGCGTAATTTGTGTTTTAATTTTCTGAAAATTCTCTTGTCCTTTTTTTACTGGTAATTCAAATATTGGAAGAAAAGTTCAAGATGCAAATGTCTATACGTATTAATAAGCAGAATGAAGATTAATATGGGGTTACTTCGCCGATCATCGTCATACTTATATCACATGCAAGCAAAATAAATTCAAAGGATGTGCTTGTTAAAACAATCGAATGGAATCAGAAACTTTCACTACTCTCACGCTTTTTTTTTCCTCATTTTTATTCAACTTACCGACTTCTTCGATCTAATAAATCTTTCGTTAGACGAAATCTTCGCGATTTCCTACTTTCACATGACTATCAAGCAAGAATGAAACTATCTAATGAGATGATTTGTGCATGTTTTGAAGAATAAGATACTTCGTTTGGTACAGAGAATTTTGTTTAATCTTAGAAGCGAATTTGTCTTCTGAGAAAACAAAAAGCAATCAAATAGAATGGTCTTCGTCCACCAAAAAGTATATAGCAGATCAAAAGGAAAATACCAATTCCATACGACCAAAATACAGTTGATTCACGAGGTAGATAACAATGTGACACTCGTTCGTTATTCGTTGTTATCGATAATAACATCAACGATGGATCGTCACGATTACGCCAAGAAAATGATGGCACTGTCCATTCGGGAATGATTCGACCATTGGTTCCTATATGTCGAGTATAACAAAAATCATGTGTATGGCCTGTAAATATAAGACGAGGCTGTATTGTTTCTAATAGATGCTGGGATGCTTCTTGAGATAAGACATCATAACGTTCTTTGAGCAAAGTGAATCGAGATGAAGTAAACGACGAAGAAGACTAAAACAAAAGATAGGTTTGATTGTAGTCAAACAAAAGATGTTTTATTTAACCTGTATGTATCGTGTACAATTTTCATCTGATGAACGATACAATGGGAAGTGGGACAATAAGATGGGTCGTGTCCATGTTCGTACTTGTTTTAATTCTTGAACAATTTCATTGAGTTCGTTTTCAGCGCGCGTACATAACCGACACTGGTCACCCTCGAATGCTACGGAATTGATTAATATAAAATAAAGATTGTCATCATTATTGTCAATCGTGATCAAACGAACATGTGGCGCTTGAAATGATGATTCAAATCGTTTTAAACGACCATCCGATACCGCATAGTGGAAGCCAACATCATGATTCCCTGCCAGAACATACACTTTCGTATCAGTTGGAACAGCAAATAAGGAATGAAAGCGTTGCACTGTTTCTTCCCATTCATTATCTGAACACCATTTTCCTTCATCAGTTACATCGCCCAGGAAAAATACTACATGCGGATCAAAGAGAAATCTTGCAGATTGAAATGATCGATACATTTGCCATTCGCGCCGCAGTTTGTCAAACCAATGGCCTTCACGTGAGCCGAGTAAATGTGTATCAGAAACGAACATAACATGTAATGGTTTTTGGTTTCGTTCATTGGTTGACTTAATTGTAAAATCCTGATCAAATTTTGATAGCTGAGGCCATGAACAAGCCAATAAAACAAAATAATAGATAACAAATTCGCAGTAAATAACAATAAATATCAATAAGAAAATTATTTTCGTCAAAAAATGTAACATATTTGGAAAAGATAACACATATGGCTTGTGTTCAGATGGACAACCTAAACATTATCTACCACTATCATTGCAGGCGTTCGTTATCTTCTTTTTTCGTAGATTATCTAAAGAAAAATATCGTGCTGAATAAAATTGCAAGAACAAACTATGTAAACAGCATCGTATGTCACTATTCTTTCTACGAAGAGAATGTTGTATTGTGTTCCAATGTGAAGGACAGATTTTGACTTGTACTCTTCAAGAATGCAGTATACGATATTATTGAAAAGTTCGAATCTGTTCTTCAATACTCTCTTCTTAGGAAGAACACGGACATACGATATTGTTTACATAGTTTGTTCTAATAATTTTGTCCAGCATTATAGAACTCTTCGTTATTGTCTGACATTTATTTGTAAAACGAAATACGATACAAGACGAAAGCAAAACATAAATTAAAGCGAAGGAATGAATCTATTTGCATTCGAACACCGAGATTCTGAAAATTGGTTTGATAAGAGAATTTTTACCTAAAACATTTAACTAAAAATAGAGCGCATCAGACAATAGCAAATTATTTTTGATCGATTGTTTCTTCTACAGGTTTTTTCGGTTTGATATAAAGCACAACAGCTTTCGCATAGATCTCATCTTCGCCATTCTCGACCGAAGCGTGTATATATGCTTTTCGGCCATCGACACGCTCAACATGAGCCCGAACAAGAACCCATGCCGGTGTAAGTAACGGCTTTTTATAATCAACATTAAGATTGGCTGTAAAACAAGGGCCGATCGAACGAAATCTATAACAAAAAAATCAAGTGTTTCGCTTCCTATGCGCAAACAAAACAACTTACGCTGCTGCACCGCTAACTTCATCGATCATCGTGGCTGTCAGCCCTCCATGTCTACCGAAAAATTCATGACATCATGAAAAAGCGATCGTTCGGGTACTTACACTATGCCTTTATGTCCGCAAACTCCGTCACCGAGATGAAAAGCAACGCGGACTTCTTCATACAGTTGACTTGTCGCGTCTTGAGATTCCGATGAGTTACTGGAAACATTGTTCGTCGGTTCCGTTTGTTTTTCAGTGCCCACAAAAAAGTAAAAATGACGTATGCCATTTGAATTCAACAGAGAATCAAATAGAAGGTGACCGGTTATATCGTAGAATTTTGTTCGATCAAGAAATCGCCCATTCGATGGTAGATTTTGAACCCATTGCGGTGCGTCGGCTGGAATTTGAGGCAATTCGACAATGTCTTCCTGTTCCGTCATCGTTGCTTTCTGTACTGTCAATGATCGAGCAAAGAACGCGTCAACTGATTTGTTGATCGAGTCGAAAACATTGTTGACGTATGACTCATTCCTATTTGATTACTTGTTAATTAATTTGATATAAGATGCGCAATGTTTGTCAATATTGACGACAATTTTCTACATAATTTAAGGACAGTCCACTTCATTGAAAATATCCTGGCGACACTGTTCGATTACTCCGATTGGAGTGAATAGAACTGCCATCTGTCGAGAGTACGAAGAGCATTACTCAAGGTTTAACATTTATCTAGAATAGCGTTCGATTTTCACTGGGAACAAAAAAGGATACAGACAAAACGGAAATTGCAGATTTATTTTAAATAGTGCGAAATACGTCTGATATGTTCTTCGAGTTGATTGATTTTATCTTGTGATGTTGGTGGAGATGAACGTCGATATATCGCACTTGCTCGTTGAAAACATGCCATTGACTGAGAGAAATCTTTTTTCGATTCATAGATACGGCCGAGGTTCTCCAGAGTGACTGCCGTTGATGGGTGCTGTGGCGGAAGGCTTCGTGTTTTAATATCCAATGAAGTTGTGTAATGCTTCAACGCATAATCGTACAAACCTAAAGGAAGATCTATGAGGATATATATGGAAAATCCTGCTCGTACCTTGTTTCCAGTAAAGATCTCCGATATTTTCATGCGTATCTGCAATTTTTGGATCCGTTGATCTTCCAGTTCGTCGCATTTCGGATTCAAGTGCCTTGTTATACCACGAAAGACTGGTATCAAGATCAATTCTCGCTGCGGCGATCAATCCCAGTAATTTGTAACACTCGACTTTATTCGGATGATCCGCAGGTAGTTGTTCAAGATAAACAGTTGTGTATTCTTCCGCTTCATCGAATCTATCCAAATCGTATAATAGTTTGGCAAATGTAAGAAGGTTTATCTCTTGATCGTTGTATTTCTTTTTCATCTCGTCGAATACTTGTTTGAGTTCATGATCGGTGTCACTGTACAAGGTTAATTCAATTGTGTAGATGCCATTATTTGTACATGTAATATTATTAATCAGAAAAACTGAACCGAATGTAAATAAGACTTCATTTTTATCACCGGAGAAATTTAATGAGCCGATTTGAACGAATGGCCTTGAACCGGGCACTCGAGGATCAGCATCAATTTCTAACAGAACGCGTTCACAGTTCGCTTTTGTCTCTTGACTTGTATTGAGAAAAGTAAGAGCAACTTCGCTATCTGTGGTCGCTGAAAGAAACGAATTAATTACAATACATTGACCAACTGAACTTATCCATTTATCGAGCAATTCAATTGGCATTATTTGACTTCGGTATACATGTAGAGGAGTGGAACATCGATGTTGACGGATCTGTTGGTCGATATCATGCAGAATCCCACGAAAGAGGAATAGATTACGTATATCTCGACTTTCAAGGGAATTGTTTAAAATTTTGTACAGGAAACATTCTTGAATGTACCACCAAAGAGCTCGATCTGCAGAGTAATCCGTTTTCAATGCATGTAACATTCGTAATTCATGACGTTGGTGACTAAGTTGTTCGTAACACATTGCAATAAGTTCGCCGTGATCGTTCGAATTATATGAAAGTCGTAAAAGATACTCGAGAATAAGTTGCATTTGAAAATATTCGATCGTTAGCTCATTTCCAGATTGATTGGGATCTGATGGAATCGAGGATGAAGCAGAAGCTGAAGCAGCATTGGATTTTGGTTTCGATTGAGATCGATCATTCATAGCTGGAAAGGTCAGATTTGACGGTTTATGAGTCGGTGAGGAATATATTAAATGTCTCTATTCTCCGTACTAAAAAATACAATAACTTTCGTCTGGTTTGCTATTGGTTAGACGGTGTTAAGCAATCAGAAGGAATGATTGATGATGCAGTGACAAAAAAAGTAACGTCCTAAGGAACGACAGAAGAGTAAAACTGCACTATTGATAACTAGCTGCGATTTGTCAGAAAACTTCATTACAATAAAACGTATCACAGAGTTCGTTTCATATGTTGAACGATATCATCAACCATTTCTCGAGCGATATTTAATCCCAATGATCCATAGAGAAATGTTATTGAGCCATGAAACGTATTTTCGTAATGTTTGTGAGTAACATCAACACCCACGCGTTTGGCGCGACGAGCATAAATGAATCCTTCGTCACGAAGACGATCGTGTCCAACGGTGATGATATAAGTCGATGGTAATTTTGCTAACTGCTCATCATCTACAAGCAGTGGTGAAACGTCCGGTTCAAGAGCTCTTTTCATCTTTTCGATAAGTTTGAAGTCACCCACTTGATCATCCGTTATTGGATTTGTATAAATCGCTCGATATTCTATTGGAATCAGTGACCAATCAACATATTTACGATACCATCGTTTTTGCTCGAGACTGGTATGCTGATTGAAATACAGTGTTTCGTCGATACTATCATTCAAATAGACTGATAGTTTATGAGAAGAAGTATAGTGTAGAAAAGTAAAATGTTGCTGTCGATAAGATGGAAGCATCATATCGAAAAATTGTAGAGATGGATAAATCAAAACTTGAAGACGGGGTAGATATTTGCTAACCGGATGTGTTACTAACCGCATCGTTATGATAGCAGCAAGGCTACCACCTGGAATATACACACACACAAATTAGAACAGTTGACAAAAAAAAGAACATTTACCAGCCGAGTCCCCAGCTATAGCCACTCGTGTTGGATCGATATGTAAGTCTTTTGATTGCTTATATTCGAGAAGATATTTCGCGACGGTATAACAATCATTCAGACCAGCAGGCAATGGATGTTCCGGTGCAAGACGATAACTATACGAATATGTACAGCGAATAGATTCAGAGAGTTATTAACTTACTTAACGGAAACAACAACAATATTTGCTGATCGTGACAATGTGCTCGTGAGTGTATTGTACGTCTCTATAATACGAAATAATCGAGAATGCTCTATTGATGTCAAAGGAAATTTACCAACTGAACCCATGTAGAAACCACCACCATGAAAGTAAATGAGAACAGGCAATGAACTATTATCATTCAATGGTCGAACGATTCGAACCTGTACGTTTTCAATCAATATATCTTCGACCTCAACATAAAGAATATTATAATTTTATTAGGAAAAATATCGTTTTTACTTGAAGATTAGCATCGACAACTTTCTTATTCTGTAACAATGCAGCAAAATCAATTATTTTTCGTAGTACCATTACGCGATCGGATACGCCGAAAAACTCCACTATTTGTCCCTATCGAAGTAAAACCTATCATTCTATAACAAACACTATAGTCCATATCAACATACAATTAAATGAACAATTTTCATCGGTACACAAAGTATTCGAATTCGATCTATCTGTTCGATGCCTTTGCTATTCGGTGCACGATAAAGATACGCCATGCAAATTCCTACGATGATGATGAAAATGGATAAACATCGAGCCGCACGTGCCATGCATGCAAATAGAGTCAACGCCTATGATAAATTCACTTATTTACTATCACCGTTTCGACTTTTCTTTATCTATTCCATTCAGAAATGTAATTGGTCAAGCCGAAAGACCTATCTTTCTATCGTTATCACAAATGATATTGTGAATTACTACAAAGATAGACATCAAATTTTCATGTGACGAGTTGTTGCTGGTCAAATGAACAACAGTGTTAACTCAACATGAGAGACCATCCTTTTTTTGTTTTATTTTTGCCCTACATACGTCATCCCTCTTTTTTTTCAATAAGAAACAAGGTTAATGTATAAGCACTCTTGCCATCAGCGCTATTCTCCCAGAAGAGTCTCATGTATTACAGTAATGACGAAATCTTGTCACACATTAAGTATATACTTCTCGATTATTTCTATTTTTATTCGTTTTTTTTTATTACAAAATAGCCACCTTAGTGCATTAACTACTAAATTAAAGAACGTGGAACATATTCATAATTCAGAGAAATTTGATCGCTATTCCTCGGAGACAAGCAGCTATCTACATCGTCTGGCAAGTTTATCTCTCTATGCCCACATTCTTCTCTCGAACAGTGTTCCGATCAATAATATATTAAAATTATGGGGGTGTACATATGAAACTAATGATTAGACCTTTCGTATGATATTCGAACTGACCATGCGCGAAGAATTCAAAGAAATTGAAAGAAGATTGTGTTCCGACTTAACAATTAATACAATAAAAAATGCCATTGCAAATTCAATTTCTAATCGCTTTGTAAAATACTGTGTGAGTACATCAATCATCTTGGTGACAATGCCAGATAGGAATTTGCACTGACAAAGAAACAAAACGCGATTATTGAAAGCATAAACAACATTAATAATCTATTCAATTATATCTACTGTGTCGAAAACCAATTGTTTCCAGATCATCTGTCAACATTTGTACGACGATAGATTTCGTTTCGAACAAAACAACATGAGTACATTGATAAAACAAACTCTTCCGAATTCAGTTCAAGGACGCAGGAATTACATTAAGATAACTGTCATGTTTCGATCCTATTTTCAAATTATCTACATGTTCCATTAGAACACGAAATGTTGCATACATAATTAACTTAACTATTTCTTTAATAAAGATTTGTAAGTACGTCATCCATCGAGATGACATTCACTATCATGAAATAGACATTTCCTATTCGAGTGTGCTCAAAGTTTATTGAAGGCAAGTTAAATTGATCATTTTTCTGTCGAAACAATGACACATGTCACACTAGTGACATTCCTATTTTTAGAATATACAGATGATTCGTTCATGACAGAATGGTGCAGGATGAAACTATGCTCAATTGAGTTCAATTTTTTTCTTGAAGAGAGCAGGTCGAATAGTAGCAGTTCGGTTTTCTCTCCTATTTTCCTGTTTTCTTCTTCGGTCTCTTTCCGTTTTTCCCTCAATACGCTCCTATTTCCTTCCTCAACCTTGAGGTATTCGACCGCTGTTACAACTATTAATAATTACTTCCATCGTTATTGAGAAAGTACTTCAACCACATAAGCTCGATATTTCAAGGTAAGAAAAACGAAGTTTCTCCCTATGAACCATCAGCACTGATCAAGCAAACTTCTCTGCTTTGTGTCACCGAATGCGAATAGACTACGATTTCCTCATCACGTCACGGTCAATAAAATCCAAGCGAATCAGATGTAACATACAGACTAATTGTACTTCCATCAGTACAAAAGTAAAGGGCATTAAACTGACTTGAAATAGTAATTAACAGACAGATATGTATTACGAAAGAGCATACAGATGTTGTCTAATAGGAGATATTCTCTCATGAAGATATCTAATGTAGCGACGAGCCTTGACCTAAAACGTAATAGCTTGTTCAATTATTGGATGCGTTTGATGTACAAATTGTCTCGTTATGTGGCTGTCCAAAGAGTGCTTTCATCCTACGCGTTTCTCCCGAAAGAAATGGAAAAAAAGACACGAGTCCGTACGGATCTTATTCCAAGACAGGTAATCCATGTAATCGAGTGTGATTGGAAGATTTGCATGGCAAAAGAAGATAGATATTTAGATAGAAAGAAAGCAGATAATCTATGTTAAACGATAATACAAGACAGACTGATTGATAGCATGTGTCTTACATATTAATTCTTTGTTTAATAAATTCTTCCGATCACATTCCTATAGAAATATGAATAGCTAGGCCGGTCATGTAGACGAAAAGAAGAGTGAAACGTCCTAGTTTGAGAGTACATCGATCAAATCTTGTAATTACAAGAAAAAAAACTGAAAAGAACATATGTTACGATTTATTTTGACGTCATCATCTTGTTATTATTGTTTTTGTTCGTCAAAGTGACACATAAAATAAAGCGGATATCTCTTTATAGTTGTTTGTACGACCATGAGCAGTCAAGAATCTGTTATAAACATTCTAACCATTTACAGACGACAAAGACAAATAGTATGGTTAGTAGAAAAGGATAACCTTGTATGTAACACTACACAAAATGACATCGAATATTTTCTTTCATTTAAGAAACAAACATATTGATTGAAATGATTAACATTCAATTCATTAGCATCAAACGCTTTCTTTGCCTGTCAAATCAAAGCGATCGCTTTCATTTTTGTTTATTACAAGATGCACTTAGATACTGTAGAATAAATTTCAAATTGTCGAAAAATCACTTAGGTGGGACATCGAATGTAACTATAGAGGATATTGATAGATGGTTAAATTATCATCGTGGATATCTGGCGGAAGTAGACAAGCATATTGCCGAGGGAAGAGAAAGAGAGAACACGAGAAAGAGAAAGAGAGAGAGAGAGATGGAGGAAACTCATGAAGAGAAGTAAATTGTAGTCCTTGTTTCGTACACAATGATTCAGATAGTATTAGTCTGATGTATCCCATCAACAGAAGATATTTTGGACGAAAGATTGAGGTAAGTGTCGAAAGTAGATATCCGATGACAACTGTATGGCGAATTTATCTTCTGAGCTGTTTTGACAATATTAGATTAGTTTAGCAAATAATGAATACCACTCACAGGATAGATGCCTGAGCAAAATTTGAACAACTCACTCATGTTAAGATGAGATTTCCGTTCGTACAAAGCCTCACATTGAAAATATGTCAATAGAACAGTAGGTTAAACAAGGACATATGTAAAGATTTTCTGTCTATATCATCACAAAAGTCTGCAATTATCTAGAGCAGAATGAAGTTCCATGCCAACAAATATCTCGCTAATTTTCTCATGTAATTCACATCCTATATTCTTCGCTTTTTTTCATTATTAAAATAAGATTAACCATTGTCGTTTCCTTTTGTATTTTCAAGCGTTAAATATCGGATAAGTATAACAATGAAAAGAAAGACAAGACGCGAGACCTTCATCATGCCCGATAGTCTCTGTCTCCAGCTAGGTGGCTCGATCGTCGAATCTAACCTTGCTTATGCTACTTTTATCTCTCCGTCTGCGCAAATCCTTCCCTTTAACGATGACGAAATACTCCGGTCAATCAGATACATATATATCAATATATATGTATACAGCACGACTTACTAATAACTATTAAGTATGTTTATCTCAACATAAATCATATTGTTCATTGTTATATACATTTATCCTCCGCATGCTAAATGATCGAGCAGTCAAACATTATCCATTTATATAAATAGAGTTTTGTTCGATGTTCGACAATTGGGTGATGAATACATTTGCTTCTTCTAGATAACGCGATGATATTTTACAGATTAATTCATTGATAGATGTAATTAAAACAAACTTATCATGAATAATATTATCTTGCGGAATCTATTTGTGCTAACCAGTGCTGCCATATTTCTTGGAACAATCATTCTTAATCTTCTAGCTATTGTTTATATTCGTTCAAGGCGAGACAAAACGTCAATTGCTATTCTTGTTGTTAATTTAGCGATTGCCGACATCATTCATGCCAGTATGTCTCGGATGAATTGAAGATTTCGAAGTTTTTCTTTCGTTCTTGTTTCTTTCTAGTGGGAATTATCTTCTTTAGTACTAATTTGTTTACTCCAAGCTGGGTGTTTGGTGAATTTGGATGCAAATTTAGTTTATCCATCGACGTTCTTTGTACTGTGGTAAGATTAGATACGTTTCATTCTTTAATCGAATGAGAACCGGCTGATTTGCGACGTCCATTTCCTTGTTTAGTGACGAGGAATTGAATACACATAAAAAGCTGACTGAGTCTGCATTTGTTCCACTCCAAAGGAAATATGACATTTTAGTATGTTGGAAACAAGAGCAGCTTAAAAAAGGTTTTTGTTTGTGCGCAACTGCAAGTCGCGAAAAAGTTCAAACAAGTGTCTAGAGTATCCTTTGAGAGAAAAAGCCGCTAATGTCGGATCAAGAGACATAATTATATATAACTACGAAAGAAAAACAGAATAACATAATTGCCAAGTGTTTATTAATACTTGAAACTAACTTCATGTTTATAAATACATACATAAAAACATGACAGCGAAAAACAACGAATCAAGGACAATGGTATTATTAATAAACACCATAACAATAATATCCAAATGAGTTGATAACTATCTCATTAGAGAGAAATCGATTAATGATAACAGAAGCTCTGATTTCATTAGAGAAAAACATTCATGCGAACAATCGCAAATGATTTTTGGAAAACACCTTCGAAATCATCTGAAATTTCTTCTAGGTCATTGTCTATACAGTCGCAGCATTGAGCGTTGAACGTTACATCGATGCTCGATCGAAACTGTCAGCCAGAGTTCGGTTCTTCATAACATTTGCATCGGTGATTGTCATCTGGACAGTTGGAATCTTGTTACCATATCCATTCATTTTCTACACATTTCTCTACGATCAAAATAAAAGTTCAACGAAAAATCTGACAACATCGATCTTAACATGTCGATCCGTTCTCTCCGAGCATGCTTTACTTATCTACGAAATCGTTCTTTATATCATGGCATTTATCATACCGTATTCAATAATTGTCGTATTTTCATTAAAGCTGCTTCGATTTCTACGTCAATGGCTGAACCGAAAGCAGAAATTAACGCGATTAAATGTCGTGAAGAAGCGTACACGCGGAGTTAAGCTTGTCCTATGTATTGTCTTATCATTTCTCATATGTTATACACCGTTCTGGATCTTTAAATTTTACACAAGCTTCCTACTTGATGAAACGATACGTCGTCGACCATTACTTAGGCATTTTCTGACATATGCACATCAACTTGTTGTTCTACTTAGTCATATCGAAGGCATTTTAAATCCATTATTCTTCATTGTTTTAACGGATCATTTCTGTAAAACATTTTCGAAGCATCGACAGAAAACATGGAATTTCCTTGGAACAAAATCATCATTAATTTCACGAAATGGCGAAAGAAAATCGTCGATTGTTAACGGCAAAAATTCAACACGAAGAATAGTAACAACAGGTGGTAATACAGAAATAAACGGTCTTCTATCATCACATCCGACTCTTTGTGAAGAGAATGATAAAATTACCATAGCCGTTCTATCTCATTAACACTTGTATATTGTTTATAGTAGAATTGCGATTAATAAACATATGTATAGAAACGAAGAAGAGTTCTATTTCATGATAACAGATGTTCCTTAGTCGCACAAAGCATCGATCAGATGTTTGTAAAGCTACAAACACCGACTTGCAAAAGAACCTGGAATGATTTTATATAGACTCTCATGAGATTTGCTCTCAGAGCTCTTTTAGTATAAATATTCCCGACTTCGATTGATTTTTGCATAATATCAAGCGGAAATTAAGCCATATTTCTTGATTACATTATCGAAACGAAGAAATCTACTCGATGGCAAAAATTCATTGTTCAGACCTTTGCAAAACTGGACTTTGGTGTTTTCTGCAGTCATATGCAATCTCAAGTTGATAGCTGCACCGTTGTGTAAAAGAGACAAAAGAATTCTTATACCGAGTCTTGAGAATGTTATCATATATTTCGAGATAGAGCAGGATGGCGAGTAAAACTGATTTGTCCTATTTTATCAACAAATGACGAAATCATTGAAGCATGTCGAAACTAATACAAACATAACAAGGGCAATATTATTCATTACGTGTATGATTACGTGCTACGTCGGGAATATCTTTTTCTTTTTCTTTTTCGTTCTATTCCTAGCGCATCAAGAAGAACGTCATATCGAAACAGCAGTTCGATACGTTTTTTTCTTCGTTTTCGAATCTCAAAGTAAGTACGAAATGCAAATCGACATTCCTGAAATGATGTTTTGTACATAGATTTCAATCGAAATGGGTAATCTGCATGGTAAAGATCGGTTGCCAAAACATCATCCCACTCTCGGTCCTTCGTCGAAGACGAGTCCTGTCGATGACCCAAGTGATCCTCCATTCGTTGTGGTCTGGTGTGATGCATCGATCGGTTCAGATACAAATGCTAGCGATGATGTGAATACCTTAATACAATTGACACGTATTGTGAATAGAAAGCGGCAGTTGATCCATACTTTCAGTGAGTTGGATGCATGTCAAGATTTTATCTATCATGCGAGTAATGTTTGCTTGATTGTGTCTGGTCAAATGGGTACTCAACTTGTTCCATTAGTTCATGGTCTTCATCAATTACATTCGGTTTATATATTCTGTTTTAATAAACCAAAATACGATCAGTGGGCGAAACAATTCAATAAAATTCGTGGAGTTTATACTGAAATCGATGAAATATGTGACTATTTGCGAAAATACTTTGCTGCCCAATCAACAATATCTGACGAAGAACAATTACAATTCGACATTTTCAGGAAAAATCCTGATTTAGCTTCGGGCGATCGACAAGACGTTCCGTTTCTTCATTCTATTCTCATCAAATTGATTTTGTCGAACATGAATTTAATTAAAATTGAAGACATGATTAATTACTGCCGGATTGAATATTCGAGTCCTCATCAGCAGCATTTAATCAATGATTTAGAAAAGGTCTACACGCAATATGATCCTGTTTGGTGGTATACACGGGACAGTTTTCTCCAAACTATTGTTAATCGTGCTCTACAAATCAATGATCTATTTACTCTATGTACGATGAGTCCGTTCATACAACAACTTGTTAAGCAACTTGCAACTTCACATGAAGAACAGAACACTTCAATGTCAAAAGACTTAGTGTTGTATTCATATCAATTATTATCATTTGATGATTTTGAAAAAATCAGATTAAACCAAGGAGGACTAATGTGTATTAATCAATTTACTTCTGCTAACAGCGAAAAAGCGATACCTTTGACATTTCTGCAACATCAAGCAGCACCACCTGCCGCAACGCCAGCCACGACACCAGCAACATCATTAGCCACAACGCCAGTCACGATACCAGGCGCAACACCAGCACCAGCAGCAACGCCTGCATCAACGTTTGCAACAACACCAACAACCGACACCGTTACCATCAATCCCATTCAGATCAATGCAATTCTCAACATCACAATTCCGCATGGCGCGACACCGAATGTTCCGTTTGCGAACATTGGTGCAGACAGTGACTTTGTTCACGAAAATGACTATCTCATATCTATGACAAGTATCTATCGAATTGATAAGCTTGAGCAATTTCCGGAAGATCCTGCGTCTTGGCATATCTATCTGACGTTAATTGGTGAAAAAGATGAGCAATATACTGATATAGTGCATTACTTAACTTTAACTTATAAGCTTGAAGAGTCCACTCTACCTGAACTCGCATCATCCGTTACACACAAACTGTATCAATTCAAATCAACACGCAAACTATTTGAAAAAGCCTACTCTTCGAAAATTCGACAAATGCGTACGGGTCTGATGAATTATAATATGGGTGTGATTTACGATTGTATGAGTGAATACGCAAAAGCTATTAGCGAATATAAATACGGTGTAGAGTTCGTTCGGCAAACCACACCGGACGGGTTTTCCGTCGATCATGCATGTCTCGCACCGGTATTTTCGAATGTGGGGATATCGTACGAACGATTACACGTCTTTTCCAATGCAGTGGATCATGGATTTCGTGCAGTGACTATTGTATCGGACATGGATGAGAAAACCTGTCCATTTCGAAAAGAACTTTTGGCTTCCGCATACTTCAATCTTGGCTTAATTCATGAGTTGGATATGAAATTTCCTCAAGCGAAAATGTTTTATGAACAAGCTTTGAAATATCGACGTCAAGTATTGTCTCCTGAACATCCCGATATGAAAAGTTTAAAACACACTTTGAGTTTATTAACATCTGAATAAAATAAAAAGTAAAACAATCAAGTTGACTTGTCGGTGCCATCGGTAGAACCGAATGAATCTTCGACTGTGAACTTCAATTGTATCTCATCATTCTGAGTCTATGTTTGCTCAAATATTTCCTTTTTATTACATTCTCATTGAACATCGAGAGACTATTTCAGTTATTCTTTGTAGCAAACAATTCAATTTGACAAAACACGCGAATAAACAAGATTTCGTGTTCGGTTTGTGTTGCTTTTATTTTTTTAACAAAATGTTCATATGCTTGCTGTAGTCAGTTGTTTAACCAAATCGTAAGAATTCACCTTTACGACCGAATCGGAGGAAATTGCTTGATGCTGCTGGTTGAGCTTCGCGACCAAAACGAAGAAAATTGTTCGAAGCTGCTTGTTGAAACTGTCGACCGAATCGAAGAAAGTTGCTCGAAGCGGAGCTTGGAGCTTGTCGGCCAAAGCGAAGAAAAGCAGCTCCATTGGGATCAGGACGACCGAATCGGAGAAAGGTAGGTTGGGAACGACCAAAACGAAGAAATGACGAATATGTCGATGGAAATTGACGACCAAATCTTAAAAATTCTGCAGCTCGCGGTACAACGAAGTAGTCCTCGTCATCCTCCTTATCATCATTGACTATATCTTCGTTATCAATTATTGTCGAAGGTTGAATCAAAGTATTTGGTTGCGAACTTCGGCTAGCATCATTTGAATCTTGAGTTATGAATTTGAAACAGAAATGAAACAGTAAGAAAGCAAAAAAGAAAAGCATGTTGAGTTCCTACCACTAGTAACAGTCGAGATTAATTGAAGACAGATCAAGGAAGCTAGAATGGTGAAGAAATACATGCTGATGAATACGTATCTAAAGAGAACTTTTCAGAATAGTCAAATGTGAATGCATTTTCTGATATTTTATTGTTCTATTTATAAGATCGAAAGGCAAAGATAATAGCTTCTCCTATTTAAAGTCTTGCATGTGATGTGAATTTTTCTAGTTCTCTAATCTACATAACAGACTTGTGTGCAGGCGGAAAACAATAGAGGAGGAAAAGGAATAATTATCATCATTAGCATCGATCGATGGTGCATTGTTCTGTTGCCTGACTAGATTTCTAGCGTGACGGAAGATCGTTGAGAGAAGGTAATTTAACTAATGTTCCATTTCTTAGACTAAGAAGGTAATTTGCAAGTTTGAATGTGACAAATAAATTACATATCGTGGTCTACGCCTCCTTGTGTGTATATTAGTAAAAGAAATTATTTTTTTTTCGTGATTATATAGGTAATTGGAAAGCGTTTTAGAAATAAAAGAAAGGTTTTTCTACTTTTTCAATCTACTAATCACATCGATTAAGGTGGGCAGGTATGTAAAGTGAATATACAGCACTAAAAAATATATTTCCAGCGAATCATTCTTGACGTCTTGAGAAGAGATTATTCAGTGCGCGTCCTCGTTTATTCTTAGCAAAGGCTATTTTCATTCGTCGTGAACTGGACTTGTGGCATCATTTTCGAATAGAACATAATAGCAGCACAAGAATGAATAAGTGTTCACAACCAGACCAAAGGATTCTAATGTTTTCTTTGTCCACAACTAATGGTAACTCTCGCGTATGTTTGATTCAGCTACTTCTCGATAATCATGTTCATTTAGATGATACGCATTTTCTATTTGAAAATTGAGATTTTATTGAAAATCAGATGTTTATAATAAAGAAAAAAGACTTGTACGAAAAATATTAAATTCGATTGAATTACGTTTATCATTCGCCAATCAAATTTCTATTTGCAAGCAATTGTACCTTTTGCGATTGTAATTTGACCATTACCACATTGAACGGCTACGAAAGAGAAAGTACATTTACGTACTCAAAGGATGACGGAAACCCTTGTTTTTGGTACTTACAATCGACTTCTTCACCATCTACAGAAACACTTGCTTCGACATCTGAACCACCGGCAACAGCGGAAGCAGCAACGTCGTCCGATACGGATGAAGCTAAAACAAAGAAAACACAAATTAATCACTTAATTAATTCTCTCTACTACACCACTACTGTGCCAGATTTCTCTATTACCTAGCACCCTCGTCCATCACGCATACACAGACTATCATGTCTTTCATGCACTTATTCTCAGTACAAGCCTTTCAAACAGAACAAAATCACTTACCGGCAGCAGCGCTTCTGGCTTTGTGGATAAGTACTTCACGTAAAGTCAAAACCTTTTCGGGTGTACCTAGAATGAAAAAAAATTCTTCCTATCGTTGAATCTAATCCGGTAATTCAGCTTACGTTCAGATGTGATTTCGGATGGGAAAGTAGCTTCAAATTTGTCGCCAGTTTCCATTGCATTGATTTGATGTGCAGCAAAGATGATCATGCTGCATAATAATAAACAGTACACACTGAATGATTGCATGGTAGCAGATTCACAAATTGTATTTCACAGTAAATGACGAATGAATGATGAAATCTCTCGCACAAACACACTTCTATTTATACCACCACACGACCAATCGTTGACCACTTCTATCTCTCTCGTCCACACATCGAACAATGACAAGCACAGAAACAAGCCTCGATAGCGATCCATTACAAAGCAACTATTTCGATATCTTCCCTGGATAGCATCTCCGAGAAGAATACTTTGTGTGACACACATTGTGACGACTTCTTAGTACACTCGGATAGTTATCGGACGATATACTGACTTGCCTATGATAATTCGAAGCAGTCAACACGTATCAAAGAGAAGAAGAAGAAGAAGACGAAGAAAAGAGGAAAGTGACGTCATTCGATATGAACAGTTTTGTGAGAATATTCCTGAAATGGAATATCTTCTGTCAATAGAAATGCTGTATCTCTGAACAACGGCAGATGAACGTAGTCGAGATGATTCGTCTTGCAATGAGGTCTATATTGATGAACGATGCACGAGATAGTTCAAGAAGTACATGGTTCGTGACGGATCTGATGAATTCGGCATGAAGAATATAATTCGTTCGTCATGATGGCATGTTAGATAGAAAGAACGAAAAAAGCATTGTCTGTATATTCGTTTCTTATGCATGTCGAAAAGAAAAAACGGTAATGAATGTCCGTTTCGGTGATATATATATATATGTGCATGCACGCAAATGTTGGCTGAATATATTTGATTATTTGCTATACTATTGTACATCTGCTAACATGTATTCGTTTAATGTTTCGTGTTTAATTTTCTGCATTGTCATGGCCTGTGTTTTGTACGGAACACATGGTAATCCAGTGGAAAACACATCAAGCGCACCTGCTACCAGCACACCAGAGGAAATGTTGAAATCAGCATCACTTGATCAACCGATAGTCCAAATTCCAGGACTGGATATTCAAAAAATGTTGGAGGGGTTGAAAATGTCAGCAAATGGTAAAGTGTCCAAAATATTTGATCGTTCCTTGATTAGAAAGCATTTGTCAGGAGAGATCTCTAGTGAAATAATCTCTGCAGCGCGTGAACTTTTACTGCACTCTGTAGTAGACTACCTACATTTTCAACTGATTTCATTACCTGCCATAACACTCTTCACTCATTCTACAAATCCTATGAAAATTTTGCTTTCATTTCAGGACAAAGTGGTAATTCTCCAGGTTGTTCATCGAAAGGTATGTGAAAATTTAGTTTTTAGAACATGGCCAATAATGGCCGCTTTACGCTCGCATAAACTCAGGAGTAAGGTCTACTTCTGCTGGTAGTAGCATAATATAAGTATGACTTTTTTGCTTTTCTGAAGATATCGGAAGTGCGAAAAATCTATGGCCACTTGTTTTTTATCTCTTTCCTTATAAGAGAGAGTGTTTAAGTATGGATGATTTGCAGTACAGTTAGCAGTTGAGTCATATTTATAAACTTTCAAGTCGCAATGTTTTCCCTACGTTTTTCTCATCATTCCTCGTGATTCAAACCGTCACTTTTATGATTCAAGAAGATCAATCTTTTTCTATTCATAGGCTCCAATATTGGTAACGGTGTTGTCAGTCTATCTGGTCAAAGTATCTCCTGCAAATAATCAAACAAAACCCAACGATCGTAGCGGAAAACAAGACTGACAATATCACCAATCATTAGTTGTTCAAATTTATCAATAGTTCTTTTTCTCTTTTCTCTTTCCTCTTGTTGTCTAATGAATTATGTAATCAAATAAAATCTGCTCCAAACACTAATCAAAATCATTCTTCTTTTCAAACTCGGTTTTATCCAACATACGGACCGGTATCAGCAATTTCGTTTACAGTTGTAAATGTCAGTGTTGATGAGACTTTTCTTTCGTTTTCATACTTTCACTGATGAATACATTTCCCATCGATATATGAAGAACAAATGATAATTGCTAGATTAGATGTGCATTGAATTATTTTCTTTATTAAATATTCAAAGTGAACAACACTACATGAAGCGATTGGAATAGATACGAGGAGAAATGATGAAACACTATGGTGAGAAATGGCATATAGGTCAATGAGATGTTCATTCAATGATTGTTCACACCGATTTAACAACCATTTATAAGACCATTGATGATACCAAAGTTTCCTACGTCGACTGCGACGAAAAGAAAGAAAATGAATTGGGATATGAAATGTGAAACAGCATGAATACTCACCCTTGACGTCTCCAGTGGCAAAATCACTGCCATCAACTACAATGAAAAGTAAAGATTCACGATGATGTATGGAGAAACTGGTACAATAAACGAAAATGTTCTTGTCTAAGTAAGAAACGCGTATCAGTCGTGTGATGCATCGATAGGTATATGTCTCATCAGATGTTTATGATCGATGAAATCTTTAGCGAAGAGTGTTTAAATGGTTGAACTGCTCTGCTTGTTAGCTATCATAAGGATCATTTATTTGGTTCGTGCATCTATCGACTGAAACAAGTGTTTAGTCAGCACTTAAGGATTTGAGGACACTGATTATGACGAACTGCAGTTTGAATTTTGTCTTATGACAAGAGAACTTATAATCATTGCAATTTACTTACAGTTGATCCGACCGCATGGTTGCTTCTTCGCGGGCCTTCTAACGTTCGCCCTTGTTTGTCCCTTTCGACGCACATTTCCGACTGGCACTTCCACGCGTGATTCATCTTGTCCTTCATCATCTAATTAGTAAAGGGATAATTCAACAAGAAGACTTGCCTTTGTATTTTGCTTACCGTCTGGCCTCCTAAAAGAATTGGGATCGCTCATTGCCTTCTGAGTGCCAAATCTTGCAGCTGTTTGATGAACAATCAAAGTCATCAGGATACATAATAATAAACAAAGAGTTAATGTTTTCATGATACAACAAGATCAATAAATGTTGACGCAAACAGAATTGGGATATCGCGTGAATGACTAAACCTATTCAGTCAACATCTATACATGTTTCTTTTTCGATATTTAGTCAGGCAGTAATAATCGTTTTTCGTTTCTGTCGAAACAGTCGTAACAACTATATTCTCTTTCTAACATGCCATCATGACGAACGAATTATATTCTTCATGCCGAATTCATCAGATCCGTCACGAACCATGTACTTCTTCAACTATCTCGTGTATCGTTCACCAATATAGACCTCATTGCAACACGAGTCATCTCCACTACGTTCATCTGCCGTTGTTCAGAGATACAGCATTTCTATTGGCATAAGATATTCCATTTCAGGAATGTCCTCACAAAACTGTTCATATCGAATGACGTCACTTTCCTCTTTTCTTGTTCTTCTTCTTCTCTTTGATACGTGTTGACTGCTTCGAATTATCATAGGCAAGTCAGTATATCGTCCGATGACTATCTGAGTGTACTAAGAAGTCGTCACAATGTGTGTCACACAAAGTATTCTTCTCGAAGATGCTATCCAGGGAAGATATCGAAATAGTTGCTTTGTAATGGATCGCTATCGAGGCTTGTTTCTGTGCTTGTCATTGTTCGATGTGTGGACGAGAGAGATAGAAGTGGTCAACGATTGGTCGTGTGGTGGTATAAATAGAAGTGTGTTTGTGCGAGAGATTTCATTATTCATTCGTCATTTACTGTGAAATACAATTTGTGAATCTGCTACCATGCAATCATTCAGTGTATACTGTTTATTATTATGCAGCATGATCATCTTTGCTGCACATCAAATCAATGCAATGGAAACTGACGACAAGTGGGTCACAGAAGTTCCATCAGAATTGAACTTTGAACGTAGGAAGAGTTGCATTTTTAAATAACAATACTGAATTTTTTATTGTATTTGTAGATACTACCGTAAAAACATGGCCACTACCCGAAAAAGTTCATGAAAAACGCGCATCTATTGCTGCCGGTAGGTCATTTACGCCAGATGGCGATCGACAAGGAATCTAAGTATATATCGAGAAAGGAGGGTGAGGGTGTGTAAATAGTTGTGCAACGAAAGGAAAGCATAATGATAAAGAAGCTCACTAAATGCAGAGGAAAGACAGGAAAATATTGTTGCAATTGATCAAATAGGTGAACTAATTATTTGTTGTTTTTTAGCCGCCGTTTCAGGTTCAGGCTCACGTAGACCTGCTAGAGTTCGAACCAGCGGACCATCAAGTAAGTGTCAATCAAAGTGGTTTCAATTACCTTTGGAATGCGTAACTTTATTGTTTCTTTTACAGACATTCAATGCGGTAATGGTGTTGTTACTATTACTGATGGTCAAATCTCATGTGGCAAATAATTGTATCGGCGAATGATATGGATAATTTGATCAAATTCAATATTTTTTCGTACACATTTTCTTTCTTTCGCTGTTGTTAACATGTATTAATCATCAATAAAATATCACTTATCAAATAATAAAACCATTTTGGAATGTGACTGAATAAAATGAAAACAAAAAGTACTCATTCATCTTCAAAGTGTCAAATGTATGCGTTGTTGCAGCTTTGAGAGCCATGTATTGTAAGCAATTGCGAGAGAAGTTTGCTATCCCTCTCTCTTCTTTTGACGCTGTTTTACGACTACACGTATTCTGTCGCGGGCGTCAGATTATCTGGCAAATTGTCTTGTCACCGTGAAAGCTATTAAATATGACAGTGAATGATCGCTGTTCTGTAGGGATTATATTCATAGTTCTATTAGTGAATAAATAATTTGAAAGATTTAGATATATACGTATATCCAATTATTTCCTTATTCATTATTCAAGACAGAAATAAGGACAACAGGTAGTACAGTTAAAGATTATCATGAAAAATGGAATATTTGCAGGTTAAATGTTGTTCTATTGCTTGCCCCTATCAGTTTAACAAAATATCTACCACCATAGTCATGTACCCTCGCCGTAAAAAAACGCAACGAAACTAGTTCACAAACAGTATAACACTGTTGAAGGACTAAGAGTGTCCGTCACTCCATGGATATCTCTGATGGGTAATTCTGCTGCAGCTGACTGATATGCAGTCCAAACGACCGAGAGACACAATAATAATCAGCAAGTATTTAGCGACTTCATAAAAAAGATTCACAATAATTGAAATGGTCAGAGCTGGAATATAGGCAAAATTATGAAGTCTATAGTCAGCTAGCAGTTTATATAAACACGGACGGAAGGACCTTCTCGATATTTGTTGAAGCAAATAGACAGTCAATAACTTTTCGTTTCTGTCGAAATAGCTTTTGTTTTCTTTCTAACACGTTAACTTGACGTGGCGAACAAAACATCGTTCGTACATGTTCCATCAATTCATGCCAAAGGTCATCGAGGTCGTCTACTGAGCACTTTTTAGCGTATCTCTTATTGATCACAGACAGTTGCGCCATGTGTTCAATCCTCAATATGATATCATGCAATGAAATAGGGAAAGATGTTTCTAAACAGACAATGTTGAAATGACGTTCTTGTGAATACACATGAGTTTTGGAAAGTTTTCAAGAGTGAAATATAGTCAGGACATTCATCTCTTCGAGTTAACATTATTGGATAACATTGAATATAGAAAAATGTGCTTTTCAAACTTTCTCAGTATTGTATGGTTCTTGTACAATGATCGAAAGATTTTGAATGAATGCGGTCGGTCACGATAACACTGTATAGAATAGTATATGTTTGAACTAATTCCTTGATGAACATCGATTTCTGCTCGGCTCTCGGCTGATTAGATCCAGTCTTACTGTACTCAAGCGTTGATCATTTTCTGAACACCCGATATGCCAAGGAAAACTAGCAAACAAGTGATTCGAGAATTTTAGACAGTGTGTATACAATTATTTTCTTTATTGATGAGATTCAGAACTGGTACAAGAAATTGATGAGAAGAAAATTGAAATAGAGAAGTGTATGGTTGCCATCTTCTTGGAACTATTGTAGTTCACAGACAATTCTGCCATTCTTCATTGTAATCACTCCATTACCACAGACTGAAGCTAAACGAAATAAGAAGCGAATACGATCAAACATGATTCTTCGAAATGACTATTGAAATACTCACTTTGAACTATTCCAACACGGCGTTGTCGTTGTAAAGCTAAAACAAAAGCAAGCCATGAATTAAAGGATATCAGAAACCAATAAACATCGAAGGCTAGTTTTGAATGGCAAGGACCAACAGTCAGTAACATCTTAGATTCATGCAAAATCTTTCTTGTATTCAGTGATGGAGCTTCGTATGAGAAACTGACTGTCCTCTTCAAATTTCTCGCGTAGTTCTCCGACTCGTTGTCAGAAGATCTAGAGGTGAATTTGTCTGCTTATCGATTTCATAACTACGCCAACTATTCGCATGTTTAACAATCGAACTACTTTCGTATCCAGGAATATCATTCACTTACGAATATTAGAAACATCACGCTTTTTCTTAGATGACAAATGCACATTTATGCCCGTATTCGCCATTTGTGGTCCTCCTAAAACGAGACGAATGTTTTAACAGTATCCGACAGCAGCACAGTTACCTGTGTTAACATGGATCGATGAAAGCCCTGGCCCTCCGATATGCACATCTGCATTGGCTTGGTATGCAGCGAAAATAATCAAGACACAAAAGGCTAAGCAGTACGTAATGGATGATTGCATGGTAACAGGTACGTAAGACGAAATTAATAAAGAAATTCGATGGAGGACGAATGATGAAATTTATTCAAGGGACATAAACATATATACAATCAGAAGACCAATCGTCTCTTATTTCTTTCTTCGGGCGAATGAGAGGAAAAGAAAGTAAAATCATGTCCTGGACGAATAGTCCCTGTATAATAGGTCGTTTTTGCTCTTTCTTTAATCGAAAGTTCGAGAACGATGCTTTGATAGTAAATATGATTGTTTTTAGTTAATGCACGTTCCAGTCGGACGATATAATTCTTCGCCTATGATGTTCTACTATAATGGACTTGTGTACGAGAAGGACATGACGTCATTCGACATAAATAACTTTGTTTAGAGGTTCACCAGAAACATACAATTGCTCAACCGAAATTATCTCACAAAAGTCTTGTTTATCAAGAAAAATAGAGACAAATGTTAATTAGTTAATTTGAGGTACAGCGAATTGCCTTGTTCATATATGTGAAGTCGTATGGATGGGTAGATGACTCCTATCGGTGAAATGAGTCATGTGGGGAAAATTATCTATTTGTTGATTCGTCATGTTGGTATGTTAGAAAGAGAAGAATTGCCGACGTTGGCTCGGCTGAAGTGAAAAGATATAATTTATGTTCGTATGAATATTGGAGAGGAAAAGAGAAACGTTTGACTTCAATTTATAAGTAAGTGACTGAACGTTAGTAGTATCCGTATCATCATTACTTGATAGGACGATTCGTTTAGCTATTGATATTTATCAATCTATGAACATGAGTTCATTGGCACTGTATTTCACTACGATCTGCACAGTTCTCGTGTCTCTGACGTATCGATCGGAGAGTGCTTTTTTACGATTTGGACCAGATGGTTTACAATTAGGCGGGGGTGCTGATGGTAGTGTAGGTTTTATGAATATTCCATTTTCAACCGGTGGTGTCAAGATACAATCGGCCGTAGACGGAGGATTTGCTAATTCGTTCATAAACATACCAATGGTGCAACGATTTGGATCACGATTCAATCAGTATAGGTATTCAACAGCCACCAGTAGACCATTAGGGCGAACGAATTTCGATTGGTATTCTCGTTGGGGCCTTCCTTTTTCAAATCTATTCAATGGTCAAACATATCAACAAAGATTTCGATCATCTGGTGCTCAGTGGCAAAGCCAAACAGGCTCACAAACCGCTTCTTCAGTAAATTCTCAAAGTATTCGTCCTTGGTTTTCTAACGTCAATCGAATGGTTAATGCTCAAGTAACTCCAGCGAATATTCCCATCACCGGTATGTAATCTGTCAAAGTAGTTTAACTATGTGATTTCAATCAGCAGATCGTGAATCTCTAATGGCACATAAGTCATCCAGTTGTACTCATCATGAAGCAATGAGAAATGGTGGAGAAGCACCTGTCGAATATACGATTTCTTTTAACTTTTCTTTCGCATCGACCATATCTTCTACAATTTTTTCGTATCTTGCATTGATCTGAATCTTTGTTTATGTTTTAGGCTTCGCTAGTTCTGGAACCGGATGTTCAAGAGGAGGTACGTGATAATTGTTCAAATTAAAATTTCCTTCAATAAGCATGTGTACAGAATGATCGATGTCCGATTCACTTCTATCTTGCTCTTTCTCTTTCTTCGGCACATCTATACATGAATTACCTTTGATTAAAACTTCAATTAATGAGCTACAAAACATTGCCTCCGACGATGATTCCATTTCAAATAAAAACTAAATGTTTCTCGTTTGTTTTGTTTTAGTTGATGCAAATGGTCAACAATGTAACTATCTGAACAACTGTTTTCGATCTATAGACTTATGTGCACTAAATTTTTCTTTCTACTTATAGATATCAGTGCGGCTAATGGTGTTGTCAATCTGTCCGGCCAAAGTATCTCCTGTAAATAGTCAACTCAATTGCAATGATCATAGTGCAAAGCCAGAGTGACAATGCCACCAATCATTAGTTGTTCAAATTTATCAATAGTTCTTTTTCTCTTTTCTCTTTCCTCTTGTTGTCTAATGAATTATGTAATCAAATAAAATCTGCTTCAAACACTAATCAAAATCATTCTTCTTTTCAAACTCGGTTTTATCCAACATACGGATAGGCATCAGCAATTTCGTTTACAGTTGTAAATGTCAGTGTTGATGAGACTTTTCTTTCGTTTTCATACTTTCACTGAAGAATACATTTCCAACCGATATATGAAGAACAAATGATAATTGCTAGATTAGATGTGCATTGGATTATTTTCTTTATTAAATATTCAAAGTGAACAACACTACATGAAGCGATTGGAACAGATACGAGGAGAAATGATGAAACACTATGGTGAGAAATGGCATATAGGTCAATGAGATGTTCATTCAATGATTGTTCACACCGATTTAACAACCATTTATACGGCCATTGATGATACCAAAGTTTCCTACGTCGACTGCGACGAAAAGAAAGAAAATGAATTGAGATATGAAATGTGAAACAGCATGAATACTCACCTTTAACGTCTCCAGAGCTAAAGTCACCATTAACTAGAATGAAAAGTAAGTATTCACGATGATATATGCATAGATTAACGAAATATAAGGAAATGTGTGAGAACCGAGACTAATTCGGATTTGATAGGAAATTCGTATCATTCTCGTGGCTTATTTGCTGATAAAGCTACAGTCTGAATCTTGTGTCATAACGAGAGAACTTCAATGGGTATACTAAACTTACGGTTGACTCTTCCGCAACGACGTTTCACTTTTATTTCACTCAGTTGTTCATGTGCTCCGTCTTGTAGCTTGTCATCTAATGTACAAACAATTTAAAAACGAAAATTGAATTCATGCTGCGCCTACCAACTGACACTATTAAAGGTGCAAAATTTGTCGTCATCTCGAGAACCACAGGCGCTGCAGCTGTTTGATGCACATTCAAAATGACCAGGAAACACAATAATAAGCAACAAACATTTGATGACTTCATGGTAAAAGATTCACAATAGTTTAACTGACCAGAATTTGAACACAGAATAACTAATCAACTCTATTCAGCTAACGTATTTATGTATATATCGGCCAAATGACTACGCATCATCATTTACCGATTGGATGTTCATCCAATCTAATACAAAAACAATGTCTTTGTATTTCAGTCAAAATAACTGCAGTAACTATTCTCTTTCTAACATACCAATAGGACGAACAAATTATCCTTCGCAAATGAATCATCAGCGATATATCAAGGCACGTACTTATTCACTTCGAACTATTTCACATATGATTTTACTCGCGTGATCCAAAATGGCTGCATCGGCGAATACTTTTGCTAATTTATTCCGAATGAATAATTTCATCTGTTTTCTTTTAACAAAAGGATCCAGAAGACTTTGCGTTGTTTAATGGCATCGCTTTCTCGGCGATTGAAATGGTTTAGATTTTCTGTTTTTTTCCTCTCTCTAACACACACGCCGACCGCTTCGAATTATCATAGGCAAGTCAGTATATCGTCCGATAACTATCCGAGTGTACTAAGAAGTCGTCACAATGTGTGTCACACAAAGTATTCTTCTCGAAGATGCTATCCAGGGAAGATATCGAAATAGTTGCTTTGTAATGGATCGCTATCGAGGCTTGTTTCTGTGCTTGTCATTATTCGATGTGTGGACGAGAGAGATAGAAGTGGTCAACGATTGGTCATGTTGTTGTATAAATAGAAGTGTGTTTGCGCGAGAGATTTCATCATTCATTCGTCATTTACTGTGAAATACAATTTGTGAATCTGCTATCATGCAATCATCAACCATCTATTGCTTCTTATTATGCAGCATGATCATCTTTGCTGCACACCAAACAAATGCGATGGCAATTGGAGACAAATTAGTCTCGGAACCTGTCGTCGAAGTCACCTTCGAACGTATGTGGAGTTGCATGTTTATATTCGATGATACAATTTTTTTTCGTCTCATTTTTAGACTCTACCGTAGAACCAAAACCATTACTTGAAAATCACCATCAAAAACGTCAAAGTAATGAATTTCATTTTCTTTCGGCCGAGAGAGCGAAGATAGTGTGAGAGATAGATGAACATGTAGTATTGAAATTTTCCTCGTGGCTGGTTACTGCTTATCGTCTCCTTAAAGTCAGCTGTAGATCTCGAGACAAGATTTCGCGCGTTAGATAGTAAATGTCAATCGAAGTGATTTCTTTTACCTGTCAGATATGTAAATACGTCTTTTGTCTTCTAGACATACAATGTGGTAATGGTGTTGTTACAATTTCACAAGGTGAAATCATGTGTGGATGATTCTCCTGGCGAATGATGGGCACAATTACATTCAATTTTTTTTCTTTATCATGAATAAATCTCTAATGATCAATAAAATAAAATTAGCCAATGATTAAAATCATTTGTTGACATGGACAATGCTCGAATAATTTCCTCACGATCGGATATGATCACAGATGTAGAAGTAGCTATGGATGACATATTCAAAAGATAGAATTCTAGAACAAATCTGACGAGGCCAACTCTGTAGTACCGTAAATAGAAAATCAAGTAGCTATTACTGAAATGTCAATTTTCTTTGAATCCAATAAACAGCAGCGAACTGTTCTGCATACGTTTGCACTTGCTTCAATTAAAGAATTTACTTTGGAAACATTGGTCGATAGCGTACAATGACCATTTTGTATATTGGTTGTAAAATTTATGCCGATCATTTCTTTCCGATGTATCACCTATGGTGGTATCTCGATAGGAGGATAAAGATAAGAAGTCAGAAGGAAAACATGCTCGATTCTTCGTTTTCTTTAGTCTCTATAGTTATCAATGATTGTATCGTGCTAGTGCGAAAGAGATATGCATGTTTACGGATAATTACAAGATAAGTTCAACAGTTCGCCTCTGATCAAGATGCGCAATAATACTTATAAGATGCCTGAGTTAGAATATTGCTTTATTTGTTATGCATGTATGTGTCTTAGGGATGAAGTGTTTCTTAAAAAATAAAACAAAAAAAGATAATATTTAGGCCATCATGAGATTGATCGTCTTTCGATAGTAAACAATAAGCGGAACACCGGTAAGTGAACGAAATGATAAAATATGCTTCTTATAATAGACAAAGTATTAGGAGTAGTAAGTTGACGAACGGTATCGATAAACTTGTAGTTGATGAAGCACTCAATGCGAGACTAAGTGTGTTCGGTTTTGATGAAGACACGCTATTTGCTGTTCGGTAGGATTCATCTATTGAACGAAATGAGAATGAACTCGTATAAAAGCACTCAGTGCAAAGAAATGGATACATACGAAAATCTTTGGCACGTGATGGTACATCGGTGATCCATTTTATCGAATAAGGATCACTGTGGCGCTGGGCTTTGACTATTTTCGAAAACAAAGGATGATGTTCATTGTACTCGATGGTTTGATCTGCTGACGAAGCGACTTGATTATTGGATTTATGAGAAATTATCGGGAAATTACGTTCCTGTTCATCGAGAGATGGTATTGCAGTTGACGATGATGAAATTCGTTCTAGAAAACGTTCGATTGAAGAAAAACTCGTGATATAACAACGAAGAAGATAAATATCTCTTTTCAAGCAATGTCCTGTTTCTCTACATTCGAAATCGAGTTCAATACGATAGTTTTTGTCTTCACCGAGTAAAAAAATTTCAATTAGATTACACAACTCCGAATAATTTCGTTATGCAATCAATCGTCATCTCCATATTGAATGTATATGACTGTCTAGTTAGAAAGACACGAGAATTTGACTTACGGTACTCGTGTACATTGATTTTTAACTTGTAACATGGTTGATTCAATGATAATATTGATGTTGTTGAAAGAAAGTAATACGTTTGATTTGCATGAAACTCCAATCCATTCGGTATGGGCAGATACGAACGAAAGTTAAGTGTATATTTCATCACTTCATAAGGACTATTACACGCAATTAGAATCCGAGTGGTTGGATTGACATTCAATTGGTCTATATTACACATATCGAATTCATTTTTTGTTACCTGAATACAATCAACTATGAATGTTTCAATGAAAACAAGAAAAGATCACTCGTACATGGTAAATATCGTATTGTTCGAGTTCATTTAACAAATAGGATTCTTGTTCATCATAAAATGGACATATAAGATCCATTACATCGCCCAGATGTACTTCAAAGATCAATGAACCGTCTTGGTATGGCCTATAGATATACAGTTATACGATGATTTGTTTGATTTCTATTTCCGCATTTTACTTTCGAGTGTTCTTCGACACTTGAAAAGAAAAAAGTAGACGGAAAATCTAATTGAAATGGATACTTTCCAGTCAAGGTCACTCGGTTTCCTCGTAATGCATTCGATGTCGTAAGCATTCCTATGTGGAGATTATATTCGATCTCGTGTCTTAAAGATGTAAATATGACCGAAGTTGTCGGTAGATAAGTACATGCTCAATGTCTAATTTACTATATATATATATCAAAGGATGTCCGGTGTTCTTTCAATGAACTAATCAGTTTCCTATGTTGTACGAGTGACATTTTTATTACGAACAATAATCTTTCTTTAAATAAATGCAGACCTATTGAAAATGGCGCTGTAATAATATCGACAAAGAAATCATTTGCTTGTAAGTGTCTTCTCCACAGAATTCGATGTGAAATCTATCGAGCAAAACAGGAAGCATGGATGTTCGATTGTCTACTCAACCTTGAGAAGGAAATTGTTCTTCAATGTCCTTCAAGAAGCAGTTTTTTACATGTTCATTACTTACATAATACGTCTAGATCTCAAGCATTGTCAAACAAATAGACAAGCGCCGAAGAAATAATACGATTGACTTAGTAGCGACTTATCTGAACAATTATGACTAATTAAAACAGCATTATTACGAATATCTCTCATTTAGTATTACCGAACAAGAATAGCAAAAGAAAGAAGGAAAGATCTTTTTTTCAATTACCTGAATGTCGTATGGTTCCAATACAATGATCGAAGAGTTACTGAATGAGTTTGTTGTTTAGTTACGAAGGTGAATAGAATAATTAATACTAGGACTAGTTCGTTGATGAACATAGTTTTTATGTTGATGCATCGACTGAATGTACATACATACATACATACACACGCTCCGATTCTATTCAACAAGCCCTTCTCTTTCACTCTATCGTTCTCTTTCTGTAGTAAGATGAGGAAAAGAAATGGTCCAATTATCGTTTCTGTCGTCTCTTTTGATCCCGACAAGCGAGGAGAAGAGAAAGGAGAGAGAGAGAGAGAGAAACCGACTAGTTGATAGTGATAGCAAAGAGCTCTTTATACACTTGTTCTATCGAGACAAATATCTCTGGTTAATTATAGACTAACATCTAAGAGTTAGATTGTTCTCAAATGCAAAACTATCTCTTTTTTTTGTTTTATCAATCGGTAATTCTATTCCTGTCTTCTGTTCATTGATACTCGTAATGTTTTAGTGCATCTAGAAATGAACATACTAAGTGCATATGGCTCTATCAATGATCAAAGTATATCATTGTACCTGAACAAATCGAACCATGAATTCGTTCTATCCTTTTCTGGATGATTTCTGCACTCATTTGGTCGTATCATAATACTATAGACTTAGAGGACATATCGAAAACTTTTGAGCGTCAATATGACCGTCCAAGTGTATATTTGTGATAGGTGAAAAAGACTCATTATGCGTTCATTTCTCGGTAGCAGAGTAAACTTGATATTGGTACAATGGTTTCAATGAACATTGAATAGATCTAATTTTTTTGCTGTTATCAGATGTGTTTATTCAAGATTCGATTACGTTGATCTTTGTGCAATTAAAAAAACACATCCTCGAAACAAAATGTTGTGTGTTTATTAATGAGCAAACGGATGTGTTCTACGTTAGTCTTTATGCAATCTGCAAAACACATCTCTTCGTTCGTTCTATAAAGGAAAGGTCACTTTGATCACGAC